ATGGGCTAGCAAAGATAACTGAGCCAAATGGGTGCCAGACAAAGTGCCAGTGGCACTGCCATTGCCACTGGCAGACTGGGATGACAGAGATGACAGAGCCAAGTGGGTGACATTTAATTGTCGACTTTAACTTGCATTACAAATTGCTTTCACTTCCGTTCGCGTCAAATTGTTTAAAAAAAAATAAATATCTACAAAATATTTAACTGGTGAAATTTTGATAATCTCATCATCTTTCGCCCGGCGGGAGACGGGCTTATACGCTAGTGCTTACATATTGCGCAAAGTATGTATGTATCTACATAATCAAACATAGATATTCATACCCGACGCAATGCATCGAAGATAACCACTTGACAATCAAATAGAAAAATTGCGTGTTTGTTAGGATGAACAACATTTGCCGCGCATTTACATACGTATGAGATTACATAAACGTATGATTCGGGTAGAACAACCTCACAATTCATTTACAAAATCATAAATACATACACTCTAAATAATTTCAAATTCTTTGGAGAATTACTTCAAATTAGCAATATGAAGACAAATCGTTACCTCTTGAGGTACTAAATATGGACTAAATATGGTGCTCAATTTTTAGGTAATGATAAGGATACGGTTTCTCAATGAAGGAAAATAGGTCAAAAAGTCATGTACGAAACAAACACGGCTAAATGTTTATTTTTCAAATAGGGACGCCACGAGTCCTCCATTTTTGTATTGTGATTAAAGAGACGTTTCGTCACCTGCCACAAATAAGAAAAAAATCGTGTAGGTATTTATCAAATAGACGATATCGTTGCTTAGAAAATTTAAAACCTCGATGCAAAATAATCCTATATTCTGGAGACAAAATATTATTATTTTTTTAATAATGACGTCACGTGTGAGTTTTTGACCCACAATGGAATCTTTATTCAAGCTTCACAAGGATTTTATAACGATTAACGAGTTATGTTAAAAAATCATTAAATGAAAAAAGGTTCCATTGCTAAAGGGTGTTAATAAAGTCCGATCCCATGCATTTTTTGGAGCGTGGTTGTTACAAATTCAGCTGGAACTTTTGAACCAGTGAAGTTATTTATTTCAAATTTTTACCATGGGAGGAACAACTAAACGTGTAAGTCATGAGCATCTTAGAGTTGAGATACAAACATTGCATCAGCAGGGGCTTAAACCTACAGAAATTGTGCAAAAATTGGGCTGCAGCCGCAGAACTGTTTGGAAATGGAAGAATAAAAATTTTGTCCACGACAAAAAGCGACCAGGGCGACCCAGAAAGGTGTCACCTACCACAAAAAGAATGATTAAAAACAGACTTTGCAAGAAAACCGGTAGTTCATTACGTAATTGAGCAAGGGAGTTAAATGACTCAAAACGCTATAAAGAGAAGAAGAAGCAAATTAACTGTGTGACCGTGCAAAAATTTGTGAAAACTACGAAGTGGGGTCACACAGCTTACAAACTAACCAAAAAAACCTCTCATGTCACAAAAATATATCGATGACCGTCTGAAATTTGAAGAACTCCTTCAGAAAAGTGCCCATTTGAGTGAAAAAAGACTTGGTGAAGAATTGCGCAGTCACATCCTTTGGACTGACGAATCTATTATTGAACTATATCCAAAATTGAACCAACAAAATGTTCGTTACAGGACAGAAAACAAATCGGATGTACCATCAAGAGCGATCCCAAAATTCGGGCTTAAAGTTATGGTAGCGGGTGGATTTTGTGCACGTTGCGTGACCCCTCTACATATCATACCAAAAGGCCAATCAGTCAATGCAAAGCATTATATGGAAAAAATATTACCTATCTATTTCGATAGCATGGGGAACAAGGAAATATTTCCGAATGAAAGAAAAATAGTTTTCATGCAGGATGGTGCTATAGCCCATACAGCAAAAGCGAGTTTGAGTCTCATCAAGACGCAAGTTTCAACGGTCTGGAGCAAGGGGGTGTGGGCCGCTAACGGCCCAGATTTGAATCCCCTGAAGAACCAGTGGTCCATACTTAAGGAAAATGTATACAAAGAGCCACAACCCCGGACGAGGGAAGAGCTAGTAAAAAAAAGTTCAAGATGTATGGAATTCGATTTCCAGAGGCACAATGGAAAAATTAGCACAGAGCCTTAAACAAAGAGTTGAGGGCATGGTTAAAGTAAATGGTAACAAGACCAAATACTAAGGTAAATATGTCGAACATTTTTTGTAAGTATCACGGGTAGTTTTTTTTTATACTAGCCTTCACTTTTTTACAGGAAAAATGGGATCGGACTTTATTAACACCCTGTAGATATTTTTCCCTTGGTAATACATAAAACCCACGATTTGTCCCCAAATTATTTACAGTGTACTGACGTATAATTAATGCGTTTCAGACAATATTCTACTTATATAATACGGTAGTAAATAAATAGAAACCCTGTCTGGAGTGTATGCTAATTAGAAAAAATATTAAACTTGATAAAAATCGAGTGTCTAGGAAAACATTTTCTACCTATTCAACCCAAACAAGATGTGAAAATATATAGGTATGAAAACAAATCTATGTAGGAAAACTGGATTTTATTCGATAAGGTACCTTAACAGACGTAAAACTTCTCATCGAAATCAAATCCAAATCTTCTGAATTACACTCTAAGAAAACTGGTATTAAACCATTTATGACTGGAGGACATATATGACGCTAGCGGCACTAGTAATAACGGGCATTATAGTGTAGTAATGTTGTGGTGATGAGAAATCTTTAATGCGGAAACAAAGTGATACCAATCCTGTAGGAAATTAGTACCAAATCAACCACCACCGACGAGACTGCCTTTCTTATCTGGACGACTATACATACATACAGATGTGACCCTACCAGGTTTTGTAACACACTTTAAATAAAAATGAGTAAAATTTACTCAAGATTGGTAACAAAGAGGATGACACAGCTAAAATGTAAAACTTACATATGTATCAAATGTCTTATCCCATGTCGTGCAAAATTTATCCACGCGTGGGGAAAAATGTGCTCAATGTTGCGTCAATTTTACCTTTTGGTTGTGTCATCCCCTTTGTTTACCTAACCTTAAGTAAATTTACTAATTTTTATTTAGAGTGTGTTAATAAATCTGGTAGGGGTACGTATAGTCGTCTAGACGTGAAAAAAATCTCGTCGGTGTGGTAGTGATTTGGCACAAATTTCCTACTGGATTGGTAGTAGTTTGTTTCCGAGGGGTTTTTCTTATTTTGTATTCATTTCAAGAGTGTATATTTATAATACCTAGAATTTTACAATGCATCCGTTAACTAAAAAGTTATGCACGAATACGAGGGTTTAAATGTGATGCAAAATTAATTCCGTTATACATATAACAAGGTTTCGACGTCACATATGGTAATCAATTATTTAACAAATAGGTACATCTGGTAATCATTACATAAACTCGTACCTAAAATGCCGGTAGAGTCAAGGGGGCAAGAATTTCAAGGTTAACTACATACTAACATTTTTACCAGTGTGTAAAAACCCTAGACTCGTGTGATAAGATTAATTCTCATTGCCAGAGGGCGAATAAGTATTCCGATGCATAAACTGGCTGAAATATGTACGTGAAGGAATAAAATGTTTACGAAGTTTGGAAAAAAAGATAATATGTGATTTGTATTTCGGAATATAATACTCTGGATGTTTTTTTGTGGACAAGTTTCACTGAGAAAAAAATTTTGTCTCGAATCTTTGCAATATTTGCAAAATATATGCATTTTTTAAATATCTAAGATGAATTCTTAAGATGAAAATGGCAATATTTATGAATAGGTTCATGCAAAAATGTGTGAAAATATTTCGAAATTTTTGTGATCTATGAACTTATAGGAGTTATTCAACACAACCATAGAGTTTGAACGTCGATCGAAATGAAATCAAAAAGTAGCAAACAAATAAATATCCGTCTTCTGTGAATTACCAACTTCTGAATAGTAATACATAAATAGACACAAACGGGTAATTATTCAGTGAATATGCAATAATGCATGTAAAAAATCAAGGGACAGAATAGGATGTCCATAAATTATGTCACAGAGGCTCAGGTGGGCAGGAGGTTTGTGTAACCGACCAATTTACGCTATATGTTAAAAGAAGGTGTAACAAAAGGGTAAGAAAAATTAGAAATTTTCCATATATAATTGATGGACTATCCAAAAATCTTATCAGACACGTAAATTTGTATAAATAATTCACATGGATTCCTGACCAAAAAAGATATGCATATGTCTGCATACTAATTGTAAGTACCTGAATCGAATAAATTATGCATGCATTCACTTCGTGAATATGCATATGTATTTATCTATGTGTAATCTTGCAAATAAATGTGATACATACATACACTATTAAAAATGTGGTCGATTCACAAATGCACATGTATGCCCGATTTGGTAATAACTTTCAATTCAAATGGGATTAGTGTGTTCCTGAGTGGTCAGTTTGTCATTGCCTCAACATTACTGAAAGGTAATTTCCGTTATTACTAGTGCCGGTAGAGTCATAGATTTATGTACTCCAGTCAGTAATTATGGACTACCAGTTTTCTAAGAGTGTAGTAAAAAATATATATAAATACATTGCCCCTCTGGCTTATACATATTTAGTTGCAGGGTTGGTTCAAGTTCAACGGGTTATGTTAAAATTAGTATGCATAATTTTACATCAGTATCTTAGTTCATTTACATATTTGCACAAGCTCTGAGTTAATTTAAGCTTTGCGTTAAATCCAGTGTGAGTTTGTAACATTAGTTTTTCAGGAAAGCAAAAAAAAATGTCTGCGCTAAATATAGTTTCTGCCACGAAATCATTTTCTGACAAAGTGGTTTTGCAAGGGGTGGATATCAAGGTCGAAAAAGGAACAATGTTAGTGAAAAACCTCGTAAGAAATTTTAGAATTAAATACATAATTAAGAAAAATTATAAATACATACATACATTTTTTTATTTAATTAACTTTATAAGATATCGTCGTAATTGTATTTGGAAGCAAGCCAGCAAACATTTTCTTAAGAAAACCGGCCAAAAACTGAAATAGTCTACTTTACATTTGAAACCTAATGTTAGCAGAAAAAAATGGTTTTAATGCTTAAAGCGTCTTTAAAATTAACTATTAAATATACCAGATATATATTTCAGTTTATTGACGACCTTGAAAAATTATGTTTTTGGATAAATGCAATTAACATGACATGGAGTTGTTACCTTATGTAACTAAATAGCATGAATGCAAATTTGTATTTGTATTTGTAATTTCTTTTCTGTAATGCACATAATGTACACTTTATGGAGATATGTACCTATGTAGGACTTAATCCAATGCTCAACTTTTAAATTTGTGACCAAATGCAAATTCATCCACCAGATGTAAATTATGCAACTAGATTAAATTAATTATTAAGAACGAGAGTAATTTTTCCTGTTTACATGCGCAGATATGCCCTTCTTGGACCCAGTGGATGTGGGTAAGGTGTATACTTTTTTTTGCATAAATTAGTAAGTCTAACATGTCGAAAAAAACTGACCTGGTAAACCTCAGAACCCGACTGGTTCAAGTTGCCCCCCAGGGTTTTACGGGTTTTGGTAGGTTTTGGGGTAGGAAATATGTATGAACAATACCTACGAGTAGTCGGAGTTTTCAAATAAAATTTGATAACAGGACATCACCAACAACTCTACAAATTAATTAGTTATTAAAATCGAATCAATAAGCAGTTTCTTTGCGGAATTAAGGAAAATTAGATTGTTTTCATAACTTGACAAATGATATACTTACTCAGCTTGCCCCCGACACCCCAACTACCCCAAAAACCCGGGTAGCACCCCTGGGTATATGATTTCAATAGCAAAAACACAGGGTTTTCCTTACCTTGGATCGGGTCAATGGCGGGTCGGGATTTCCCATGATCTCTTTTCCCTTTATTACTTACTTCTATACTTGGTTACTGATCAATTTGCTAATCAGGAAAACCACTCTGATATCTTGCATCGTGGGAATTCAGCAGTTGCACGAGGGAAGTATAGAAATCCTTGGGAAAAATGTGACCAACTTCAAAAATGGAATTCCTGGAAGTTTAATCGGCTACATGCCACAGGTGAATATGTAAGACGTTATGTATTAGGGGTAACATATATTTGGCTACTGAAAGGTATTATTCTTGTTTTATTCGAGATAAAACCTCGCGGTTCCACCTGGCCTACCCAGTTGGAACCCATTTCCATTCAAAAACTTCGCAGCTTTTAGTCAAAAGTTTTTTTAATGGAGGGGGTGCGAGATTTTATAGCAACTAAATAAGAATAAATATGTATGCATTCCTAGCTAAGCTCTTCTTCACGGCCTCCTCTTTTAACACAATTACAGGAAGCTTCGCTCACCGGGTCGCTAACAATTATGGAAACATTCACATACTACGGAAGCCTTAATGGTGTCCCTTCTCACGAGATTATAAGCAAAGTGGAAACTTTAAGAACTATCATGAATTTGCCCAATCTTAATAGTAGAACGAATCAAATCAGGTAACCTAAACTTAAGTTTCAAAATTTGCTCTCGTAGATTTTTAATATTTGTAATGTTTCTCTAGTGGGGGAGAGCAACGGCGTGTCTCACTTTGCGTCGCGTTGCTGCATGACCCTGAAATTCTTCTTTTGGACGAGCCTACGACCGGGATAGATCCGCTTTTACGAGAAAGGTATTGCAAAAACACGGAAGACTTTAGATTGCCAATAATAATAGCACAATTTCAGGATTTGGGATTATCTAAGACTTCTTGTCGAATCCAAGGGAACCACGGTTTTTGTCACGACGCACTACGTCCATGAAACGAGACAGTGCAAACAGGTAATTATTTATGGAATGTACTATTAAATCGCAATATACCGTTTATACAATACACCTACAAAATGGTGTACTACATGTAACCCATTAACAAAGTGTGCACAGTGGGAATAAAAAATGAACTATACACATGTTACACGTGTACATACATGGGCGTGTACATACACGTGAACATATGTTAATCCCTCTAACATTAACTGGGTATTCGTCACGTTATATGTATTTAGATTGGGTACCTACGAGATGGCTCCATGTTGGTGCAAGATTCACCCAGCATGTTACTTGACAAATACGGTACAAAAATACTTATGAATAAAATTATCACAAAAAACGCATCTACTTAACTGAAATAATTTCAGGCCCAAATTGTAACTTAAATACGGCATCTTTGGATGACGTAATTCTTCATCTATGCAAAATTCCACGATCTCTACGAACAACCCCTAGAAAATCAACCCCTGCTGTAAAATTCTCCCAAGTAAGAAAGGAGCCTGACTTGGACCAAAATGTGGAAATTTTATCCTTCAAGAGTGTCAAGGACGATTTCATTAACATGAGTGGTGAACCGATCAAACAAAAATTCGATCCCAGATTAGTATCCAGGAAATATGCAGCTTCGAAGAAGTACTGCGTACAAGTTAAGGCACTTGCGATCCGAAACGTAATTATTTACATGCGATTTATATCGTAAGTTGAAAACAGTCAGTATCAACACTATTTAGAGGTCTGTATGTGCACATACAAGTTATTAATTTTAGTATCTCCGCAACTATTCTCGTAGATATCCAATGCTCCAGCTGGTCGTAATATTAATCAACATGCTCATTGGCTTGTATGCTCTTGGATATAACCCAAAAGGGCTCAATCTGGGGGCAATAATGGACAACGGACAAATCCACTGCGACACAAATTTTGCCCATCAAATTTCTTCTGTCTGTAACGCAACAAATTCAGAAACAGATTACACGTGTCGATTATTGAATATTGTTCAAAACTTGGGAGTTGACTGGGTACGTAATAGTAAACGTGACGGATTTAAATTTTAATGAGGGGAACGTCCATATATTACGTCATCGATAAGCGGTTTTGGGTCGCACGTCGTATGTTAGCTCACCACGAGAGGATAGGGAAGGGTTCAAAAATTGGCACTTTTTTTCTGACGTGATATATGCACGCTCCCAAATCATGAACATGAACTTTATATATGTATATCTAATATTTAGTTACTTAGGCACCCTTGAGTACCGAGTTGGAAGCAGTACAAGCTATAAGAGCCGGTAGTATAAATGGATATATTAAATTCCCGAAAAATTTTACAGAAAATGTGATAAAACGACTTATCTGGAATATCCATTCGGACGAGGAAATTTTAAATGGATCCACTATTTCGATCACATTAGATAATTCAGGTAATATCATGTAGGGATGCCAGGGCAATACCCAATATTGGCAATACCCTCTACCCGGCTACTCCTTACTTAGCGTGAAATGTTTGCCGGGTACACGGGTAACTCGGTCGGGTGTTAATAAGAAGGAGACCCTGTACCGGGTATCTACCCGACTACCCGGGGCATCCCTAACATGTTTCATAACACATTTTATGCATTAAGCAGATTATCTATGAGCGTGTTAATTTTTTTCACAGATTACATGAACACGTATTTCCTAACCACATCCTTGTATGAATCAGTTCACGAGTTTCTTGTGTCAAGTGCCAACGAATCTGATGTGGGCGAATGGTTGGTCACACTACCGTTAAAGGTACATATGTAGACTCTTAGAAAATTGGTGTTAAATTATTAATGACCGGAATATATAACATATATGCCTCCACCACCACTAGTAATAATAGGCATTTCCGTTTATTATTACACTCTAAATAATTTTGTGATGCGTTTGTTACCAGCGGGGGTAATTCGACAGTCTGTTATACCCAAACTAAATAACCATGCGATGGTGTGAAGTGTAACCCTCCGATTTGGTTGTAGACTTGCAACAGCGTTGTCAATTACGCAACAAGCGTTTCTTGAGGCAGTTTATGCGATGGTATAAATTTGTCAAAATATTGGAGGTCAAAGTTGAAAAATGATTGTCAATCTGAGGAAAAAACACTTTAAAATTCCATCCGAAGGGATAAATCGCTCTTTTTTCAACTTTGACATCAAAAATTTTGACTAATTCGCACCATAGAACAAACTGCCTCAAGAAACGTTGGTTGTATTGACTTGGACCACATAATTTCAAAATTTCAACCAAATCGGAGGGTTATACTTTACACCATCGCATTATAAGATAATTGTTCTTTGAAAAAAGTAAGAAATTATGCCAATTTTTGTATAGGTCAGTCCAATCTATGGGAGCCAATTTTATCCTTTTAACGCATTTCTTGTGCCGACCTTCGTGCTTGTGTAAGTTTGTCCATAAGTCGCAACAAATCGACGAGAATGATGCTAAATAGACTTTCTTAAATTGAGCGTATACCCACGTCAACCTTACCCCGAAAATTAAGCATAACAACCACATAAACTTGACAAGATTTTCGAGGTTCTACAAAACTTTTACCAAAAAACGGTGCAACTTGTTTTCGCAAACTTACCCAGACATTGGGCAAATTTTTGTATCGTAAAGTCAACCGGATAAGTTTTTTTACATGTTTTAAAGAATAAAGTTTACAAACTTTATTCTTCAATCGGTTTATTACAAATAACAAGTTTTGGTCGAACCAAAACCGGAGCTCTGGTCGTGGATACGCTTATGGTTTGGTTTCTTAAACAAGAAACTCATTACTAAGGGTAGCCCACATCCGTGAAAACGTTTTTGACCTTTAATATCTTTGGCGCTAGTAGAAATTTTGAATTGAAATTTTTACAATTTGTTCACCTTATAGTCAGCATTATGGGTGCAAAATTTCAATCCGCTAGTCCAAATGGCGCCAGAGATATTTGCATAAGAAAAAATAGTGCTGTTCTAAAAATGCCCAAAGCTGCATAAATTTTACGTTTCAGAATATTTTTAAAACCTTCTAGAATTGTGAATTGTTTATGGAATTTTATGTGGGTGGTATGAAAATTTTTTCCATCTATGTGGCTTTCATAAATAACTAAGAATTTCCAAATTTTTTAAAAATTCATTTCATACCAGGTGGATTTGTACGAAAAAAGCGTGAATAAAGTTTGTTGTAGTGTTAAATGGAATTATATAAATCACAATAGCTGAAATTTTTTCATGTTTATTATTTTAACAGTTAGAGGAGACATTACTCATGGTAATGCAAACAGATTTTGGACTACAAATGTTTAATTTCGTGTAATGGAGGTACTTGGGAAAAATTAGCGAAATTTTGCCAATTTGGGGGTTGTTATAACTTTTACTCTGAAACTCTACCCAGCTATTTTTTTATCAAAATTTAAACTGCAATGTGTACTACAGACATGGGCTCACACAATTTGCTATTTCCTGGCATTTCTAGCCTATCCGCAACTGCTCTATGTCTTCTAACCGGGTAATTTATGTCTGAAACAAAAAAAAACATCATTGTTTTACTCTGGGGTTAGTTGAAGGTCTGCTTTTTACACTAGAGAATTGAAATTTTGCACCCATAATGCTGACTATAAGGTGAACAAATTGTAAAAATTTCAATTCAAAATTTCTACTAGCGCCAAAGATGTTAAAGGTCAAAAACGTTTTCACGGATGTGGGCTACCCTCAGTACATCCTAAGCTTACTCAAATCAAGTCCCATATTAAAAAAAATCAACTATAATATAAACCGTCATTTGCCTACAGATTGTGGACCTTTATGTCGACCACGTTGGGCGTCGTGCACATACTTGACCGCGGCGACAACACGTTTGCTCGCACGATAGCCACCGGTGTGGAGTTTGGTCAAATTCAGCTTGGCTACTATCTTGCGGACATCCCGTTGGCCATTTTTCAAGCCGGACTGATCCTATTAATGATTTGGTGGGATCGTGGCGAACAAATTAAGGGAAGCTGGGCCTTAATCGGGTTGATCTTCTATCTCGCGAGGGTGGCCGTTATAGCGCTATATTTCATCCTGGCATCGTTCAATGTGAACGTGAAGGACTCGACTCTGCTAATGATTTCCATCGTTATGGTTTACGTCTACGCGTCAGGTATGTATGAGACCGTTCATAAATTATGCAACGTTGGAGGGGGTCTAAGGCTCCAATGATGTCGTGCGAATAGATACATGGTAAAGGGGGGTCTAGAAAATCGCGATTTTTATGTTACTTACGTAGTTGATGGACTGGAGCTGGAGCATCACTGGAGCCCCTAAGGCTCCAGTGATGTCGTTCTTGTTCTACACATGATAAAGAAGGGGAGATGGAATCTAGAAAATCATAATTTTTCCGTTACGTTATTCATGAGCGGCACTTATTAGCTCGTATTACATACTAATACTCTTAAATATAATGTTAGCATTTTGAAATTATCTGCGCATCGAATCGCTTTCATTTTTCAATTTCTGAAAAGTATTTAGAAGAAACAAAATACGTAATATTCGTAAATTTGATATAATTTGATATTTAAATATGTATTTAATGAATTTACTTAATCAATGTTATGCTTTTAAATAATTGCCTTTTAGATACGATCTGGCCTATCGAAGCTGTTGTCTGGTGGTACCGGCCATTTTGCCATTGCCTTCCAATGACCGTGACGATCCGCGTGTTGCGTAGTGTAATTACGAGAGGGTGGGGAATAACGCATCCGACCGTATTTTTTGGAGGAATTTGTTTTCCACTAATAATCACAGGTATTAGCACCATTGTATCATTTGTGGTGGAAAAAAGTAATAAAAAGTAGTGATTTATCAATATGACACATATGTACATATGTAAGCTATGTTTTATAACTTTTATTGGAAAAAGTTTAATAAATATATATTATAAGGAGAATTTGGTATAGATAGGCACATATTTACTTCTGTTTCAGAAAATTGTAATTTAAGCTTGACATTGCTGCGGTAAAGGGAGATTGTTTTTTTTCTTTCGAAAATGATGTTTACGTAGTACCGTTCCACCAATTTCGTAGAAAATTCTAGGGTCTGTGAGAAGTACGTATCCCCATAACCCCTAGAATTTTCTAAGTAATTGGTGGCTACACTACTCGTTAGATTTAGCTTGAATAAAGGTTCCATTGTTAATAGCAAATAATTTCTACCGGATTTATATTTATTTGTGTGTAGTAATTTTTTTAAATTCTTTTTCACTTTTCAAGCGTGAATATACTACAAAGATCATCCGTTAATTAAAAAGTTACGCACGGCTGCATATACTTATGCTGGAAAATTAATTACGTCCCATAACAAGGTTTCCACGTCATATAGATATGATAATCAATTATTTATTAGGTGCATCTGGTCATTACCTCGCTGGTGCTTAATAAACCAGTAGCGTCACGGGGGCAAGCTTTTCAAGGTTAACTACAAACACCAGTTTTTCAAAAACCAGCGACTGGTCAGATAAGATTTTGCTTTATTGCCAGAGGGAGGATAAGTATTTGCAAAAAAAATATTACATACATAAGTATTATGTATGTAATATGGGGTGTTCCATAAGTAACCGGAATTTTTGCATTCGCTTATATAAATTAAAGTAACAAAGTTCTTTAAACACAGTTTTGGTCAGAAGTAGACAAGGGCTGAAACTAATATTTTTTTGTTTCAAACGGTTCATGCACCCCCTTCCGCCCAATCTGTAGAAGCTTTTGTCAGACGCTCCAAAAAGTGCTTCGCCACTGTTTAGAGCTACCTTTTTTGCCATTATTGACCTCACTTTGTGAAATAAGTTCAAATTTTTTGGCTGAAGGTTTTCGACTATGATCTTCTTTACTGGATAAAGACAAAAATTCTTCAATAGGTCTTGTTTGGGAACGTTGTTCACCTCTCCCATGTTAATTGCATTTGATCCGTTTTCAGGCGGAGCGTGATAATTTTGCTTAGATTAATTTTCAAGTTTTGCTTATATAGTTTTCTTGAAGCTGGGAGACTTGTACTATGTATAAATAAAATCATTTTGATGATCTTGACTGTAAATCGTATTGTACGGGACGTCCAATTTTGATGACTTCAGGTCGAGTCGTTTTTCCGTCATCTGGCTTGCTACTTTTATTTTACTCTCCACTGTATTTGTAAGCTTATAAAACCTTATAAGATTTAGTGGCCAACTTCTAAACTTTAAAATAATGCATCATGTTCTGTGGTAACTTCAAGTACGGAATCTAATTACGCTCCAACAGTGAAGATTTCTATTTTTACGAATCGCATCACTTTCGGTGCAGCCACACGAATGGGCCGACCAGATATTTTTTTGTGATTAGCAGTTTTTTGTAGCTCATACCTCAGTAGTGTATAACAAATTTTGGGTTTTTGAATTATTTGGTTTTTAAAGTTGCTACAGTTCAATTTCTTGGACCGCGTAACCACTTTTTCGTGGTAGTGGGGACGGCTCTTGCTAGTTGCTTCAGGGTTTTTGACCCCATTTTGGAATGGAAAGAGATATGTCTGGTTTTCGGATTTTGGTAGAAGGATGTATGTGCTACATGACCTGGGTCATTTCGAATCTGGGGCAACCTGATATCCCACAGATATATGCGAATGCAAAAATTCCGGATACTAATGGAACACCCCATATTTGCAAAACAACGTTAAGAAATATGTACCAAATATTCGAGAAAAAAACTATAAACAAATACAATTTTTGCAAAACTTGTATTTTGGAATGTATAGATTATGCTATTGTGTAAACACAATATTAAACTTAATATTTAAAAAATGCTAAAATGTTTACCAAATTTCCACTAACAAAAGTCATGGAAATATAAAATTTAAAAAAATTGTATTCTGAATATATGCAATACTCTGGGTATTTTTGTGGTCGACTTTCATTGAGCACAAAAATTCGTCCCCTATTTTTGAAGTGGATAAATAGATGCTTATTTACCAAATCTAAAATAAATATTTACGTATCCTTGAAATAATGACGGAAATATTTATGCATGCAAAAATATTTTGAAATATTTTGAACTTTTTTTATCCATAAGAGTCACTGAGAGTTTGACCGTCGGTTGGAACTTAATGGGAAAGTCTAATGTACATAAATACATATCCGCCCTCTGTGAATTACGAATTCACAAGAATCATAAATAGACACGAGCTGGTAAAAATTTGGTGCAAAAATGTATATGTATATAATTAAGCAAACGTGTGAGTATATCTATAAAAAATCAAAGAAGAAAAGGGTACATGTATAAATTATGTCATTGAAGAAGTTAGCAGGAGGGTAAAAGGTTAGTGTCAAAGGCCGGTTTGTTCCACGTGCACATAACACGTGACAAAATGTCTGAATTTTTTGCGTAATGTAATTTATGGAAGGTCCCTACATCTTATCAGTTCTGCAGGAATATCTCACACTAAATATTCCCGACTACATATAATATGTACCTGAAAACGGATAAATTATACATGCATTCACTTTGCAAATGTATGTATGTGTGTGTAACCTTGCAAATAAAAATACATACACACACTGTTAAAAGTCTGGAAGATTCACAAATGTACATTTACGTAAATATGTATTTTCACAATGTAAATGTGTATGTATACTTCGTACTGGTATTGATTCGGTAATAACTTCTTACTAGATTGGTTGTATTTTGTTTTTGCGCGATAATTTTTTCATTACCACAGCATTAATAAACCGTAATTCCTGTTATTACCAGTAATGTTAGAGCAATATCTGTGTTCCACCAAGTAGAGATTTAATACCAGTTTTCTAAGAGTGTAGCAAAAAAAAATATAAAATACATGCATTGTGTCTGGTGGCATTATGCATTTTTAGTTGCAAGGTTGGTTCAAGTTCAACAGGTCATGTTAAAATTAGTATGCAAGTTTTCACATAAGAATCTGGCTTCTAATTTCAGCTGCATATTTATATCAGCTTTAAATTGACTATCTAAGTTGTGTGTGAAATCCAGTGCGAAATTGTGAAAATTTGTTTTTCAGAAACACGAAAAAAATGTCTGCGTTGAATATAGTTTCTGCTACGAAAGCATTTTCTGACAAAGTGATTTTACATGGAGTAAATATTACGGTTGAGAAAGGAACAATGTTAGTCCAATAGTAAAAAAATGTCGTACAATATTTAAAATTTAATATTTAATGTTAATATTATGAATACATAATTTAAAAAAATAATAATTTCTTTATAAGATATCGTCGTTGAATATGCGTTTAGCCACAAATCAAGAAATTAAGCATCGGATTAAGTCAAAGAACATAACTTTTCAAGAAACCTCGTAAAACCTTAATTTTTCAAAACGCTATTGTAACCTTTCGAATTTTGACCCGATTTCAAGAATTGAACACGTTTTTGAAATTACTTCCTTGAAATTAAACAAAAATCCAGTTTAAAAAATTTTTAAGTTTAATATTTTCATGCCACGCATTTCAGAATTTTCAAAAATGCAAAAAGCGAGAATGTTTTGAAAATTGAGGTTTTTTTTACGAATGGACTTTTGTAATTTCAGCTAAGTAATTCGGAGCAAGAATTGTGTTTAATTTTTAAGATGGCGGTAGAACTTGGAAATTTGTAGCGTTTTAAAAAATGCTGATTTTACCTGATTTTTTAAAAATTCCGCCACGGCCGAAAACAGGCGCATTCAGGAATACTCAAAAATACGGATCCGCTTTTTTTATCGTGAATATTTTAAAATTAGTCCTGTCAAAATCTACGAAATCCACATTACACATACACTTTGTGAGTGCAATTAACACAATCTGGATTATCTTATGAAACTAGCACGATCTAGATTTCTTTTTTCTGCATTGCACATGTTTTTGAGAGGGGACAGAACACAAGGCTCGAATTTTGAATTTTATGTCCGAAAGCATATTCAACGAAGATATACAAATTTAAATCTATGTACATGATATTTTTGAAGGTGGATTTATTTCTAAAAATAAAATTAATTTTTCTTGTATCCATGTGCAGATATGCCCTTCTTGGTCCCAGCGGATGTGGGTAAGGTCAAAAGTTTTTTCACAGGAATTAGGGACCGCTCATTAAACTTGTTACCAGTTTGACTTGAATTTGAAGGAAATAATTGTTGTTAACCAATTACTTAATCTATTTGTTAATTAGAAAAACTACTCTGATATCTTGTATCGTGGGAATTCAGCAGTTGCACGAGGGAAGGATAGAAGTCTTTGGAAAAAATGTGACCAACTTCAAAAATGGAATTCCTTTAAATTTTATAGGCTACATGCCACAGGTGAGTAAGAAGTTAGGTGTCAGGGGTCACACTTACTTATTTAACTGCTTATGTATTTAGTGGTATGTATTTATGTATGTATGCATTAATTACTACGGTTTTTTAAAAGAACTCTCTGTACCCACATTTCCAGGACACTTCCCTCACCGAGTGTTTAACAATTATGGAAACATTCACCTACTACGGGACCCTGCACTGTATACCTTCACACGAGATTTTAAGCAGAGTAGAGACTTTGAAAAATGTCATGAATTTGCCAAATGTTAACAGAACTATAAAACAAATCAGGTATAGTATACATAAATTCCAGTTGTAAAAATTTGCGTTATGCATAGATTTTAACCTGATAGTTATGTAGTGGCGGGGAACAACGACGTGTCTCACTATGCGTCGCGTTGCTGCATGACCCTGAAATACTTCTTTTGGACGAACCAACGACCGGGATTGACCCAGTTTTAAGAGAAAGGTATTAAAAATTAGAACTACTAAAAATTTGTTTATCTTCCACATATTTTCAGTACAAAGATATGTATTTCCATCAAAAAGGCGGCACAGCAATGGGTTCCCCCATATCACCCATTGTGGCAGAGCTGTTTTTACAAATGCTTGAAATGAAAATTATTCATCAAAATCGCGACATCCGTTTTTGGAGAAGATTTGTGGATGACGCTTTCATCATTGCAAAAGGGAGAAAACTCAAGAGCATCCTTGATAAGCTAAACAATTTCAACCCAGCAATTGAATTTACCTTGGAAGAAGAGAAAAATGGAAAACTCGCATTCTTAGACACCATGCTATATGACAAAATAGATGGAAAAATTGGACACTATGTACACAGGAAGCCTACTCATACTAACAAATATTTGGATTACCAATCTTTCCATCCAAATGCCCACAAGATAAGCGTATGTGACACGTTACTACGAAGAGCCATAATTCTATGTGATGATGACCACGTGAACGAAGAGATTGAATTCGTAACAAACACACTGAAATCAAATGGATACCCCAACAAAATGATCCAAAGAAGATTACAAATCGTAAAAGAAAAAATTTCACACCCTCAAGAACCAAGTGAAATACAAAAACGAGTAATTTTACCATGGGCAGGAAAACCAACAACCAGAATTGCTCAATTCTTACGTAGGAAACTATCTTGGGAAATTGGATATTATCCTGGACAAAAAGTATCAACATTGGTACGTAATATGAAACAAAAAACAATACCATTAAATACAGGAGTATATGAATTTACTTGCTCGAATTGTCCTAAAAAATATATTGGAGAAAGTGGGCGATGCATAGAGAAACGTTTTTTAGAACACCAAAATGACGTGAGAAGATTAAACATTAAATCACCAATTTTCCTCCACACCATTGAAAACCAACATCAAATTGATGCAACCTCGCTGAAAATGATCATGAAAGAACCGAGGAAGTATCATAGAAAATTTAAAGAAGCTATATTAATCAGAAGCTCAAACAACATCATGAATTCATCCAAAGGAATGAATGTCAACCCTATTTGGTGCGCAACACTTGTAAATTTTTTAAAATTTGGTCCAGTTACTTAGTTGCTAATATGTGCTCATATACAAAATCACAAAAATTGATGTACATACATTATTTCATTTAATTTATCGGATTTGTAAAGACCTGATGAAGGAATAAGTATTCCGAAAGCTAGTCAGATTTACAATAAAGAAAATGTCCTCAGAATCCATGAATTCTTCTACAAATAAAAATTAGAATTAAATTGGGGTAGACAAACTGAATTGTCCTTGTGGCATACCAACTTCGACGGACGGACAAGATATTTCCATAAAGGGTTGTCACCCCTTCCTAATAAGATTTTTAATAGCCAGTAAAAATGACGCAATTTCAGGATCTGGGATTACTTGAGGCTGCTTGTCGAATCCAAAGGAACCACGGTTTTCGTCACGACGCATTATGTCCATGAAACGAGACAGTGCAAACATGTAAATAGATGTTTATGGAATTGCCAATTAATACGCAATGAGCTATTTACATACATATGAATACGAAACGACAACAAAATTGTGTATTGCATCTCACAATGGAACTTTTTTTCAAGCTACACGAGATAAGCCTAGTGACTTATGCTAAAAAATCAAGCTAAAAATTAGAAATGACGGGGTACTTATCTTTCCATTGAATGGGCACTTGGAGGTCAAATATTTGAGGGCAAAGTTCACAGTAGCGGCCTGTCTTTTTCTTAAGAGGTCGAGCGCAGGAGTGAAAATTTTCTCCTTCGAGGTCACTCCGCTCCCTTCACGCTCGCACTTCATTCACTGTATATTATTTTTAACAAAATTTTACAATCTTCTAAATTGGTGCATGCATTCATATAATTTTATATTTGCTTTTTAAAGTCCTACTATCCACCGATCCGTAATAAAAAAGTGACGATGGGTTCAATAAATTATAACTTATAATTTATAAAATATAGCATACACTCTTAAAAAATCAAGAACCGTTGGTATTGATACGTGACTCTACCGCGTGGTATTGATCCGGTCTTGAATTAATACTGCGTGGTAAAAACTTTAATACCAATTAGTATTAAAATTATTACCATGAGGTATAATTTCAATACCGGTTCTATACCAATATGGTATAACCGTTTAATACCAAGGCGGTAGAGTCACGTATCAATACCGTTAGGTTTTTTTCAATACCAAGTTTCTAAGAGTGTACATATTTATAGCAAATATAAAATTATATGAATGCATGCACCAATTTACGAGATTGTAAAATTTTGTTAAAAATAATATACAGTGAATGAAGTGCGAGCGTGAAGGGAGCGGAGTGACCTCGAAGGAGAAAATTTTCACTCCTCCGCTCGACCTCTTAAGAAAAAGACAGGCCGCTACTGTGAACTTTGCCCTCAAATATTTGACCTCCAAGTGCCCATTCAATGGAAAGATAAGTATCCCGTCATTTCTAATTTTTAGCTTGATTTTTTAGCATAAGTCACTAGGCTTATCTCGTGTAGCTTGAAAAAAGGCTCCATTGTCAGTCATTGACAAATTATATTTGTGTACATGTGAATGACAAGTTTCGTTTAAAACGGTTAATTCCTCTAACGTTAACTAGATATTCGTCACGTTATGCTTACATATGTAGATTGGTTACCTACGAGATGGTTCCATGTTGGTGCAAGATTCTCCGGACGCGTTACTTGAAAAATATGGTATGCAATTTTTTATAAAATTGACACATCTTTACAAATTAACTTCTTCAAAATTGATCTGAATATTTTCAGGTCCAAAGTGTACCTTAAACGAGGCAACTTTGGATGATGTATTTCTTCATTTATGCAAAATGCCACTTTCTCAACGAACAACCCCTAGAAAATTTACCACTTCTTCAAGATCCCCCGAAGTAAAAATGGAGCGTGAAGGGGACCGAAACGTCGAAATTTTATCCTTTAAGAACATCAGAGACGAATCAGTTAACATCCGTAGCGAACTACAAACGTGCAAACTCGACCAAAAATTAATACCCAGCACGTTTACGGCTACGAAGAATTACTGCTCTCAAGTTAAAGCACTTACAGTTCGCACTTCAATTATTTACCTCCGATTTATATCGTAAGTTGAAAAAAGTCAGTATCTAAATATACTAGAGATGAGTCAGGTCATGGGTAAACCGTGAAAACCCGGACGGGCCGGGTTAATAAATTCATCGGGTCAGGTCAGGTCCAAATATGTGTGACTCGACCCATCTCTATTTTAAACTGTTAAAAATCTGGTATAGTCATGCAATTATGTGTTGGTGTCTCGGTATCAAAGTTGTTACCCCTTGGAACTAAAATTAAGGTACAAGTCGTTAAAAATTATCTATCGATATAGTACAACTTTTATACCGAGCTATGTACGTATTACCAATCAGTACAATGTTAGTAGACTCATCTGCTTGGTACGATTTTGATACTTTATTTCAAAGAATATATGCGTGCGTTTACATACATTTGAAGAGGCACTCTTAGTAAAATGGTACTGAATTTCACAGACCCGAGTGCATATTTGACTTGCCCATTTTAACAGTGTATGTATTTATATATTCGTTGTGGATTTTTCTAACTATGTACATAAATCCACTCATAGATTACCACTCATCCAGCTGGTCTTAATATTAATCAACATGCTCATTGCCCTGTATGCTTTTGGATTTGACCCAAAAGGTCTCACCTTGGGAGCAATAATTGACAACGGACAAATCCACTGCGACACAAATCTCGGCCATCCAATTTCTTCCGGCAGGAATGTAACACGCCCAGAAATAGATTATACGTGTCGACTATTGAACATTATTGAAAAATTGGGAGTTAATTGGGTACGTAAAAATGTGTCTAATTTAAATTTTATAAAAAATCTTAAGGGACCCTGTATATAATGTATTGCGTCATCAAAAAAGTGGGTGGGTGGTTTTGGGTCACATCTTGCTCATGTTAAGCTCAACATTTGTAGCATAGAAGGGTTAGCTAGGTGGGTGGTTTAAAAATCGGCACTTTTTGATGACCTAACATGTGGACTTTCCTTAATCATGAGAAATATACTTAACATTTACTTACATACATAGGTGCCCATGGATACTGAATTGGATGCACTACAAGACGTTAAAACTGGTGGTATCACGGGTTATATAAAATTCCCGATAAATTTTACGGAAAATGTGATAAACCGATTTGTCTGGAGGATCCATGCGGACGAGGAAATTTTAAATGGATCCACTATTTCGATTAGATTAGATAATTCTGGTAAGATTTCACATTCACATTTAGAAGATAAGTACATACATTGATTTTTTATAGAATACTTGAACACGTACTTCCTGACCAACTCGTTGTACGAATCTGTCCAGCAGTTTGCATTATTAAGTGCGAAAGAGTCTGATGTGGACGAACGGGTGGTCAAATTACCTTTACAGGTACACTAGTAAAACTGGTAATGAATTATTACTGTCCGGAGTACATATGCATATCTATGTATGTATGACTCTACCGGCACTGGTAATAACCGGCATTGTTGTGGTAATGAAAAGTTCGTCAATCAGAAACAAATAGAAGCCTTTAGGGGCCGTCCATAAATTGCGCAAGGCGAGATGGGGAGGGGGGGGGGCTATGAATCCAATGCTATCGTGGCTACGGTACGCATGTTAAAGAGAGGGGAGGGGATGTCTAGAAAATCACGATTTTTTCGTTATGCAATTTACATATGGACGGCCCCTTATCGAATAAATTAATGCCAATCTGTGAATTTATGTACAGTTCAACCCAATCTATGGAAATCTGTTACTCACTTGGAACTCATTTCTGGTTCCGACCGTAGTGCTTATGTAAGTTTGTTAACATTTAGCAAGAAAATTATCAGAAAGCTTAAAGATTAAATATTAAATATTGAAGTTAAGCGAACATACATCAACCTTTGTATATTTCGCAAATTGAGCATAAATACTTGACTAACAAGTTTTGAGGAATTTGTGAAATTGCGAAAAACTTGCTGGAAAGTCATTCCACAAACTCATCGATTATATTGCATTCTTTCCCTACAGACTGTGGACCTTTATTTCGACCACGTTGGGCTTCATCCACATACTTGATCGTGGCGAAAACACCTTTGCTCGCACGATGGCCACCGGTGTGAAGTACGGTCAAATTCAGCTCGGCTTCTATTTTGCGGATATCCCACTGGCCATTTTTCAAGGCGGCCTGATCTTAACCATGATTTGGTGGGATCGTGGCGAACAAATTAAGGGAAGCTGGGCCTTAATCGGGCTGATCTTCTATCTCGCGAGGGTGGCTGTTCTCTCGCTTTATTTCGTTTTGGGGTCGTTGAATGTGAACGTCAAGGATACGACAATTCTAACGATTTCCGTCGTTATGGTTTATGTGTACGCGTCAGGTAAGAATACTAGAATTTACACAATTACTGAATCCATGTTCCACATGGTTCTAAATAAATAATTGCCTTTTAGATACGATCTGGCCAATCGAAGCTGTCGTGTGGTGGTACCGACCGTTTTGTCACTGCCTTCCGTTGACCGTTACGATCCGCGTGTTGCGCTCTGTTATGACGAAAGGTTGGGGGATAACTCATCCAACCGTGTTTTTCGGATTAATTTGCTTCCCCCTAATAATCACGGGTATTAGCACCATGGTGTCATTCGTGGTGGAAAGGAGAAACAAAAAGTAGTGCTTTAAATATTGGTTGATAAAATGTATGAAAAATGAATACTAAGATTATGTAAGGTGTAACTCTTTAAAAAAGTGTAACAAATCAAATAAGGTGTGCTTACAAATTTGCCAAAGAAATTTCTAATTTTAGATATTATTGAGACACATGCCGTATAATAAATTAAAAATTAAGTTTGATTTTTTAATTCAGCACCATAGTTGGACATATGTAAATGCATGTAAACCGAATTTCATAAGTTAAAAGCAAAACAATACGTACACAACGTATATGCTTTCGAACATTTCAATTTTCTGAATTTCGCCATAGTCATGATTTTAGATCTCTGTGCTTGACGAAATATTTTTGTGGGTATAAAAAATCGCACATTGTCGTACCATAGCTCATTTTTTCGTGATAAAAAAATAAGCCAATAAAAAATATTAGAAGTAATAAAAAATATCCATGGAGTTTCATTTTTGACCATTCATGTCGAATCTTAAAAAAATTCTGACCTTTGACCTGTCTGTGACATTAAATATGACGACGCGGAAATTATCCACAGGTAGGTAGTTTTGACATTTGTATACGACCTTTTACGTTCTAAAAATTATGAGATCATATAGAAATAAAAAAAATATGTTGTTGCATCCACAATTTTTTACATATGTATATACTGTATGTATGTCGCATTATGTCACCCTTCCCTTGCTGTCGTCTTATCAAACCGCAGTGTTTTTTATTTTGGCGGGGATGGAGCCGTCTTGCGTTCACCACGCTGACCTTGATGAGACGCCCAATGGATCCTGCCCGCTCAGAACCATCTGGTTTCTGGAGACGCCTTGTCCCATCCAATATTTCTAGCGGTGAACCATTCTCATTGTGTTGCTATACTGGTCACCATGCCTGGAATATGCAACTTGACGCGATATTTTTACAACGTTTAACTAACGACCGAATCGCCCTTGTGAAAGCATTTTTAAAGATTTTTTGTATTTAGCCTGTATTAGGATGCCGAATGCTACTTGTAATTGATGCCCACAACTGGATAATTTTGCTAAGTGTGACCTGTACTGACACCATGAAGTATTAAGCATGGTATGTACATATTTACCCATGTTAGAATGTCGAGTGCTAATTGTGAATGCACATGCACACAAATATCTTTGCAAAATTATATCAATGTATTGAAGACAGCATGTGTGTATTTAGAATCCTTTCTTGGAGTGTGCATATGTATATCTATGCTAAATAATGTATATTAAACTCGAGAATAATTCAGCGCAAGAGTTGTAATAAAAAATAGAAAAAAATTAAATTGCTTCACATGCATAAAAATAATTATGGAAATCAAGTAAAAACTCGTATAATTAAAAGGACCAAGCAAAGTTAGAATTATCTAGATATGTATTCATATCATGGAAAATTTCACAGTGACGTTTAAACACGGGCAAAGTTATAATACATCATTAATTATTTACATAACAAGTTTTCGAGGTTGCAAGTGGTAATTGAGGGTCCAAAATGTATAACTTACACTCTTAAGAATAATCTGGTAGAATCATCAAATATTTCATGGTTAATTTCACCTACCTGTTGGTAAAAAGTAGTGATCGAACATTTCTTTCTCATCATTTCTGTATATTCCCAGACGGTGGCAATTTTTATTACTAGTTCCGGTGGGGTCATATTTATTTATTAAGGTCGGCAGGTAATATATAATTACCAATTTTTGACAGAGTAGATATTTATTCCCTGTCATAAGTCTGGAACGGTCAGGCAGATATTTATTTCTAGGTATAAATTCTTCGATACTAATATTCGGTAGTATGTCGGTATTATGTAAAGTTACCGTTCGGTATTGAAATCATATCAGACATTTTCTATTTACCGATATGGTATAACGTTAAGACGGAGTTATTACTACATGGTATTACTTATCAATCCAACTTTGATTGATAGAGTCATACATGAATACCGTTTGGTATCATTTTATTACTGGATTTCTAAGAGTCGATATATAAATAATCAAGAGGAATGTCTTATCAGATGCACATGCACATATGAAGCAATACTCCACATGGCTCCCTGCCTAGCTAAAAATACTAGCTAAAAGAATACATGATACATTCCCTTTGAAAATATATAACCTTGTAAATACATATATAAATGCAACATACATACTTATGGATAAACATAGGGCGGATATGTATGTACTTAAATTTCTCAAAATAATATGTGTGTAATTAGTATTTAAAAAACTGGAAAATATTTACATAAATATTTTTATGTACATAAAAAATATTTTTCAACTTAAATTTCAGACCATCTTCACATTTTATCTTCAAGAAGAGAAGAAATCTTTAGAAGGTTTAAATTTTTTAACGCTTATAGCGAATTATATATAACATCAGTATGTTCAAGTTTATTTTCAGACTCATAAAGTGACCGGTCTGGCTTGTTATAAAAAAAGTTCTAAATGCATACATATCCGCCGTTTGTATATAACCTTGTAAATAAATAATTGCAACACATAAAAAAATATATGTATGTATTTGCATGTATATAAAAATACATTGTGTCCCGCTGCAGAAAAAATATTTATTTAGTTACAATCATGGCTCAGGTGTAGCTAGTCGGGTTTGAAGGTGTGGAATTTTATATAGCAGATTTCCCACTAAATTTGCATAAAGTCTCAACTTTCTTCAATTTCGTGAGATTATTCCAGTGTAAGATTTGGATATTAGTTTAAATAATGTCTGGATTTGCAGCTTTAAATATAGTTTCCGCCACAAAAGCGTATGCAAACAAGGTGGTTTTGCATGGAGTTGATATCAAGGTGGAGAAAGGAACTATGTAAGTGAAAATTTTTTAGCATGGATAAACGAGAATAATGAATAATTTTTTAACTTACTTCAATTTACGTAAACCTACCTCTGAAAATTTTGAAATTATATATACTTATTACAAATAAAAAATGTAAATAATTTTGTTGTACATGAATAGATACGCTCTTCTGGGTCCCAGTGGGTGTGGGTAAGGTGTACGTTATTTTGAAAAAATTGTAAAAATCAGGAAACGCTCGTAAAACTTGTTATTAGCAATTTGGTGTGAGTTTGAGCCTAGTTACATTCACACATGCATAAAGTTCATGTCAATTTTAGCTTATAAAGTATATGTGCATGTACTTACGTACGATTGTGTTACAAAAGCTCCCAATTTCTCAAAAATTTGAACAAATTTATGTGCGATGTGGTCCAAATTATGAACGTGTGACTACCAGTATTTAATTAGTTACTAATTGATGTATTTCCTAATTAGGAAAACCCTCTGATATCTTGCATCGTGGGAATTCAGCAGTTGCACGAGGGAAGGGTAGAAATCTTTCGAAAAAATGTGACCAATTTTAAAAATGGAATGCCTGGAAGTCTCATTGGCTACATGCCACAGGTGAATACTTATGTAGTTGATTTATATGCTTCTTAGACCTTAATCATATTTATGTAGATATTGACAACTCGTTTTTTTAAATCATCACTTCCGCACATTTATAGGAAAATGCGCTTTACAGGGCGCTCACAATTATGGAGACATTCACCTACTACGGAAGATTGCACGGCATACCTTCACCTGATGTTTTACGGAGAGTGGAAACCTTGAGAAATGTCATGAATTTGCCCAATATGAACAGTCGTGTGGAACAAATCAGGTATATGTAAAGTCCAGTTTTAAAAGCTTCCGGCAGATTAATACACTTTAGATAAATAATTTGGAGACAAATCGTCACCCACGGAGGTACTGTCCTGTTCTATTTCTGGGTAATGATTAAGGATATGCTTTGTCACCAATGGGAAATATGTTAGTCAAAACTACGTGTATGAACCAAACACAAGTGAGGTCGACATTAAAATATTCTATATTTTCATGAACAACTTGTTTTTTTTAAATGCCGACGTCACGTGCTTTTACACGATTTTTTTTTACTTATTCCTATTTTCTTGAAAAAACGCATTCGTAATCACTACCCTGAAGTAGAACACGATACCTAGCACCTCGGTGGGTGAAGATTTGTCTTCAAATTATCTAAAGTGTAACTTGTAACTATTTATTTATTAAGTGGTGGAGAACAACGGCGTGTCTCACTTTGTGTGGCGTTGCTGCATGACCCTGAAATTCTTCTTTTGGACGAGCCTACGACCGGGATAGATCCGCTTTTACGAGAAAGGTATTGCAAAAAAGTAAGAACATTTTTAATAGCCAATAAAAATTGTGCAATTTCAGAATCTGGGATTACTTGAGACTTCTTGTTGAATCCAAAGGAACCACAGTTTTCGTCACGACGCATTACGTTCAGGAAACGAGACAATGCAAAAAAGTAAATTCACATTAATTTAAATTTTAAGCAAAATTTAAGATTTTTTAAATACTGTAATTTTTGGAAAAGAATTTAGTATGCCACCTGAGCGATATGGCGTCATATGATACCTCATTTTGTTCAGTTCGTCGAGCTGAACAAGAATATCAAAACCATTTAGGGCGGAAACGCTCCGTTCAAAAGTTATGGCGGGTCAAAGTTTGAAATTTTTATTGCATTTTTGGACGTTTCGGAGAATTCTAAGACTTTGTCTCACTTTCCCCCAAAGCGGGAAATTTTTTGGGGTATATTGAGATTTTGGGGTAAGGTGAGATTTTTACTTTTTACTGTAAAATATTGAATTTCAATTATTTTCACGCAAGGCGGGAGTGTTTGTTTTTAATTTTTGGGCTATATCTTATCTAATTCTCGCACCTACCATCTTCCAGGCAACACTTCTAGGTAGTATTTCTAGGTAGGACTTCTAGTTCTAGGTACCAGTTCTAGGTAGCTCTTCTAGGTAGCACTTCTAGGTAGCACTTCTAGGTAGCTCTTCTAGGTACCTCTTCTAGGTAGCACTTCTAGGTAGCACTTCTAGGTAACTTTCCTAGGTAGAAATTTCCGCGTATTCTATCTAACCTAACCTCGCTCGCTTCGCTCGCTTAAATACGAACAATACCCCAATATGGGCATAATCTCATCTTAGTCCAGTCTCCATATACCCCAAAAGTCTCAAAAAACTCCGAGAACCTTCTAGGTAGCACTTATAGGTAGTACTTCTAGGTAGCACTTCTAGGTAGCACTTCTAGGTAGCTCTTCTAGGTACTTCTTCTTGGTAGCACTTCTAGGTAGCACTTCTAGGTAACTTTCCTAGGTAGCACTTTCCGCGAATTCTATCTAACCTAACCTCGCTCGCTTCGCTCGCTTAAATACGAACAATACCCCAATATGGGCATAATCTCATCTCACCCCCCAAAAGTCTCAAAATGCCCAAAACCCTTCCCGCCCTGCGGGAGAATGATTGAAATTCCATATTTTACAGTAAAAAGTAAAAATCTCACCTTACCCCCCAAAATCTCAATATACCCCAAAAAATTTCCCGCTTTGGGGGAAAGTGAGACAAAGTCTTAGAATTCTCTGAAACGTCCAAAAATGCAATAAAAATTTCAAACTTTAACCCGCCATAACTTTTGAACGGAGCGTTTCCGCCCTAAATGGTTTTGATATTCTTGTTCAGCTCGACGAACTGAACAAAATGAGGTATCATATGACCCCATATCGGCCAGGTGGTATACTAAAGTGTAGCCTAATTTTTCGAATTTGTACCCAGCATTACTTATTAAATAATTCTGAGTTCAATTCTCATTGCTTTAACTTTTAACTTTAAACGAGTAACGGGTTTTATTTTTTATTTTTAAAGATTCAGAAATGGCATGAAAATATCAAACTTTAAGATTTCTTAAAAATTAACATTAATTTGATATTTGTAGATTGGCTATCTTCGAGATGGCTCCATGTTAGTGCAAGATTCTCCGAAAGCTTTACTGGAAAAATATGGTACGTGAATATTTTTAAAATTATCTTAAAGCTATGCAAATTTTTTTTAATCGAAATAATTTCAGGTCCGAATTGTACGACAGCTCTGGATGATGTACAGAGATTCGCATTTCTATCTGAAAACGAATTTGTCGTTGAATAACCCCGGAACGGTATGTCGCAGCGGGTCAAAATTTTGAACAGACGAGCATGTTATCCTCAGATGGGTGTGTGCAAAAATTCAACTCTCTACTTTCAAAACTGCCTCCCCCACAGCCCCCAGAAGTCCAGACAGTCATAAAAAGTCTTTCCAAACTTAAATGCTCATACACCAAAATAATTAAACATCTTGAAAGTGAAGGGAATACATTTTCGAAATCTTGAATCAATAAGGTATTGGAAAATATAGGTGAAAAGTGAGAAATTTTGAGTAAATGGCAACCACCACCCCTAGAAGAAAGCAAAGAAAAGTGTTAATTCCGACCGTACTTAGAAAAATTGACCTTGTGACCTCAAAAGACAATCCACCGACCCAAAAGTAAATTTCCCGTAAGGTTGGGGTGTCTAAGCCTTGAGTGAAAAGAGAAATTAAGATTTTGAAGAAACGACTTCGTCGGAAAACTCGTGTGCATAAGCTGACCGAGAAACAGGAAAAAAATCGCGTCCGTGTTTGCAAAAAAATTTATTCAAATTTTCTGTTAAGGAATAAGAATGAGTTTTTGTTGACATTTGACGAAGCACTATTTTCTCTATAAGTTACTAATTGGGTTCAAAGAGCTTACTATACGACAAATGCCGAAAACAATTCACGCAAGTTAGTGCTTTCCCGTGAGGAGAACTTTTGTAACAAGTTTATGGTCGTGGGTGCAATGTCGGGTCGTGGTGTCCTCCCACTTATAAAAGTCCCCCAAAAAGTGAAGGAATCTTCGAAGTATTATGTGGACCGTGTATTGAAACCACTTTTAGAATACCATTTTCCCAAACTGTACGGCAAAAAAATAATTAAGGTGATTTTTCATCATGACGGAGCGTCTTCCCAGACCGCAAAGTTGATCCAAGATTATGCAAATGACCTTGAAGCTATATTGGAGATAAAAATCACATCTAATAGTGAAATACCTGTACAATCCCCCGATGTAAGTCAAATGGGCTTATTTGGGGCCGGATACGTGAAAAGAAAAAAATTTCTGCGGAGACCGAATTTTTTAGCCGGAGTTTGAAAAGAGTTGAAATGACTGTCTCGACTTCTGGGGGCTGTGGGGGAGACATTTTTCAAAGTAGAGAGTTGAATTTTTGCACACATCCATCTGAGGATAACATGATCCTCTGTTCAAAATTTTGACCCGCTGCGACATACCGTTCCGGGGTTATTCAACGACAAATTCGTTATCAAATAGAAATGCGAATCTCTGTATTTCTTAATTTATGCAAAACTCCACGTTGCCTGCCAACATCCCTAGGGTTGCCATCCGATCGGATAGGATAGGATAGGATAAAAATTATCCTTATCCGATCGGATAAAAATACCACTCGGATAACCATCAAATGATTATCCTATCCGACGGATAATTCGGATATCCGATCGGATAGGATAGGATAATTAAATTAATCACAATTTTCATTAGAGATTCAAATAAATTCGCTTTATTTAAACTAAAACTTCACTTTTTATGCCAATAAAGAATCTTCTAATTTAAACCAATCTTTTAAACACATGCAAAATTGGATTGTATCAGCCATTAATCTGTTTCGACATGGGGTTGTAAGATTTTTTGCCTTGGAGAAAGCTCTTTCGGCTGGAGAACTTGTCGCAGGAACTGGCAAATAATCTCGAGCCATCTTGCAAAGGAAGGGATAATCGGACTGACGTGTCTAAATAAAATAAGAATAATGTGTTAATGTCGTAAGAATAGTTCCTGGCGACGATGACTTTCAAAATTTACCTTCCAAAATTGAATTCGATCGCAAACTATTTTCGGATCATATGGAAGCACTTTTTCTGCCAAATATTTGTTGATGTCGGTTCTGTCTTCAATCTTTCGTTTCTTGTAAAGGTGACTAAGTAAAGGGTTAATATTCCCATCATCCGCGTCATCGTTCTCTTCTGGAAGGTTTTCAGATGTTTGGTAGATATCTGTGTACAAATCCTTTACGCAATTCTTGACTTTGTTGCAAGAGCCTGAAGTCCATCCTAAATCTTTGAAGAAGGCCATCTTCAATGTTGGGATATTGCGATATTGCGGTAGCAATATTGCGACCAGCAATATTGCGGTTGCGTATGTACGGTTAAGAGGAGATCCAGTAAGATCGTAATATTTGGTTATCTTCTCCAGGGCTACTTGTGCGGCACGTTTTAGATCATCATCTTGTGAATTCTTAACAAAATTTCTTCCTTTGTCTATCAAATAATTGTAGATGGGAATCGAGTGCTGGATGGTGGGGTACTTTTCCTGACAGAGGAAAGAGGTCGCATGATCATAAATCTAGAATTATATTATCACAAAGCAAATAATTGATTTTGTTTAATTGGTTTCAACCTAGTGACCGTCAAAAAGTTTCATGGAATTTCATGGAGTTTCATGAATTTTACCTGTAGAAATTCACAAATGGATTGCAGTGTGTTCCAATCTCTATCCGATGTTGAAAATTCACGTAAATCCCGCTCAGCAAAGCTAATCATATTAATAGTCTGGAAAACAGAATTTAAAGCTTTAAATTAACGATCTATATTACCGAGTTCATGTGTAATTTTGCGTAATTAATTTTGCGTATTACGTAACGCGAGAACCCCAGTGATATCGTGTATATATTACATATTTTAAAGTGGGAGGGGTTGAGAAAATCGCGATTTTTCACTTACGCAATTTAAGGGCGGCCCCTTTTGGACTCAATATTTATTGGGTTTGCTAGTGTAGACGTCGGTCAGTCGACGTGCAAAAAAGGCCAGTCAGTAGAGAATGAAAATATTTGTGAAGTTGGCCTCCCCGGTTGTCTCTGCAGAGTAAAGAGAGAAACGGGGATGCTAACTTCTCAACTAAGGACTAGAAGGTCACTACTTGTCGGGCCCCGATTTCGATCTCCTTTGGATATGTTGTAGTACTACATGAGTGTAGAAAAAGTGAAGGAGGGTTAGACTCCATGAGCCCATTTACGCCCGCCACACCCCCTCAAAGGCGCCCAAACCCCCAGAGTTGCCGCACTAAGATCATCGCCAAAAATCGAGTTTTGGTCACATTTTCAAAAAAATTACATTTTTGTGATCCCAGATAGTTGCTCTATCATATCCAATAGCAAACTCAACTTTTTTGAAATTTTCAATATTTTCGAAGATTTTCTGACCAAGGGTAGGTATTGAAAAAATTCGAAATTTCAAAAAAGTTGAGTTTGCTATTGGATATGATAGAGCAACTATCTGGGATCACAAAAATGTAATTTTTTGAAAATCTGACCAAAACTCGATTTTTGGGGATGATTTTAGTGCGGCAACTCTGGGGGTTTGGGCGCCTTTGAGGGGGTGTGGCGGGCGTAAATGGGCTCATGGAGTCTAACCCTCCTTCACTTTTTCTACACTCATGTAGTACTACAACATATCCAAAGGAGATCGAAATCGGGGCCCGACAAGTAGTGACCTTCTACTCCTAAGCCACCGACCAGCGACTTGTGGGCTTTAAGAATATAGGATTACTACCTCTTTTAGGCCAATAGCTCTTTTTATCATTTCATATGTCGAGTTCCAACGGGTTTTGACGTCCAAAATTAATTGTACGGGTTTTATATTTGCTGCATCGCAAGCCTTGATAAATTTCTCTCGTCGTTGAGGTGACGCTCGAATTTTGACAATCAGTTTTCGAAGCTATGAATACAAATAGTTAGATCAATACTTTTTGTAAATAAATATTAACTTGAACTTTAGACTTTACCTTACAAACTGAATTTTTCAAATCAATTTTAGAGATTTCACATTCCTCCTCCGAGTCGAACGGTGGAGTGCCAAGTTCGGCTAAAAAATCAGTCACAGCTAAATGCATGATGTGGGCAATATATCTAATTCTGGTGTGCTCCGGAGTGAAGTTTGGAAGCTTTGATTGAAATGCTTGGCACATTGTATCATTATTCGTAGCGTTATCAGTCACGATGTTCAAAATCTGTCGGTGTGAATTACATCAATTTTATCATGGTTAATCCTCTTTGATAAACTCAATAGATTTTACCTTCTGCTGTATTCCTAGTTTTTGAAAGCTCTGGAGTATAGCGTCACTAAATTTACACCGGTATGGGGTCCCTCAATTTTGAAAAAATCCAAAAGTATATTTCTCAAGTTCCACGAGTTGTCAATAAAGTGGCCTGTAATTCCAACGAATGCTTCCATATTCGAAGATGTCCAGACGTCGACTGTGACCGAAATTTTTGATGTCAGTTTCTAGAAAGAAAATATAAATTTAAAGTTCTAACAAATCAGATATAGTTATACGGAACACGATTACTAACTTCTAATGCTGATCTCAATCTCATTTGTAAGTCGTAAAATTTAGTTCTTATAGCCTCTGTTAATTTTGTACGACCCGGCACCTTAACGTTAGGGTTGATCAAAGAAATCATTGCTCGGAATTCCGGCGATTCAACCTCTAGGAATGGCTGGTCTGAGCTTACTATCCACTTAACCAGGAAGTCGAGAAATTTTTCATTGCTAATCTGAAAATTTGTGCAAACTTTTTTGGGTTAAATATTCGTGGTAGATATTGCTAAAAATTATAATTAAAATGTATAAACTGGAGCACCAAAAATATAATTATTTACCTGGCTGCTGATGAGGTAACGATCCAAGTTACACTTAGGAATTAGCTCTTGACTGGACTTTTTTTCAGTTTCGCAAAACTCTTTGTGCTTATTTTGAAGATGACCACTTAAATTTTTTGTACTTCCCATTGCTTTCCTCAAGTCATACCTTGTAAAATTAGTATATTATTTAACTACGAATGCAATTCACAAATTTAAAAAGAATAAAAATGTGAAATACTTACTTTGCACTGCAATAACGACACTTCTTTGCTATAAATATTTCCCCATTTTTGTCCTTGGTAGACTTATCCTCAAAATGGGCCCAAACCCAGCTTTTTGATAAGTCAACCTGCACCTCACTACTGTTCCCTTGATTACAAGCGCCTTCATTGTCAACAACTTCAATTTCTTCCTCAGCGACGTCCATTTTGATGGACGTGGTTTAACTACGTGTAGAGAAGATGACAGAAAACAATGGAGGTTCCAAAACTAAATTTCGCGCCAGCATGGACATGAAGGAGAGAAAGCGAAAAAAGAAAGACAATGTGAAATAATGCCCCAGAGAGAAACAACGGATTAAATATAAAATATCCGACATCCGTCGGATATCCGATAGACACCATCGGATAATCCGAGTCGGATAATTTGAAAAAATTATCCTATCCGACGGATATCCGAGTCACGTTTTTCCTTATCCTATCCGACATTATCCGATCCTATCCGATCGGATAGGATAATCTCGGATAAAAACGGCAACCCTAAACATCCCTCCAGGCACAATTTGCAACTTCCCTAAAATCCTCGAAAGTTAAAATGGAACGTGCTTTCGACGAAAGCGTGAAATTTTTATCGTTTGGGAATATCAATGATGAGTTGTTTAACACATTGAGTAAACCAAACAAGCCAGATCCTAAATTAATATCCAGGACTATGAAAACTTACTGTTCTCAACTTAAGGCACTTACCGTCCGAAATTCAATTATTTACACCCGATCTATATCATAAGTTGTATCTTGTACTGAAAATATTAAGTATTTTGATGGGGTACACTTAATAAAAAATAATGCTACCCTCTTAAAACATAAATACGATTTATGTTGAAGCTTAGTACTTAATACGTGAAAAAGTTTAGCAAATGGGGAAAGTAACGTTTTGAAATTGATTTGAATCAACACTCCCATTTGATACAGTTTTCAAATTTTTAAAGTTTTGTGAAATTAGAGTAATTCCAGTGAATGAGTAATTTAACACAAAGCATAAAACCCGGCTTTCTGAGGGAAAAATTCTTCCTGAGTACTAGACTTACATATTTAAACTATATTAAATCCAGAGTTAACTTTGCTGTTATTCAAGAAATTTAACTGTAATATGCAATTTAGAGTGCATTTACTTTTCCAAAGGGTAAGATTATTTTTACAAGTGTGGCCTGTTTAATCTTCAAAATTTGAACTCGAATTATATACGAAAATTGTAAATGTTTATTTTCAAATTATTATATGGCAATGTGTCTAAATAATTTTTCTTACCGGATTCTAAGATTGCCACTCCTCCAGCTCGTTATGTTGTTAATGAACACATTTCTTAGCTTGCACGGTATCGGATATGATCCACAGGGTCTCAACTTGGGGGCAATCATTGACAATGGACAACTAGAGACCCTATGTGACACAAAGCTGGACCATTCAATCTCTTCAGTACGAAGGCAAACAGAAATAGATTACCCCTGTCGATTATTGGACATTATCGAAAAACTGGGAGTTAACTGGGTAACTTTACTAATTTGCATTTTCTGAAAAAAAAACATTTAATTATCAAAATATCCATATTTATGTAGGTGCCCTTAACTACCGAGTTAGATGTCGAGCAAGCTATTAAAGCTGGTGACCTAATGGGTTACTTAAAATTCCCAGAAAATTTTACGGAAAATATGAGAAAACGATTTGTCTGGAGAATTTACGCTGATGAAGAAACTTTAAACGGGTCCACTATTTCCATCAGATTAGACAATTCCGGTTCGTGGAAACCTTTATAAAGGGTGGTTTAAAAAGATCTCGCTACAATGAAAAATTTCTCTGAGGGAAAAGCCCCTAAATCTCCATTAGTTATAAGGATTTGGGATTGAGATTTTTATTAATTATTATCAAAACGGGTGGAATACTGATGATAAAATTCTTAAAACGTTGAATTTCAAAGACGAAATTTCGGGAACTAATGGAAATTTACGAATTTTTCCTTTTGAAAAATTTCAAATTGTTGCGAGACATTTTAACCACCCAGCATATGCATTATGCCGATATGTTACGAAATACCAAACGTGAATGGTAAAAGTCTTAATCTTCGTTACAGAATATATGAACACGTACTTTATTACCAAATCGTTATATGAATCCGTTCAGAAATTCCTACTATCAAGCGCAAACGATTATGACGTGGACGAACGGACGGTCACACTGCCGTTACAGGTATGTTGGTCTATTGCCTATGGGCCGTCCATAAATTACGTAATGAAAAAATCTCGATTTTCTACACACCCGCTTCCCCCTTTAGCAAATGTACGATGTTATTAGAGCCTTAGATACCCCTCCCTCCTCTCGCGATAGGGATCGTCCATAAATTATGCAAAGCGTGAGACGGAAGTGGGGGTTCATAGCTCCAATGATATCGTGCCTATATTATTGGGGAAGGGACGGAGGGCGCCTAGAAAATAGAGATTTTTGCGCAACATAATTTATGGACGCCCCCTACCCACGCATTTAAATATTTACTGATAGGTACATATATCGTAAATTAACTGATTAATTCTAGTAATCTTCGAATTTTTGTACAGTTCAGTCCAATCTATGGAAGCTTATTTCACACCTGGAACTCGTTCATTGTTTCGGCCGAACTTCTTCTGTAAGTTTGTTAACATTTTTATCATAAAGTCGCTAGAATTCAGCTAAGGATAAATTATAAATTATAAATCATCATTACAGATTGTGGACCTTCTTTTCAACAACGTTTGGTTTCTTTCACGTAATTGATCGTTGTGACAACACCTTTGCTCGAACGATGGCCACGGGTGTGGACTTTGGCCAACTTCAGCTGTCCTACTATTTTTCGGACATCCCTTTGTCCTTCTTTCAAGGTGGACTGATCTTACTAATTTTCTGGTGGGATCGAGGCGAACAAGTCCAAGGAAGCTGGATCTTGATCGGGGTTATCTTCTATCTCGCCAGGATGGCCATTCTCTCGCTGTATTTCGTGGTGGGAACGTTCAATATGAATGTGAAGGACATGACGCTTTTAACGATTTCAATAATTATGGTTTACGTATACGCCTCAGGTAGATATGCATATATTCAAACGTATTGTTGCTTATCTATCGACAAGCTTCGTTCGTTGGAAAGTTTGTGATTTAGGGCGGTCCATAAATTACGTAAAGCAAAAATCCCGATTTTCTAAGCCCCCCGTTTAACATGTGTAACATGGGCACGATATATTTGAAGCCTTGGACCCCCCTTCCCCCGCTTGCGTTACCTAATTTATGGACGGCCCATTTTGTATTATTTTTCATTCTTAATACACGGTTAGTCACGCAGGTGTTTATTTTTTGGCCTTAAATTTCACTGGTCTGTAGAAATTTGCTACCGATATGGTTAAGTCTTAATTCCGGTACCCTTAAGGTAAGAGAATTTCTAAGAGTAAAATTTACATCTACATTTTTTCAATTCATGGAAATAATACTCGCTTCCAGAAGTAACGCATCATATCGCAAAAAAGACAATTTTCTGTTTGATTTTAATTTAATTTTTCCATTTTTCTAATCTACTTATTTACCTAATTAAGGGCTTGGTTCAGAATCCCCCGTGGTAACACTAGGTCACTTTTATCCAACTTTGCCCCAGCTTTGCATAGGATGGGTTGCATGAAAATTTTTTTACCCTCAGGTAAACTGAGAAAATTATTCGAGAAAATTATAAAATAAACTTGTTGGCCCTAAACCTCACCCGTCTCGTGTAATTTTGGGTTTACCAGGACATGCTTATTTTTACTAAGATCAACTTTTATGAGAAAACTAGTGAGAGAAATTAGATTCGGTTTTTGGCAGAAGCTGGACAAATAAGTTTGTTAGTGCACCAACTATTTCTGCTAATTTATGAACGTCCAGGGGATTATTGAAGAAACACAATACCGTAAAAACTCAAATAGTAGCCGGGTGCTACTATTTAAAAAATCGGTGGCTGGGACCCGGCTACTATTTGAGCAAGGCTACTATTTGGGCACGGTCACTATTTATAAAATTATGAAAAGATACACGGCTACTATTAGCAAACAGCTATTGTAATTTTATTTCCAGAATCAAACGCAAATTAAATTTTAATAACAGCACCAAATTATCCCTAACATTCGTATTAGATGACAATTCTATAGGTTAGACCTGCTCTTAATTTTAATAATTTCTCCGATGAGCCGAATTTCGTGTCCAATTCGATTTTGTATAACTGAGATTAAATGGCATCGTAATTTAATTAATTAAATGGGCTGGCTAGGAGATGTCTGGTTGTATGTATGTACATTGGAAATTGACGAACGTCTATAATTCGAATAAGGCTACTATTTGAGCAGGGCTACTAATTGAGTTTTTACGGTATACGGTAAAACCGGTGTCGCCAATAAATATAGGCTACATATATACACTTTCCGTCAAACTGATAAATTATCCAAATGATCCCCTCGTCTAGATTCAGGTCTTGGTTGCATTTAAAAATTAAGATATCCCATATATGCACGAATAGTTTTGCTAATTAATCCACTGGATTCAAATTTTTTACACACAACCCATCCTATGCAAACCTGTGACAAAGTTGTATAAAAATGGCATGGTGTTACCACGGAGGATTCTGAACCAAGACCTTAATGTTTTCAATATTTCTAACTGTCCTTTAGATACGATCTGGCCTATCGAATCTGTCGTGTGGTGGTACCGACCATTTTGCCACTGCCTTCCGTTCACCGTGACGATCCGCGTTCTGCGTAGTGTGATTACGAGAGGGTGGGGAATAACGCATCCCACCGTGTTTTTCGGAGGTATCTGCGTCCCAATAATTATCACGGGAATTAGCACCATGGTGTCGTTTGTGGTGGAAAGGAGAAACAAAAAGTTGTGATTTACTAATATGTATGAAAGTGAGATTATGTATAGGCTACAACTTTTACCGGAAAGCGTTTAGGGAGCGTCCATAAATCACGTGATCGATTTTTGGACAGTTTTGACCCCCTCCCCCCCTTGGTGACCGGTGGTGATAATTTCGCTACCCCCCCCCCCACCGGTCACGTGACACGAGATGATGCTCAAATTAAATCATGTCCGGAATAACAATATTTTTTAAATCATTAATCAAATTAGAGCTACATTACACACATGTGTAAATAATTATTTAATACGCCAGTCAGACATAAGAATTTAGGTCGAAGCAAGTTTATAAATATGCAAAATGAAAATCAAATTTATATAACGTGCGTGTGGTATCATACCACACGCACGATATAAACTCTCATGACATTTATTGGCAAAAAACTTTACTCATGTCACGTGACATCTGACCATCTACCCCCCCCCCCCCCGTGATAATTCGTGACAAATTTCAGACCCCCTCCCCCCCTCTAATCGATCACGTGATTTATGGACGCTCCCTTATTAGATGTTATGAATAATAACATGTGGTGATTTTATTCGTTTCTGAAAATAAAACTTATGTACATACATATTCATGTGTATCTACCTCAAATAGTTTGAGGAAAGGCCGGACTATAGTGTTTAATAGGTGTTCCCAAGCAGGAAATTATGGCAAATATCACCCTTTTGCTGGTGTGAAAATATGATCCCAGACTTTGCAATAATCCATATTGTTTATTCAGCTTAGACAGTTTAATTTTGGTTCAGCTTCGTCTCATCCGCAGCAAAAATTAGGACTCGGACGCCGGAAAGCTATACCAGAGGTGTTTACATCAATTTGGACCATGACCTATAGCCCATAGATGGATCAATTTTGATGGTCCGTGGTCCATAATGGACCATTTTAGTCTAATGGACCATAACTTATTGCGATCTATGGTTTACATTAACATGTATGCCTTAGGAATTGAACAGTACTAACATTTGGTCAAACTACCCAATGGAACATTTTTATTTTTAATCGTTACAGATTATTTAGTAGTTCAAATAATTTAAATTCATTGTAGTAATAATTCCTTCTCCTTGTTACTCTTGAAGCCCCCAAAGCTTGTAAATGACTCGCTTAGCAACCGGATATCCTCTTTCTTCACCACCAGCATCCATAAAAACTGCACCAATCAAGGCTTCCAAGAATTTGTCGAATCTCTGAAACCCTCTGACACCCTGACTCATTTTGACAAATTTGTCCAGCTCAAGCCGTTGTGCGATTCCTTTCTGGTAATTTTGACCAACCAGCGAGCCACGACGTGAACTGAGTTGTCCTTCGTCGTAATTGGGATACTTGCGGAACAAGTAGTTCGTAATCACGAAGGCAATCACGGCGTCCCCCAAGTGTTCGAAACGTTGGTAGTCTCGCATGGCACGATCATTGACCCGCAAACTGTCATGAGAGAGGGCTTCCAGGAGCAAGTTTTTGTCTCGAAACGTGTAACCAAGCGCAGATTCCAGACCGGGAAATGCGGATGCACCTGGAACAAATAAATTTGTAGCACTAAAAATACTGAAAAGAATTGCACATATTTTGCCAGCTATGGTTTGATTCTTAAAAGGGGAACCTGCCCACGATAAGCTTGGAATGAAAGAAAATGTTCTTTTTTAAAAAATTCAAACCATGGTCGGATGATAATTTCCTTTAGAAATATGTATTTACAGAAATTTATAAATTTTACAATAAGGAGAAGGGTCTCATTGCTATGAATAGAAGTACAATTATACATTCACAAGAACTAAATGATTTATTTTATTACCTTGTCCCATTTTGTTGTAAAAATGTTTAAAGTTTTATTCGAAATTATGGACGAGTAAATTAATATTTCCCCGAACCAACTGGTCGTCTCAGAATGCCAATAGTGGAACTGATGTATGGAAGTTATTCATATTTGTCGCATCGGAGGTGAAGTATTTACATAGTTATCTATTCGTACGTTTCACAAAATAAATAAATATTTATCTCACCGATATTAAGATAAAGCAAATAAAGACAACAAGTCAACCAACTCAATTTGTGCGTCACACTTATCCGGCCAACGACACACTACATCAGTAGATACAGAAGTCATTGTCCCCTCACGTAAGGAGGAAGCAGAATAACAACTTGAGACGCATTTTGGGGCAAAATGATTAATGCTTAAATAGATATAAGAGATAAAATGACGGATACGTTCCATAGCTTTTCGCATCGATTTCATTGAATCAAATAAAATTAATTGTAAATGCAATTGTGGGTACAAAGACAAATGTACCACAACATTTTTTGAATTCTGTGCAACCACACCCCCTATAAAAATAAAGGAACAAAGTTCGGAAAAATGAGAAAGTCAATGTACATCGTGTAGAATAAGAGTTAGACCTATACTTGCATTTGCAATTTGACTTCCCCTTGAAATACGAACATTTTAATGCATCAAGAGTTTCAAAATTCGAAAATTGGCGGTTTTTTTACGTACACAGAAATCCTTAAAAAACGCATGGTACCACCCATTTACTTCGGACAACCCGATGCCAGATTTTTCTCCTTGGGAAGAGCTACATTTTCAGCTTTTGTTGCCCGAAGGGAATCGATGGTACCACGAGAAATTTGGGGTCAAAGTTTCTGAGGGAGGGGCTTATTTTGCAAGAGCCGTAACATACATACATACATAGTATGGCTGCTTGTGAAATACTACCCATAAAAATAATGATAAAGAATAAAGTTATTAAAGTAGCCTCAAATCGATCTAATTGTTAAAATTAAGCTTTTCTGAATTTATAATGGTGATATTCACTCAAAAATTAACGCTATAGGGCTTACCTACAGACTTATCAATTTTTCAGATAAGCAAACTTAGTTTATCTAAATCGCCCCAAATTTAAAACTTAAGCTTTTCTGAATTTATGATGGTGATATTCGCTCAAAAATTAATGCTTTGAGGCTTATCAATTAAGTTATCAATTTTTCAGATAAGCAAACTTAGTTTATCCATATCGCCCCAAATTTAAAACTTAAGCTTTTCTGAATTTATGATGGTGATATTCACTGAAAAATTAACGCTATAGGGCTTATCTCCAGACTTATCAATTTTTCAGATAAGCAAATTTAGTTTATCCAAATCGCCCCAAATATAAAACTCTTGAATTTATGATGACGATAATAGGAGGTATGGTGTATACTAGACACTGAACGGTAATTTCGGGTTACATATATAATAAAATGAGGCGCCTGGTTGGATGAAAAGTTTGCATGGAAAAAGTGAGACGAAGAGAAATGGATTTCATACGACCCTGACTCGAAATGATGATGGATACCCACCGCGAACCACTTTTCTCACTCTGTCTCACATTCCCATGCGAAATATGGAAAACGGTTTTGTGAAACACTTGACGTGGTATTCATCATAAGTGACACTAAAATGTTTTCTTAATTAGATTTCGAGTGAAATATTGATGTATTTAATAGGATGAGATGCAAAACTGGGATCAAACTGCACGTGTCCATAAATATAAAATCGATGGATTATGATTCGGCTAATTGATGGATGTTGTACATATGTATTTATAAAATGTGTAAATGCGCTGGGCGTTTAGACTTTTCTAAAAAAGTAATAATTGTACACATACATACATCTCTGCGAATATAATCTATACTACAATGAATAAAACATATACATGTGCATACATAAGTATGCTCACAGAGAAATGTGTAATGAGGTCAGAAATCAGAATTTTTTATTACCTTGTTTTAAACAAATTTATACGACAGTGTACACAAGTCCACATATGTACATAGATACACCAATTTGTTTACTTTTGTGTGCATTATTTTTCCTGAATTTTTAAGTTCGTATGATATTTTCAGCACAGGGAAAAGTATGCAATTGTGAATCAATTAATTTTATTACCCAGTCATAATATTGTACATAATGTCCTGCATGTAAATTATGTATGTGCATGAACATACATGTATGCACAAGGTACCTGATATTCGAGAGATAATCCCATCATTCCAAGGACTTATCACACCCATTCCTGGTTTACTTTGTGGCATATATATTTACGAGAATGTATGTATATTTATAAGAAAGTGTTATCAGATGCAACAATACATTGTTGTTTCCTTATCGGAATGGAATTATGCGGAGAATAAATCAAGCACTTCCTTCATGCATATATGTATTCGCTTAAGTACAAGTACCTAAAGACTTGTTTACCTTAAGTTACATAAAAATAAATAAATTCACTACGCACGCATTTTGTATGTATCGAGAATTAAAGAGTGCATTTTCCTTCTCATGTTTCAAGTTTCAATAGGTAAAACGTTTGTGTCTTGTCAAGCAAAATTTTTAAGATGTCAAAGGTTAAAGCATTGAAAATAGTTTCGGCCACGAAAGTATTTGCTGACAAAGTGGTTTTGCGAGGAGTGAACATTACCGTTGAAAAAGGAACAATGTAAGTGACTATACTTACTTTTTTGATATACATAAATGCAACTTATTTACATATGTACATAAGAAATGTAGAAATTGGGAATCACTGTACTTTTACCTGTGAAACTAATAGATATTTATGGACTACATAATTATCTTTTATTTACATATTTACATACGCAGTTATGCCCTTCTAGGTCCGAGCGGATGTGGGTAAGGTTTCCTACATTTTTTTTCTTTTTACAAGATCGCGGATTTATTTTAGGACATAAATTAAGCACAAAAGCATAGCTGAACTGGTGAAATTTTCTGTGTAATTAAACAGAAAGATTAACTTTGCTGATATTTAATCAGTTATTACGTCCATATAAAAATACTTACTTTGTGTGTAAAATTTCTAGTAAATAATTAGCGTTTGTGAGTGTACACATGTATGAATGTATGGTATAGGTAGCCTACAAGCATGCGTCATAATTCTCAAGTATCACAAAATTTGTTCATCTCGTTAAAATAAGAAAAAAATATCGTCGCAAATTTGACAAATGATATTAATTACTTTGTGCAAGCAGGAAAACGACTTTGCTTTCCTGTATCGTGGGACTTGAGAACTTAGATGACGGAAATATAGAAACATTTGAGAAGAACGTGTCCAATTTTAAGGGAAGAATGCTTGCCAGCCTAATTGGCTATATGCCACAGGTAAAGTCTGCTTATTACTATTCAAGCATTTAGTTTAACTATAATTGCTGCGGGGCCCTGTCTATTAATAAATTTATGTAGCCCCGTAAAAATGTAAAAATATGTAAATAAATATAAACATGTTTATAGGAAACATGCCTTTACGAATCGCTCACAATTATGGAAACATTCGCCTACTTCGGTAGTCTTCAATGCATGCCCTTGCATAAGATATTGAGCAAAGTGAAAATCCTCAACACGGTAATGGATCTGCCAAATTTGGACAAAATTGTGAAACAAATCAGGTCCACGAAAAAAATTAACATTGATTTTATGGAATTTATCGCCCTAACCCAAGGTGCTAACCCAATGTCAACTATAATGAATTATATATTTAGTGGTGGAGAGAGACGCCGTGTCTCACTCTGCGTGGCCCTCTTGCATGACCCTGAAATTCTTCTGTTGGATGAGCCAACGACCGGGATAGATCCACTTTTACGAGAAAGGTAGTATCGAGGCGACAAAAACTTTAGATAGGTTATAAAAATTACACAATTTCAGGATTTGGGCCTACTTGAGGCTCCTTGTCGAATCCAAAGGAACCACTGTTTTCCTCACTGTTAGGTATATGTATGCATGCACACATTACGTCCAAGAAACTAAACAATGTGAACAGGTAATTTATTGTGTATTTTGGCAATATGTACATATTTCAGACCTTCGGAGCCAAAAGCTGTTATGGAATAATCGTAAACTTTAAATAGTTTGCTTCATGCTTTCAAATTAAATGATGCTTTTCTTCTATGGTCAGAAATTCAGGGTTAGTCAAACTTAAGCCTAGTCACGTTACAGATTGGTTACCTTCGAGATGGCTCCATGCTGGTTCAGGATTGTCCTAACGCCTTACTACAAAAATATGGTATTTCAATTTTGAAAAAACAATTCCAATTCATTACCAATCACTTGTAATTATCTAAGTCACTGTTTAGGTACAAATCCGAACTTGCATACCAAGACTCTGGATGATGTAGTACTTCATTTGTGCAAACTTCCAACTTGTCTGCTTGCCAGTGAAATAAGCTACAAATCTTCAGTCTCCAAATTTGAAACATCAAAATTGCATCACTCAGGAACAGAACTGAAAATTGGGTCATTTAATACGATAAAAGAAAACAAACAGGTTGAAATCCAGAATGGTATACCCGATGTGTCCGACAGTTTTCTATCCGGGTCGTCAAGTCGTTGGAAATCCATAAAACACTATTTCTCACAAGTAAATGCTCTCACAATTCGGAATTTGATTCTCTACAGAAGATATCCACTGTAAGCTATGTAAATACATACAAATACTAAATTATGAAGAATGTTAATATGTATGTATGTATGTACACCGGTTTATTCCGTTTTGAAGATTAATTCCTATCCAAGCCGTTTCCTTATTTATGAACGTTTGCCTGATTTTGTACATTCTCGGCAATGATCCAGTTGGAATCAGTCTAGGGAAAATAATTAACACCGAGTGTGAGACCAAGCCAATATCTAATACAAGCAATACTAATACAGGAGATTATGCTTGTCAGTTTTATAATATCCTAGAAAGCTTCGGACTAAATTTGGTAAATCCCATATTACCCTCAATATAAATCAATTTATTTATTAACACAAAAAATGCGACAGGTCTCAATGAATAATGAATTTGAAGCGCTGCAAGCGATTGAAAACGGCCGAACTAGCGGTTATCTAATATTACCGGAAAATTTCACAAAACATTTTCTGGAAAGACTTACCTGGAATATCCATGCTGATGAGAAGACGTTAAACATGTCAACAATTTCGGTTCGATTGGATAGTTCAGGTCCGTCGAGACGAAATAGCGAAGATATATTACATAAGATATTCAACGTGGCGACCAAATAATGGGCTAATGAAGCTTGAACTTATTTTTGTACAGACTATTTACACTCCTCCTTCCTAGCAAAGGTATTATATGAGGCCATACAGCAATTATTCTGGCAGATTGGGGGCGAATATAATATCAATAGACAGCTGGTGACACTACCATTCTCGGTATGAAATTTTTGCTTATTATTGGAAACAGTAATACAATGAATTCGGACATGAAGGTCATAAACTGTGGGCTTAAAGTTTCTGAAAAGAGTGAAATCAGGTGAGCTCGCCTCATAAAAATCAATATTATTCGGAAACCAGCTGAGTCGTGTAAACAAACTTTTTCTCCCCTTGTTGTCCAACAATATGAGGAGTCGACAAGAGAAAAGGGTGCAGATTCAAACTCTATTGAGCGAGGGATATGGTGCCTCCCAAATTTCGAGGAAACTAGGAGTTGCTTACAATACGGTCAAACTGTGGGAAGGTCGCCGTACCGTGGTGGACAAAAAAAGGTCAGGCCGACCCACAGAACTCTCCCCCACTTCAAAATCGCAAATAACAAGAAATTTGAAGGAGAAAATTGGTGGATCTGTGAGGAAAACACTAAAGAAGCTGAACGAGTCGGCGAGGTATCAAAAGAAGGGGAAGAAAATAAGTCGTGCTGCGGTTCGAAATTACGTAAAAAACAAAAATGGGGCAAAACGGCTTACAAAAGACCTAAGAAACAGATTTTGACTCAAAAAAATATTCAGGACCGATTAAAATTCGGCGAAACAGTCAAGAGAACGGGATATTTGGGTGACGACAGACGGGCGCAGCAAAAACGCTCTCACATTCTTTTCACTGATGAAGCCTGGCTGGAGGTGTCACCAACTGGTAACAGACAAAATCAAAGATACTATACAGCGGATCCGAAAAAAATCCCGAAAATATTGACCCCAAAACTTGGTCTAAAAGTTATGGTAGCTGGCGGCTTCTGTGCTCAAGGAGTTACAAAGCTGCATATGGTAAGTGGAGGTACCGTAAACGCTGCATACTACAAAGACAAGATCCTCCCACTTTACATTAAATCCATGAAGGACCCAACTTTATTCCCCCAACAACAGAAGGTCACCTTTCAGCAAGATGGAGCACCAGCACACACTGCAAAAGTGACCACCAAAGTTTTGGAGGCGCTCCCTTTGACAGTGTGGGGGAAAGGGGTGTGGCCCGGAAATTCACCAGATTTGAATCCTCTGGAGAATTTATGGTCCATTGTTAAGGATTCTGCGTACAAACCGCCATATCCAGCCACAACCGCTGAGCTATTCAGAAGATTTCAACATGAGTGGGAAAGCATTCCGGTTACCGTTTTGGAAAATTTGGCACAGTCATTCAATTCACGCATTGAACAAATGTTGGAAGCTGGTGGCGGACACTCTAAATATTAGTTAATAATCGTACAAAAAATTATAATATTCTATACACGCAATAAAAAGTTTTGACTACTTATGTTTTGAAGTTAATTTTTTTTCAGAAACTTTAAGCCCACAGTTTATAGCTGATATTTTTCATATTTTAAATAGTTCAATGCTATATATGGAAACACGACGGATACCTTTAACACATTCTTCGTACCGACGCAACTACTACTGTAATTGTGTTTCATACAACGGTTAAATCGTTAATAAGGTCCAAGCTATAGCTTAATTTTTTTGTAGAATGTGGTCCGTCTTTTCAGCAACAATGGGTTTATTACATAGTACAGACCGTTGTGACAACACACTAACACGCACAATTGCCTCAGGGGTTAACCTTCAACAGGTTCAAGTCTCATACTATCTTGCCGACTTCCCATTGACAATGATTCAAATTGGTTGTATCATTTTGTTCCTATGGTGGGATCGTGGCGACCAAATTAAGGGAAGCTGGATATTGATCGGAGTTATTTTCTATCTCGTTAGGATTACAACTTTGTCTCTATGCTTCGTTTTTGTATCATTTAAGGTAACCACTCTAGAAACGATTTTCCTATGTGTGGGCTGCCTTGTTATCTATATGTATTCGTCAGGTAAATATTTTGTTCTTAAAAAAACATTTGGTAAGGTAAATAGGTAAATTTTAATCTATATTATAAGCTGGAAATGTTTGTCTGCAACGGAAGTGAAAGTAGGGAAAGTCAAGTTTCGAATGGAACGAAAATTCAAAAATCTTAATTTTAAAAATGAATGTGAAGTTATTGGGTCGTTATTGTTCGATGGTGGTTATCAGAATGTTGCGGCCTGGTGGTGGTTATAAGTTGCCTAATGATATGCGGTTATCGGGACATTGCTTTGTGATGGCGGTTATCGATGAGTGGCGGCCTGATGGTGGTTATCGGGGTGTGGCGGCCTGATGGTGGTTATTGGGGTGTGGCGGCCTGATGGTGGTTATCGGGGTGTGGCGGCCTGATGGTGGTTATCGGGGTGTGGCGGCCTGATGGTGGTTATCGGGGTGTGGCGGCCTGATGGTGGTTATCGGGGTGTGGCGGCCTGATGGTGGTTATCGGGGTGTGGCGGCCTGATGGTGGTTATCGATGAGTGGCGGCCTGATGGTGGTTATCGGGGTGTGGCGGCCTGATGGTGGTTATTGGGGTGTGGCGGCCTGATGGTGGTTATCGGGGTGTGGCGGCCTGATGGTGGTTATCGGGGTGTGGCGGCCTGATGGTGGTTATCGGGGTGTGGCGGCCTGATGGTGGTTATCGGGGTGTGGCGGCCTGATGGTGGTTATCGGGGTGTGGCGGCCTGATGGTGGTTATCGATGAGTGGCGGCCTGATGGTGGTTATCGGGGTGTGGCGGCCTGATGGTGGTTATTGGGGTGTGGCGGCCTGATGGTGGTTATCGGGGTGTGGCGGCCTGATGGTGGTTATCGGGGTGTGGCGGCCTGATGGTGGTTATCGGGGTGTGGCGGCCTGATGGTGGTTATCGGGGTGTGGCGGCCTGATGGTGGTTATCGGGGTGTGGCGGCCTGATGGTGGTTATCGGGGTGTGGCGGCCTGATGGTGGTTATCGGGGTGTGGCGGCCTGATGGTGGTTATCGATGAGTGGCGGCCTGATGGTGGTTATCGGGGTGTGGCGGCCTGATGGTGGTTATTGGGGTGTGGCGGCCTGATGGTGGTTATCGGGGTGTGGCGGCCTGATGGTGGTTATCGGGGTGTGGCGGCCTGATGGTGGTTATCGGGGTGTGGCGGCCTGATGGTGGTTATCGGGGTGTGGCGGCCTGATGGTGGTTATCGGGGTGTGGCGGCCTGATGGTGGTTATCGATGAGTGGCGGCCTGATGTGGTTATCGGGGTGTGGCGGCCTGATGGTGGTTATTGGGGTGTGGCGGCCTGATGGTGGTTATCGGGGTGTGGCGGCCTGATGGTGGTTATCGGGGTGTGGCGGCCTGATGGTGGTTATCGGGGTGTGGCGGCCTGATGGTGGTTATCGGGGTGTGGCGGCCTGATGGTGGTTATCGGGGTGTGGCGGCCTGATGGTGGTTATCGGGGTGTGGCGGCCTGATGGTGGTTATCGATGAGTGGCGGCCTGATGGTGGTTATCGGGGTGTGGCGGCCTGATGGTGGTTATGGGGTGTGGCGGCTGATGGTGGTTATCGGGGTGTGGCGGCCTGATGGTGGTTATCGGGGTGTGGCGGCCTGATGGTGGTTATTGGGGTGTGGCGGCCTGATGGTGGTTATCGGGGTGTGGCGGCCTGATGGTGGTTATCGGGGTGTGGCGGCCTGATGGTGGTTATCGGGGTGTGGCGGCCTGATGGTGGTTATCGGGGTGTGGCGGCCTGATGGTGGTTATCGGGGTGTGGCGGCCTGATGGTGGTTATCGGGGTGTGGCGGCCTGATGGTGGTTATCGGGGTGTGGCGGCTGAGGTGGTTATCGATGAGTGGCGGCCTGATGGTGGTTATCGGGGTGTGGCGGCCTGATGGTGGTTATTGGGGTGTGGCGGCTGATGGTGGTTATCGGGGTGTGGCGGCCTGATGGTGGTTATCGGGGTGTGGCGGCCTGATGGTGGTTATCGGGGTGTGGCGGCCTGATGGTGGTTATCGAGAGTGGCGGCCTGATGGTGGTTATCGGGTGTGGCGGCCTGATGGTGGTTATTGGGGTGTGGCGGCCTGATGGTGGTTATCGGGGTGTGGCGGCCTGATGGTGGTTATCGGGGTGTGGCGGCCTGATGGTGGTTATCGGGGTGTGGCGGCTGATGGTGGTTATCGGGGTGTGGCGGCCTGATGGTGGTTATCGATGAGTGGCGGCCTGATGGTGGTTATCGGGGTGTGGCGGCCTGATGGTGGTTATTGGGGTGTGGCGGCCTGATGGTGGTTATCGGGGTGTGGCGGCCTGATGGTGGTTATCGGGGTGTGGCGGCCTGATGGTGGTTATCGATGAGTGGCGGCCTGATGGTGGTTATCGGGGTGTGGCGGCCTGATGGTGGTTATGGGGTGTGGCGGCCTGATGGTGGTTATCGGGGTGTGGCGGCCTGATGGTGGTTATCGGGGTGTGGCGGCTGATGGTGGTTATCGTGGTGGCGGCCTGATGGTGGTTATCGGGGTGTGGCGGCCTGATGGTGGTTATTGGGGTGTGGCGGCCTGATGGTGGTTATCGGGGTGTGGCGGCCTGATGGTGGTTATCGGGGTGTGGCGGCCTGATGGTGGTTATCGATGAGTGGCGGCCTGATGGTGGTTATCGGGGTGTGGCGGCCTGATGGTGGTTATTGGGGTGTGGCGGCCTGATGGTGGTTATCGATAGTGGCGGCCTGATGGTGGTTATCGGGGTGTGGCGGCCTGATGGTGGTTATTGGGGTGTGGCGGCCTGATGGTGGTTATCGGGGTGTGGCGGCCTGATGGTGGTTATCGGGGTGTGGCGGCCTGATGGTGGTTATCGATGAGTGGCGGCCTGATGGTGGTTATCGGGGTGTGGCGGCCTGATGGTGGTTATTGGGGTGTGGCGGCCTGATGGTGGTTATCGGGGTGTGGCGGCCTGATGGTGGTTATCGGGGTGTGGCGGCCTGATGGTGGTTATCGATGAGTGGCGGCCTGATGGTGGTTATCGGGGTGTGGCGGCCTGATGGTGGTTATTGGGGGTGTGGCGGCCTGATGGTGGTTATCGGGGTGTGGCGGCCTGATGGTGGTTATCGGGGTGTGGCGGCCTGATGGTGGTTATCGATGAGTGGCGGCCTGATGGTGGTTATCGGGGTGTGGCGGCCTGATGGTGGTTATTGGGGTGTGGCGGCCTGATGGTGGTTATCGGGGTGTGGCGGCCTGATGGTGGTTATCGGGGTGTGGCGGCCTGATGGTGGTTATCGTGGTGGCGGCCTGATGGTGGTTATCGGGGTGTGGCGGCTGATGGTGGTTATTGGGGTGTGGCGGCCTGATGGTGGTTATCGATGAGTGGCGGCCTGATGGTGGTTATCGGGGTGTGGCGGCCTGATGGTGGTTATCGGGGTGTGGCGGCCTGATGGTGGTTATGGGTGTGGCGGCCTGATGGTGGTTATCGGGGTGTGGCGGCCTGATGGTGGTTATCGGGGTGTGGCGGCCTGATGGTGGTTATCGATGAGTGGCGGCCTGATGGTGGTTATCGGGGTGTGGCGGCCTGATGGTGGTTATTGGGGTGTGGCGGCCTGATGGTGGTTATCGGGGTGTGGCGGCCTGATGGTGGTTATCGGGGTGTGGCGGCCTGATGGTGGTTATCGGGGTGTGGCAGCCTGCCCATGGCAGACTAGACTGGCAGAGATAACAGAACCAAGTGGTCAGGCTCAGCCACTCATACTGAAAATAACCATGATTATAATAATTTTTGACTTTCACATTAGTAATTTCGTTTCACTTCCGTCGGCATAAAGCTTAAAAATAGTGTACAAAACATTTAGTTGGGTGGAATTTTAAGAACTAAATTAATTCTTGCCCGGCGGGAGACGGGCTTATACGCTAGTATTATATATAAGTAAACTGACTGTTTTAACTGTAACATACTTACCACGTATGTGCTTATGTACTACGTTCATGGCCTGTGCTATTAACTTAAGGGAACTTATTTATTTGTCAATACTAGTCAGTTTGCACAAATAACGACTTTTCTGACGACCCGCGATGACTTTTAACATATGGCCTGTGGAAAGCTGCTCGACGCTAGTGCAATGGCATTTTCCTTAAAACATACGAAAAAGTGTTGTTGGATTTGAAATCAAGATCCAGGGCGGTACACAACAATAAGGGCTATCATATTGAGAACAAAAATAATTAGAACCCATTTTTCTCTAATTCAAAAAAACAATTTGAAAGTTGTCTTTTTTCGCCCGTTAAGCCCCGGTAAATAACATTTCAACAGGAAATAGAAAAAAAACAGATTGTAAAAGTTATTCCAACTTTGCTAATAGCTAATTTACTTGCATATTAATTTAGTTCGTATTTTTCCAGGTTCGTACTGGCCAATCGAAACTGTTGTTTGGTGGTATAAGTCGATTTGTTTCGCTCTCCCCCTGACCATGCCAGTTCGTGCGCTGCGTAGCATTATTGTAAGAGGTTGGGGTATTACACATCCGACGGTGTTCTTGTACGGAATCTGCTACCAAATATTGATCACAATTGTTTTTACAACCGTATCCTTGTCGGCCGAAAGGAAGAAAAACAAAAAATAAATTATGGCTTTTCTACATAAACTACTATATTCTTATCCGGATTATTTAGTATAAAGATCCCAATAGTTTGTCTATTTGTATTCAAATGAACCACTGCATTTTCTGCAAACTAGCCAAAAATAAATATCTTTAACTCGTTACATGTATATGTATATAAATTATTTAGAGACGATCCGTGCAGTAAAGTAATTTGAATGTAAAATATTTCTGACATATTTATAATACCAATTTTATTCTTATTTTATACCAATTAAACAAACAAATTGTGCGATTATTTAAGAAAAATGAGCGAAATCGAGCATACAATTAATATCTGGAGAAAATTGAAACTAGGAAACATCCCGTTTCCGCTCCCGCCCGGGGTAGTCGTCTGAGTAGAACAAAAATCCTCCGGAACAAATCTCTCGTACTGACTGGGATAAATCGGATACTGATCGTGCTGTTCGTTCTTAACGCATTTCTCACATTCGCCTTCATGTCGCCAAAATCTGTTGATGCTGATACTGGGCGATAAATTGGTCCGTCCAGTTGTTAAAATTGTTTATAGTTTCGGGATAAGGGCCCCTCATGTAGGCCGGTTCGTCTATGTAAATTACATTTCCGGTCAAAGTAGGCTCGCTTTTGGGGAAGAAAAAGAATTTTAAACTTTATCCTATTGAAATTGTTTTCGAAAATCTGATAAAAATTACGTATGAAAATCAGTGACTCCGAAATCAATAGCGTGCAATAATTCCGGATATGTGGACTCGCATAGTTCCATGTCTTGTTTCGGGTAATGCCAAATGTACGTGATACACATTTCTTCTTTGGTCGATAGTCCGCCAATTACGACCTTCCCATCGTTCCATTTCGTGTTATAGGTGCATTCTATATATTAAAAAGTATATATTTAGATATCTAGAAATTTGCGAAAACCAAATTTTTAAGGGTAAACTTGCCAAAAGTTAGTTGATCCCCGGGCATGAGTTTTGTCGGTTTGACGGGTTTATTTGTTTGAAAATCGAAATCGTAATGGTCATCGTAATCGAGCCAAGGGAGCTCCTGGTTTCCGCGGAAGTGACGAAGTTTTAATTTCCGACCTGCCTCAGAAATTTAAATTTCATAAATATTTTACGTTGCTATCATTCGTTAACTTCATCATTAAGTATACAAGATTTTACCGGAAATGTGAGAATGCAGAAGAATATTAAACATTGTGACTCCTTCAGCCTCCTCAATGCCCCATGACGTGCAAGCAGGCCCACAATGACCGACAACGACGTAATCCTCAGCATTGGGGGGAATCGAGATTACGGCGCCCGTCTTATGTCCGACAGCTAGTAACCCGGCGTCATGCTCCCTAAGAATTTTGGAACATTTAGTAAGTTTGCGATTATGCAAATGCCAATTTTGCAATTTCCTAAAATTTACCTTGTTTCGTTTGTGTAGTAAACAGCAACTCCACTCCGAGCGGGAATACCGGTTAATTCTTCGGGGTTATCGAAGTGAATTTCTAGCATGTAATAGGACTCTTGACCGATCGGGTAGCCAACATTTTCTGGAAATGTCATCATCTAAAAGAGAAAAAAACCTTTAGAGAAAACTATTTTACACGAAAAACAAGGATAAAATCACGACGAGTAAACAAAATTTTACGAAGAACTTATCTTACTTTGCCCCCTTTTGCCAAAACGAATAGATCCTGGTCACAATGCACCTCCCTCGGGAGTACAATAGGTGGGTTGGGGTCACGGCAGTGGCCTCCAAGATAACCCGACTCGACGGTATAATTGGACATAAGTTCGTCTAAGGATTTATCCGAGTCGGCTCGAAGGTAGCAATTCGTGAGTATGAAGTGATGCGTGTGCGTGATAGAGGTCAGTCCTTCAATGAGGGCGTCAAACTATGGAAATATGGAAGTAAATTTTAACGGGAAGTAACTTTAAAGTTTCATTTTTACCGCGACAACGTGGTGCTTGCTTAGAAGGGTGGGACCTTTGAAATAACCGCACCAATAAGTTGTCTCCATCGGTGGGACTTCCATGTCAAGAACCATTTCAAATTTTTGCAATCTATGTACATACATAGAAATTGTAGTTGGTTAAAATTTATAATTAGGCGCACTAAATTATCTTGAGACAATTCACGCTCATTGATAAGTTTTAGAATGGATAACTTTTGTAAAATAGTTTTATAAATTTTTACAAAATAAAGAGACGCCACTGATCTGAGTATTTAAGTCAACAAAAGTTTGTAAGCTAATTTTCCTTAGAAATATTTTTAAAATTGTGTAAAAATTAGTAAGTTTACAGAACTTGTGGATTTTACATATTATGTATAATGTTATCAAGGACTGCGTTAATTGCGTTATTAACGAGTGTCCCTAAAAACAGGAAGTTCTCTCGCTAAAAACCATAGGCGATTTTCGATAAGATCTTAAACCCTTTACCTTAAAATGAAGTGTTTGGGATGTCTGTGACGTTAAAAAATACAAAATAATTAAAAAATAAGCCCGTACCCATTCAAGTCCAGTTCGGGTGTTGGAGCACCGATAAGCTTGACAGATTTCGTTCCTCTCCGATTAGGCGTGTGATACTTTATCTCATCGGTATCTCCATACGCCCAAATTAGTCTGGTCGTATCGTCCTAGTCCAATATGCAAAATTATTTGCTAAAGTACACATTTTTTAAATACTTATCTAGAAGTATCTTTTTTAAATGAAATAAGTATGGAAATTTGTTGGAAATTTTATTTTTAGCGCACCCCAATTGGATAATCCTCCTCGTCACAGGAGTTAATTAGTCGGGAAAATTTAATCACGGTTTTACCATCTTGTTCCACCCCCTGGATTAATTTCCAGTCCGAGTGAGTATCAATCTTTGGTTGGGTGAACCCTTCAGCGAAATAATCCTGTAAAATAAAATATCACAGAAATCTTTATGCATTTGTTTCCAGATTTTAGAAATATTGAGGGTATTCATTCTTCTAACGTAAAATACGTTACAAAGAATAAAGAATGGACAAAGTTTCGTAAAAGTCGCAATTTTTTCTGACAAAATCTTACACAAGATCTCGTAATTTTACCTAGCTTCACTTTTTTGAAAACTATGTATTTTACGATACCAATAATACCAAGACCGTTACGAGTACCATAATTATAATTACAAATTAAAATTATTCCCGTAATTGCAGTAAATTAAATATTTTTGCATACATTTGAATACGTCGACAGATCCGGTTTGACACCGGCGATGAAGATGTCCGCACCGGTCATACTTCCCGACAGAGAAATTCCAAGCCCCACCCATTCCGTCGTTTCCACCTCCATCTCAAAAGTTATCACATTGGTTTCCGAATCAAATTCCCAGCCCAGAAAAACTTTGCCCTCGCTGTCCAATTGTTCCCGATTTTGAAGTATCCGTGTCTCCTTGTATCCGGACACGTGTGTCGTGAGGAGGAAGAAAACTAATAATTTGAGATGCATTTTTACGCCAATAAAATGATTAAAGTTGGGATGCTGAAGCGATACTGAAGGGTTTGATTGCATTTCGGGCTGATTAAATAACTATTTAAGTGCAAGTTATTAATGGAGTTCTTATCTGATCTGCATCATGCATTCTATATTTTCATATTTCATTTCATATTTCTGAGTTGATCTCACTTAACCAGCTGCAATATGTGGATTAAGAGACGCTTAGGGGATGTCATGTACGCGTCTCATTGTTTGAGGATAATTACATATTTACTTATCTATTTGTAGTGCAGAATGACATAATTGCTGCTGTTGCACAATTCGTCTGATCAATTAAATAGTTATAAATATAATTGATTTAGTAAGCACGTGAACATGAAGTAGGCAAAAGTTACATTACATATATATTTAATACCATTGTGAGACATGTACATGCATATGTATGTAGGTCCATATTTATGGAAAACAGGACGTTATGCTAAAGATGAATCAAAAGGCAGAATTTATAGATAAGTGAACGACAAGCTAGCTTGATTTATGAAACTTCCGGCTCTCAAGAATCTAAGCCAAGTTAATTGTTTTAAAATGATTTATAATTTCACAATTATTTCTCATATGTAAAAATCTCCGCCATGATTTAAAATATCCATACGTCGGAGATGAATGAAAAATGACTTTTCAAATTATTGACCTACACTCTTAGAAAAATCAATACCAGATCAATACCACGCGGTATTCATATGTGACTCTACCGTTTTGGTATTGATTTAATACCAAGCGGTATTATTTTGGATTTATACCGTGATGGTATAAAAACGTCACTCACGGTATTGATTTTTTTTCGTGGTGGTAGTGTTTATTAATACCGAAGGATAGAAATCTCAGACGCAGCGGTATTAAACGATTAAATGCGGTATTAATGAGTGATACCATGCAGTAAGAAAAATAACGCTTTGGTACTGCTTGGTATTGATTTGAAGGTTATTTATTTGATAAAATTACAAATCATAAATAACATAAATAATTGTAAAAATGGAAATCAACTGGATACAAAATAGTGGAATAACTTATTTATAAAATTAGCTTACACAGATGAATGTGAAGAGTTGAGATGGATGGATCTAAAAGCACAAGTAATTTAAAAATAAATTGTGTAAACCATTCACACTTTAAGGCAGTTATTTTTTATATATTTTTTATTTTAAAATTATCTTACCTCCTAACTCGGTAGGAAATGTCTCACTAAAATAAGTGAAAATAAAATTGTCCATTAGCTGAAATTCTACACACGTCTAATTTAATTTAAATTGTCGTTCTGATTTGTAAATAGGTATGTATATTTACCAACCTAACCTTATACCGAATCCTATATTAATGACCGGAACTAGGAATTGGATTATCTGGCCAAATATAAAAAATTCCGTTAATTAAATATAAAGCAGAAAACTTAACGAAATTGGTTTAAAATTCTTCTCTATTAATTTAATACGTGGCAAAAGATAAAACGAATAAAAACAATGCATTTGAGCTTACCCTTTAATAAGAACGTGTCAAAGTTTCCATCGGAAGTAGTCAATTTCTTCCCCCCAAATAATTCCCCAGCCGAACTAAATTATAATAACTTATTTTGAAAAAGAGAACGATTTGCAACTGCAAGTGAGTAGTTTGCAAATCCCGCACGCAAGTCTATACCGGGCAGATTTGAGACCGGGTAAACGCGGTATAAAATCGATACCAGTCAGTATTGAGGTTTTACCAACTCGGTATTACAAGTTAATACTCTTCATGTGAAAGCTCGTGGTATTGAGTTTTCGCAATATTTTAATACCGAATCGTGACTGCGTGATGATACCAGCACGATGGTAATAAAAATTTTTCAAGGATCAATACCCAGTTTCTAAGAGTGTATAGCCCTCAAGCTTTCATAAAATGTTCAGTCACGAATAGGTCACGTAGGTCAGAGCATATTTTCTCATATTGGTCATATTTTGGGGTTTTCATATTTTAGGAAATATTCATACCTATCCTCGATCATATCCACTTTCGCCTGGGGTGATTCATTGAGCATGACCTAAATCATCCCAGAACTCGTTTTATTGATAAAAACAGAGTATCACACAAGGCAAAAATAAATAAAAATACGGTCATTTTTTATAGTCATATTTTGGGGATTCTTTACGGCAATTTTTCATGCATAATTTCAGGTTGTATCGATCATTCATATCCGACGTCTGAAAATATCTACATAATTTTATGTCTCAATTTCCTCAGCACAAATTCCCACTCACTATTGGCTCGAACTCGAATCTGCTATTTTTTGCTGCTGATTAAAAATTAACTATTTTCTCATCCTTGCGATTTACCAGCTTTCAATTCTTTAATCACTTCCTTCCATTGATAAGTGACTACAATGGCCTCCCCACCTGGCTTCATTTCTCGGGACAAGTTAAAAATCTGGGAAATCTTTCGCGACGACGTTGGACCCGAAGGAGAGGAAATTTTAAAGACGGCCAAATTAGCACATGTTGTCAACAATAAGCATGGTCTCGTCGTCACCATGACGGATGAAACGTACTCCTTCTTCCGTGGCGAGGAAGGGTGCAAAATTACAAAGATTCCGAACCTTTGTGGCATCAAGGCTAAAGGTACTGTAGTTAATTAGGGGCCGTCCATAAATTACGTAGATAATGCAAAAATCGCGATTTTCTAGATCCCCTTCTTTAACATGTAGGCACGATATTATTGGAGCATTAGACCCCCTATCGCGTTACGTACTTTATAGACGGCCCCTTAAGAAATCAGATGAAAGTGTTCCTCCTTAATTAATTAGTTAGCTGCAATTTAATTTTAATTGTCCTAGAATTTGTCGTTGCCTTTCGTGGCCTTGCCATAACGGAGGATGGATCCTTGTATTCTTGGACTAATGGTCAATTCCTGATCCACCATAAAGATAAGGGCCTGGATACGCTCCATCTGAAGCCCTTTGACACGGCACCGCACCTCTTGGGGGGAAGTTTGGCGGGAAAGAAGGTACAACAAGTCGCTCTAGCAGAGGAGCGTGCCATGGCGTTAACCGTGGACGGAGATGTGCATCGCTGGGTTCGAAATGGGAAGACCACTTCCGAGCCAATGGTGATCCCCAGGGAGCACTTTGATTACCAGGAAGTCCTCTCGCTCGCCTGCACCAACTACATTTACGCCGCTCTTACATCAAACGGAGAGGTGACAAGAGAGCCATTTACATACATATGTACGATTTTTTAGGGGGATTATTTTATGCAAATTTTTATTGTTGCAGTTATTCCATTGGGAGCTGGACAAAGAGTTGCCCCAAAAAGAGGTCATAGATACGGCACCGTTAAAAAAGGTAAGCTAATAGTAAATTAAATTATTGTTAGAATTCTAATTTTACAAAAGTTAAATGCATACAAAGGTTAAGAGAATTATAATACACTGCTTTTCGTGACACTGCGCATAAAATAAGTAATTCTAAAAACGTCGATTTTACCATGACATGGTATCTGCGAAATTAATTCATGACCGTTTTGCTTACAGATAATTGCAAGCTGGAGCATAATTTTTGCACTGACTGTTGAAGGAACCCTGTACACGGGGAGATTTCATGATAAAATATCCATAGAACCAAAGCCTATGTGGGTGGTGGTCATGGAGCACGTAAAATTCCACGATATCACAACCTTTGGATCCGATAACGTCGTCGTTGTCGAGTTGAAGAACAATAAGATCCGACCGTGGTGGAATTATTGATCCTAATATTCTCTCAATTTCGCCAAGTGTTACTTCGCTGGACGACCTCTTTGCTCAAATTGGTGAAACAACTTGGCGAACTATTAGGGCGGAAAGTGATGCGGAACCAGGCACAGTGGGTGGTGATATTGGCAGCTTGTGGGCGAGCAAGGTTAGTGCAAATTTTTAGGGGACTGTGGACTTTTTTGGTCACGTTTATTTATTTACATAATCATTTACTTTGAAGGAAAATGTGGACATTACATTTTCCGTGGAAGGGAAGCCTATTTCGGCGCATAAATTAATCCTGACCACGAGAAGTGATTATTTCGCGAGAATGTTTAGCAACGAGTGGAAGGAGACGGCAGGATCTTCGTGAGAACTTTTTCGAAATACTAATTTTTTAACCGTAATTTTTATGTCATGCATAATTAAAAATTTTGCAGCCGTATTGAGATCAAGTACACGAAGTACACAGTTTTTGAGGCTCTACTCTTTTACATTTACCACAACAAGGTCAAATTCGCTGGGGACGAGTATGAAGACATTTTTGGTAAGGAAATTTATACATATTCGCGAAAAATATGATAATTATTGAGGCAATTCATTGATAACTTGTAGAATCCGTAAATTTGGTAACATAATTTTAATTTTACACACTTGTAGAAAATAAAAAAGACGCCCCTGATCTGGCGATGGAGGTCTCCCAGCGTTTGCTCCGATTTTATCCAAACTAGTGTCAATCTATGGTAAATTTAATTAATATTAAATTGCAAACGTTACTATCTGTCAATGCATAAGTTTGACAGAGATATTCGGATCCGAAGAGGAGAAAAAGCGCATTAAGTTTGGAAATTGCAAAATTTTTAAAACTTTGTGGCGAGTTTTCTCTTATTCAGATTCAAATGTCTCTGCCAAATCTGAGCATTCGCAGATAGTAGCGTTTGCAAATTTAATATTAATTAAATCTGTGATCAATCGACATTAATCTGGATAAAACTGTGAGCATACGTTGGGGCACCTCCTTTGGTAAGTTTGCAAAAATTTGCTAGCTATTTTGACTTAAAAATCTTTATAAAGTTTTATAAACGATCGGAAGGTTACGGAATTTACGAATTTTAAGAACTGGCTCATTATTTATTTTTCTGTTTACTTAACCTTTTAGGCCTCATGATGCTAGCGGACGCCCATTGTGCCGTCAAAATCCGTCAGGAATGTGAACAGATTCTGATGGAGAACATCAGCGCGGAAAATGCCATTTTCCTCGTTCGAAACGCTGCCTCGGCCAACGCTTTGGTTTTTTTCTCAATTAATAGTTAATTATCTATTGTCACTGGTTAATATTTGAATGTGAATATAAATTCATATTTTTTTGTTGAACATTAATAAATAAATAATTGAATGCGAATTATTACTAAAATTTTGACGAATAAGTAAAATTGCGAATTCTATGGATACTAAATTTTGGGAGTTATTTTCTTGGATAGTTTTGTAATTTCTGATAAAATTAAGTTCTTTACTTCTTCTGATTGATTAAACATGTAAATAGGTTGGCAATGTTTAAAACAAAATTTTGCTATCCCAACTGGATTACATAGATTGCTGGCTTGAAAGCTTACATATTTAATTTGGAAATCATCGTTTTTCATTACTACCAGTGGTAGAAATTATCATTTATACAGACGGACGGACAAGATATTTCCATAACGGGATCTCGCTGTGCTTCACCTTGAATAATTCCATGTCGCAATTTCCTCAGACATTGAGTTTGCCATTGGCTCGAACTCATATCACAGCCAGGGTTGCAGAAATCTCGTCTCACCTTCACAAATCTCATCTCACTGAGATATAGTGAGAAATAGTGAGACATGAGAAATATGTGAAATAGTGAGATTTATGAGCCATGCACTAGCGCCACCTAGCGGACGGGGTCATGAACTACAAGTTTATCTCATTATTTCTCATATTTCTCACTCAGCCCCAAGTGAGATGATTGATATATATCATTAAATCTCACTAAATCTCACTCAGTGATATATATCACTTGTAACCCTGATCACAGCCACTGTTTTTTTGCTACCGATTAAAAATTATTTTTTTATCGTCCCATCTTTAATATCATACCAGTTGATAAGCGATTATCATGGAGTCATCTGCCTCGTCACCTGGCGTCATTGCTCGCGAGAAGTTAAAGATCTTTCAAATCTTCCGTGACGTTGGACCCGAAGGAGAGGACATTTTGAAGACTGCAAAATTGGTACATGTTGCCGACAAGAGGGAAGCCTTCGTCGTCACCATGGAGGATGAAACTTATTCCTTCGTCCGTACCCGGTTGGTCCCCAGTGTGTGCAAAATTGCGAAAATTCCGCAACTGTGCGGTCTCCGTGTCAAAGGTTGGTATTTGAACTAATGTGTAATTGTTAATTATTTAAAGTATCGAGTACTTGATCACAAAAGTCGTGCAAACAAATCAACACACTTTTAATCATTTCTCCTTCCTGGGAATTGGTTTTAAAATTCTGGGCGACAAATTCGTATTCAGTGAGCTGATTAATAGAATCACGGTTAGTTTTTTTTTTAAAACTAAGCTTGTTGTAAATTAATTAAAGTTCGAGAAGTTCCAATTTTTCTGAAGACTTGGGATCTCCTCTCGCAAAAAGTATCAAAATCTGAATAATATATTTTTAAAACCGTGGCTACGACATGGCCCTGTCGTTCAGAATTTTAAATAATTTCCAGAAGTTGAGAAATTAAAAATATGCATATTTTGGCGATATGTAATTCATCTTCAGAAAAGAACAGATTTAGGTAATGTTTCCCTAATTTAATCTGCCTGCTAAATCTTTCTAGAATTTGCGGTTGGAATGATTGAGCTCGCCATAACGGAAGATGGATTCCTCTATTCGTGGATTATCAGTGATCCCGACGTGTTCTATTTTGAGCCTACTACTTCCGATTTCGCACTATTAGGCCGCCTGAAACCTGCCGATAAAGTTGCCGAATCGAACCTCGTGGTGACCCCGCATCGTGTCCTAGGTTCTTTAGCGGGGAAGAAGGTACACCAAGTGGCGTTATCGTACAAGCGCATCATGGCGTTGACCTGGGGTGGGGAGGTGCATCAGTGGGGTGGGAGGACCCCTCTCTGGACGCCAACCTTGGTTCCAAAGCAACACTTTCATTACCAGCAAGTCATCTCGATTACCTGCAGTGACGATGTGTCTGTCGCTCTTACGTCAAATGGAGAGGTGATAAGTTTCAGAGTTTTATGCAGAATACAATTACAACATTCCCAATTTTTTTAACCAAATTAATTTATACTTAAATTTGATTTTATTTACAACCAGAATTTTATTCTTATTGCAGTTATTTCAATGGGAACTGGACAACGAGGTACCGCAAAAAATTGATGTGGACCCCACACCATTTAAAAAGGTAAATAGGTCTGCTCGGGATAAATTGTAATTTTAAATATTACTTTATGCAAGTTTAAAAAAATTGATTAATTAATGTGTAAATAAGTTGGTAAAGTAGTAATTTTGCAAAATGTGTCGATCCCTTAATGGACCCCTTATTTTTCAGATAACAGCCGGCAAGGATCTCATTTTTGCCCTGACCGTGAACGGAGCGCTGTACTCGGCAAGATTACCAACGGGAACGAAGCCCATATGGTCGACGGCCTTCGAGGGGGAAGAATTGCAAGATGTTTTTGCAACCTGTTGGACAAGTGGGATGGTTATTTTCGAGTTGAAAAATTGCATCCGCTTTGCATTTCTATACCATGAAGCTTCTTATCCTGATCTGTCCTCATTTTCGCAAAGCGGTACCTCAATCGATGAGTATTTTGCGGGAATTAATCAAGCAACTTATCGCACTGTGTGTGCAGAAACGCAACTTAAACCGGGCACCGTGGCTGACCACATTGGCAACTTGTGGGCGAGCAAGGTTGACATGAATTCATCAAAATTTTTTTAGACCAGATTTTTACATAAAACTTGCATTGAATTTTACAGGAAAATTCGGACGTGACATTTTCCTTGGAAGGGAAAACCATCTCTGCGCACAAGTGTATTCTTGCCTGCCGAAGTGAATATTTCGCAAAAATGTTTAACCACGATTGGAAGGAGGTTCAAGGATCGTGAGTAGTTGGATATATTGTTTAGAAATATCTATGTGCCTACTTTTTAAATTGCAGTTGTTCAGGTATTTCAAATTCTGACAAATTTTTAAACCTTGCAGCGTGATTGAGATCAAAGATATCAAGTACGGAATATTTGAGGCTTTTCTTTTCTACATTTACAATGACGAGGTCACATTCGGGGCGAGTACGAGAATATTTTTGGTAAGGTTGAAGTTGAAACGATGTGAAATGTTTACAATGAGCGTACTCACGTCAACCTTCGCATATCTCGCAAATTGAGCATAGCAACATAACTTGCGAAGTTTTGCGAGATATGCGAGATTTCGCAAAAAATTTGCTGGAAAACTATGCGATTTTTTTCGCAAATTTACCCAGCAATTGGGCATGTTCTTATTTCGCAAATTTACTTCGCAAACTCATTCTTACCATCCCCAGCAAGAGAAATTAAAGAAATCCATGGAAACAATGCCAACATTGGTGTTTTTTGCGAGATTAGAGAGATTTGCGAAGTCATATTTTGCGAATCCCCTCACGACAGGAATATTTTGATTTTCGCAAGTTTTCTAAATGAGTTGCGATACGAAATAAGAAGTTGCCGTGAGTACGCCTAATAAGTATATTTTATGCAGACAATTGTCCTCCTGAATTTGCTTGTTCTGAATTTTGCTGTCCATACATAATTGCTAGCGAAAAGTAATCGTTTATTCCAATGTGTTAGACCTCATGCAGTTAGCGGACTCGTATTGCGACCTCAAGATCCGGCAGGACTGTGAGAAAATTCTGATTCGGAATATCAACGAGGAAAATGCTTTCTTCCTGGTTCGCAACTCGTCCCTAGCTAACGCTTCGGTATGGAATTAATTAACTAATTATTTAATATTCCATCCATTTGTTTTCATTGGTTTAAACTTTATTTGGATTTTGTACCGTGCCAGGATTTGGAGAGGAATGTCGTAAACTTTATCTTGGACAAGCGACTCCTCGACGTTTATTCGTCATCGCAAGAAATAATCGACTTGTTGGGAATGGAAACATTCCATAAAATCTCGATGGCCTCACTTCATCGAGTGTAAAAAGTAAGAACAAAAAATATAACGAAATATTTGGTCATAATTTATATAAGCGTGAACTAGGTAAAACCACTTTGGAAACTGAAAGATAACATTGGACCCACATTTTTGTAGTACAAAATAATCTTAACTTTCATACTAAATTTTTGAAGTTATTTTCTTGCATAGTTTTGTAACTTTGGTAAAATTGTACTCCTTTCGTTCTTTTGATTGATTAAGCATGTAAATTGTATGTAGGTTGCCAGTGTTTCAAATACAAAGAAATTCTGCTATCCCAAGTGAATCAGATTTATGGTTTAAACACTTATTTAACTTGGAAAATCATTGGTTTTCATTACCACCACTTACTTACATATGTAAACAGCAATATATTATCAATCAATTTTATTTTAATTACAATGAAATTATGTGCATACATATAATCACGTAATTAATTAAGGATCTTGGCCAGCATTTGACGGAAGTGTTATATAAAAGGACCTTGTTTTCCACACGTGCAAATATGTATCAACATGCAAGGACAATTTTGCATTTCGAGAATTTAAGGTGTTTCTTGAGTCTGGATTCTTGGGTGAAATTTAATCCGCAATTGGCACAGGAGAAGGTTGGCTTATCCAAGTGAACGACATTCTTGTGGAGGATTTTTTCTTTAATAGAGGGAAAGACGAGGCCGCAGATGGAACACGTTTTCCTAGCATCTGCACCTGGCGTTTCGCTAAAAATATTAATCCGCAACATTTTTCATAAAAATTAACTTGTAAAAAAAAGTTTGCAAATTTTACTGAAAACCAATACTTACATTCCGGTCTCGACAGGATCAATTTTTGCAACATTTTCCGCCACAATTTCGCTCTTTTTACACGGATTTGAATTAGCAGGACTTGGTAGTTCTAATTCTTGTCTTCCTGTTTCTGTTGTGTTGGCTGAACTGTTGCATTTTTTCTTAAATTTAAGATGTTTCCTGAGTCTGGATTCTTGGGTGAAATTTAATCCGCAATTGGCACAAGAGAATATTGGCATGTCCAGGTGGACGATTCGCTCGTGGAGGATTTTTTCCTTGATGGTAGGAAAGACGAGGGAACAAATGGAACACGTTTTTCTAAATTCCACATCTGCAGGGATTTGGGGTGGCCTAAAAAATAACTTAATATCAAACTCGAAGGAATTAACGTAGGCATTGGTAACATTGTACAATCCGCAAATTCTGTAAGCTTTTACAAAATTTTATTCATATTTCCAAGGAAAATTAGGTTATTTTTTGCAAACTTAATCAGATCAATGGCGTTTCTTGATTTTAAATAAACTCTTACAAAATAAATTATTTTGCAAAAGTTTGTAAAATTATTCTACAAAACGTACGGATTTTATAAGTTTCCATTGGAAACTTTCCAGTGACTGCCGTATTAATCTTTACTTAAGGATAAGTTGTACAATTTTTAATGAACAAACTTACATTTCAGTCTCATCAGTATCCATATCTGCTGCATTTTCCGGCGGAATGTGGCCAATTAACGGCGACATTGTATTTAAATCTGAATTTGGACTAGATTTTGACGCTTCTGATTCTCGCTGTCCAGAATTTTGACACTTGAGTCGTTTAAGATGCTTCTTAAGTCTGGATTCTTGGGTGAAATTTAATCCACAATTGGCACAGGAGAAAGTTGGTTTGCCAAGGTGCACAATTCTCTTGTGAAGAATTTTTTCCTTTATGGAGGAAAAACTAAGGGAGCAAATTGAACACGTTTTTCGGTCCTTATTTTCCGTCTGGTCATTCCTATCCAAAAAATGTACATAATTTCAAAATTAAGAGTAAATCTGCATAAAAATTGTAAGCTAATTTTCCTTCGAAATATTTGCAAAATTTTGCAAAAATTTGCAAACTTATAGAATTTACGAAGTTTACAATGCCTGCGTGAATTGCCCTGTTTAATTTATGCAGTCATTGGTAACTTCGGAAAATCCGTGCTTTTTGTACAATAATTTTACAAACTTTTATCAATTAAAGAGACGCCCTTGATCTCAGTAAGTTTACAAAAAAATTTGTACGTAGGCTAAATTTCCTTGGAAATATTTACAAAAATTTGTGCGTTTCCTGAATTTACGGATTTTACCATGTTACCAAAGACTGCGTGAAGAATTGCTTTAATATTTGATGACACCTTACCTAAATGGTGTACTAGAATTTCCAGGGGTCGGCGGTACTTGTGGCTTCATTCGGGATCTTATCAATAGGCATTGCTTGACTTTTAAGTGCTTCTTGAGTCTGGATTCTTGGGTGAAATGCAACCCACAATTTGTACACGAAAAAGTTGGCATGTTCAGGTGGACGATCCTCTTATGGAGGATTTTATCCTTAATACTGCCGAATATTTGGAAGCATATGGAACACGTCTTCCTCACGTCAGGGCTGAGGGGATCCCTTTAAAAAAAATTTGTGAATTAATCAAGTGTACAATTATTTAAAAAATTGTGCAGGGTGTGTTAAATGTCACGCTACAGTAGAAAATTACTCAATAAGTTTTTGTTAATTTTCATGGGTTACCGAAATTTTGTCTCTGAAATTCAACATTTTAAGAATTTTATCATCAGTGCGCCATCTACATACATATCTGTATTGATAAAATTAATAAAAATCTCAATCCAAAATCTTGTAACTAATAAAAATTTAGTGGCTTTTCCATTTGCAAAATTTTCCATTGAAGCATGACATGTAAAACACCCTGTGCTATAAATCCATGAAAATAGTCATTACTTTCCCGTTGCGATTGGACCACGAATTTGCACGTGTTTTTCATCCGGATCGAAGTCTGGGTCAGAATTGTACTCTTCATCATCAAATTTGGAGTCTTCATCTTCTTCACTGGGAGGGTCGCCATCGCCATCGCCGCCAGGGTAGAATATTAATGGAGAAAGGTTACCGTCTTCCTCAACCTGATCAATTTCCTCAACCTCCTCTTTCACAAAATATACGGCGTCATTGGAATCCGGTAAATCTGAAAAAATTGTAAAGATTAAATATTGAGCCGTTCAACTTAAGCGTAAGCTTCGCATATCTTGTAAATGTGTAAGATTTTGCAAAACCTTTACTGGATAAGCATACGATTTCTTTCGCAAATTTACCCAGCATGTGGGCATGTTTTTATTTCATAAAAATTTTATGTAATAAAAACATGCCCACATGCTGGGTAAATTTGCGAAAGAAATCGTATGAATTAAGTGTTTGCGAAATAATTTTATGATAAAATTATTTCGCAAACACATAATTCACCAAAAATAAAAGAAATCATTGAAACAGTGTCTAAATTTGTAAGGTTTAAAAATCATACTTTACAAATCTCCTCACGACACAAATTTTACAAATTTGCTAACTCAGGTCCGATGCCAAATAAAACATTGTCGTGAGTACGCCCATTTTAATTATAAGAAAAATCATAATTTTAAAATAAGTAATTAAAATTTCACCTTTCTGGTTGATCGCATCCCTCAGAAATTGTACAATTTCCGTAATTTTTTCCTGGATAAAGTCAGCTTCTTGTTTCAGCTCAGAAATTCTTTTCACCGCTGTCAAACAGTTTGGACAAACTTGTTCCTCCGTCCTTAACTCGAAATTTTCTCGACATAGCACGTCAGAACTAAATATTTTCATCAAACGGGGGTACTCATCCTCCCGTGGGTGATCCAGGGTAAAGGATTCTTTACATATTATGCAACGTTGTTCGTCCCAGTAATTCTTATGTTCGGAATGATTGAATTCTGCGACGAGACTGTGACGATTCCTGGACGAGGAGAGTAACTGCTGTAAAGTTTCCGAGAATGACATGACGAAAAAATAATTGGGTTGGAATTATTTAATATCTGAAAATATTTTGAAATTCAGAATCAATTATTTTTTTCATATTTAACGTATTTTTTAAGTATGTATGTGCGATACCCCGTCAAAGTTTTAAAATTCCTAGAGCAGGAAATAAAACGTAATCCATTCGTGTTCACGTTTCTCAACAAATTGTAACTTTTATAAATATATTTGACATTTAACTTCAAAATTGAAATTTTCAATGTTTCTGAATCAATGTGAGTATTAAAATGCGACCCTGAAGAGAATACTGGCTGGATGCAAGAAAAACTAATAATTTAACTGAAATAACTTATTATTGATTGTTTAAAACTTATTAGTTTTTGTAGAATTTTTAATTTTGCAAATATTATTTCTTGTGTTTCTTTTATGTTGTGAATTGGGTTGGGAATGGGATTTGATTCGCGCTGCGTAGGCTTGAGTTGACAACGAAGTAACGATTTACAAACATACGCGTGCATGCAAATTGTATGCAAAATGCTTCATGGAAATGCAAAAAAATGTGCTTGTGCAATATTCTGGACGTAATTATACATATCCGTACACATATTGACAAATATTGAAATTATTTTTATATCTTTTGCTATATATTGATTATCATATTTACAAAAATAGTACATATTCGCTGAATAATATGTTATTACACTTTAAATTAAAAAAAATATTCAAAACATGCGTACATAATTACTTCTATTCAATCAAGAGGTGTGGCTCTAAAAGTTTAATACTACTACAAATAGAGGGTTGGGGTCTAGCCTTCTGGGCCACCTTTTTTCGTGGTCCAGATGGGTAGAATCCTTAAAGATTCTATGGTATACGGAGGCCAGCCACCCACCAAAAGCCACCCACCAAAAGCAACTCAACAAAAGCCACTCCCCATAAGCCACACTAGGAAATAAGCCACCCCAGGAAAGAGCCACTCACCAAAAGCCACCTTCCATAAGCCACACTAGGAAATAAGCCACTTCTAGAAAAAGCTACTCTTATCATCTTCATTGATATAACCTAGTTCAAACAACTTTGCGGGGCCTTTTAAGATCGCATTATTCACTGGTAATCATATATAACTCAACAAAAGTGGTATTGGTAAGTAGATAATACCGTGCAGTAATAATAGCTCGGTATTAAAGTTTTAATATATTGGTATCAAATTTTTAAGGACGAGGATAATTTTAATACCAAGAGGTAGTAATTTTAATACTGAGAAATCAATAACTGATGATTGTTCATGATCTGGTGTGACTTATACCTGATTTCTCAAACTGTACACTCAAATCCCAAATTTTAGCTGAGGTTGATAATTTTTGAAAATCTACGTCAATTTCGGTGCTCCGAGGTTTCAGGTCATACCAAATTTTAGCTGCGTACAACATATTTCAGAAACTTTTTAGGTAATTACATCTCGATTATAATTTATTAAGACCATTTCTCAGAATTAATTCAATTAACCAAAAATTCGTCAACAACAAGGGCTCACTTGCATTTCTTTGTGCTCCCTGGTTCAAGTTTAAACCGAAGAGGTACGTTTTTGCAAATATCAGAGATATTGAAATCTCTGCAGATGTATCCTAGTCTGATTAAATGCTCACAAATATGCTGATTTTTAATTATTTGACAATTATATAGAGAAATCAACTAATTTGATTCTTGTCCTTGTGTGTACGGATTACATACACTCTAAATAAAAATAAGTAAAATTTACTCAAGGTTAAAAAGTGGATGACGCAACCAAAAGATGCAATTTATCCAACCGTTCTAAAAATTGGAATTCCAAAATTTTGTCCAAAGTTATGTACGTAAAATTTGTGCAACGGGTGGGTAAATTGTGTACAATGTTGTCTAATGTTCACCTTTTGGTAGTGTCATCCTCTTTTTACTCAATTTTGAGTAAATTTCATTTATTTTTATTTGGTATGTATAATTTAGTTATTAAAATATATTGGGACCTTAGGATAAAGTTTAAGATAAATAAGGATGGTTATTGGCAAGTTAGGGAAGGCCATTCAGTCCAACGTAGGGTTTAGTATTTAGGGTATCCCATTCAGTCATTTAGGGTAGCCATTAATATTTGCCCTTTGACTAACCGTAACAGCGGGATAAGGAAATGCTACAAGATGGTAGAAAATTTACTATAATTCTGTAGCAAATCGCTACCAAACCGGTGAGGTCATATATAGACACCGCCCACTAGCAATTTGCTTACATTTTATTCTCAGTGCGGTTTATCAACAAAGATGAAGATGATAACAGTTGCTTTTTCTAGAAGTGGCTTGTTTCCTACGGTGGCTTTTGGTGAGTGGCTTTTTCCTGGGGTGGCTTATTTCCTAGTGTGGCTTATGGGGAGTAGCTTTTGTTGAGTGGCCTTTGGTGGGTGGCTTATGGGGGGTGGCTTACGTCCGCAAATCAGATTCTATCCTTCTGGACCACTTTTTTATTGCATTTTTGCACGTTTCAGAACATTCTAAGACTTTCCGCAAATTTCTAGGACACATGGTACGCAAATTTCTAGGACACACGGGCACGCAAATTTAACCTAACCTAACCTGCTCGCTTCACTCGCTAAAAAAGAACGATACCCCAATACCGAGGGTAGAATTTCGACGAAAAAAATTTTCGAAAATTTGTAAGTTTTTTTCAGTAGAATGTTCTGAAACGTGCAAAAAATGCGAAAAAAGATTGGTCCAAAAGGGTAAAATCATACCCAAATAGAGTTAGAATTATTACCTATTATTCAATTTCAATGATAGGTATCAGGGTTGGTACATATTTATTAGCAACCCTGCATGATAATAAATCATTATTATTCGACCAGTAATAATGGAGTAAATATTTACAAAATTCCTTTATTTACAGGAAACTTTGCAAATATTTATAAAGATTCTTGTGAACCAAATAAGCAAATTAAACAAGTCCTACACCACACGATGAACAAGGCTTGAATTAAATAATTCATTTCATAATAAGTAAGTCCGTCAAGGCTGAAAGCAAACCTGTGTCAAATTTTTATCCTCAGATGCCGTACGCAGTATCGATATAAATTTTAAACAGTATCGCTCGACCATATCTTAAGCATAATCAAGGTAAATTTACCTGTACAATTACGGCGTTCATTTTCACCATATTTCTGAAAGTTGATCAAGATAAAATACTTGAATGTTTTAAAATCCACACACATATGTACATATTGGTCCCCATTTTTCGTCTGGACGAGGTCGGCACCGAAAATGTACCATTATTTCTGGCCCAAATTTGTTCGGCAGCTCAGCTTAACAACCTCCGTTTATGGAATACCTGCCGTTTCGGCGCGTATTAACGAACCTGGTCGAATTTCCTTAGTTGCGAATCCGTCCCCCTGGAACAAAAGAAACTACAACATTTTAACGATTTGTCTCACCCTGTACACCTTGGTCATCTTGGTCGGGCAATTTCAAATATTCAGGGTAAACCATGGCAACCAATCCGTACCCATTGTCGCTTTCGGGTACACGTTCGTTTTCGTGGCTTTTGCGCATAATCGGCTTCGATTCCGCTCCGGCCAGAAAATCGCTGATCTGGTGGGATTGATGAACACAGTTGCTGAATATGAAAGGAAATATTTGGGTAAGCAAATTATCGGGGTATTCATAAATGTATGTATTGGTGTCCTTAAGTTTAAAATATAAGAGGTCACATTTATGTAATTACTTGTCATCCATACATCTTCATAATTAATTGCCTTGGTATCCTTAGTATCGTAAAATATTAGTAGTTTACAAAAAACAAAGGGTGAACTTTCATAAAAATTTCAACCTTAGTAACAAAATTTTCGATGACAAAATCATACTCCGCTTTCAAGATCTAGTAAAGGATGTAACGTGTATTTTCTACCATTCGAAGCATGAATACCCTCAAATTGATTAATTAAATTGAATTAAAGGTATCTACAAAAAAAACAATCACCAAATAAACCTTGTTACATTTCCTATTTTGTGTAATTTATTTAAGTTCGAATTCCTGGAGGATAACTACCTATTCAAAAATTCCGAACTCATTCGGCATTTGATTATTTACGTACTTATTTTAGCACGAACGCGCAACATCGTGCTCAACCTTTGGTTCTTGGCTCATTCCATTTGTAAGCAACACGTTTGATCGAGTCCCAGGAAATAGAGGTGCTAAACCCTGCTCGCTGGTGGTGGCTGCCTGACCATATATTTTCCTCTCTTTGATATGAGAACACCACACAACTTATGCTTTGTCAATGTTCCCGGCCACGTAGGAACACAGAATTATTTACTACTGTCTACACAAGCAGCTCATGTTAATTTTACCTTTTCGAAAAATCGCCAAAACTCCAAGACGGACAAAAATCGCGTGGGGTTTTAAACTTTTTTATTTCCTTAGGCCCAAAGGCATCGATTGGCTTATCTCTCTATGAGCGATTCTTGTCCGTCGTCTCGATAATCGAGTTTTTCAATACATTATAAATTTCTGATTTTTTTGAATATTTGAATTTTTGAAAATTTTTCCTATCAATGAATGATCAATGAATGAAATCTGTAAATGTAACCTACCCCTTAAACCAACACTTTGGCGACGAAAGCATTTTCAATGCATTTGCAAATTTTCTTTGAACTGCTATATCTTTGCGAAAAAAATTAATTTTCAAATTTTGATTTTTATGATATGTTTTATTTTATATTATGCATCTATGATAAGATTGTGGACAAGATATCAAATATGGGTGCGACGACGATCGTGTGGGTTCAGATGGAATGAGCCTCTTGGCCTTGTACGTGGGGACCATCATGATCCCCGTCTTAATTACTACGCTGCTTATCATTAATCCGTGCATGCCCCCATTTCCGGGGTCGATAATTCTCAACTGTTCAGCTCAAGCTGGAACGGAGTTGACCGGTTTTCCGCCTTGTTCTTTAATAGGTTTTGTAACGAAGGTGCTAATGTTGATGGCGACATTGGTCACTTAAGATAAGTGTAAGGGTAAGTTAAGATAAGTAAATAAGCAGGTTCCCTTTTAGAAATATGGTATTAAAGTTGTTACCACTCGGTGCTAAAATTAGTCGTAAAAATTTGCTACCGATGTGGTAAAACGTTTCCACCGAGCTATGTATTACTGCCTGGAATAACTTAGTTATCAATATACCGCAATGGTAGAGTCGTATATGAATACGACTTTGTATAATTTTAAAATCGGATTTCTAAGAGTGTTTTATCACAAATAATATCCCATGGTTTTAAACAGCTAATTCTAAAGTTTCATATGAAAATATACAAGGGGTGGCCACGACCACTTTCATCTTTGGGGTTGGAACCGTCGTAAAGCTGATCGCAATGTCGACCTTTATCAAAAATATTCCGAATTCTGAATGCGTGGGTGGACACGTGGCAACTTCTAGTTTCAAGAATAAGGAAAATATGGTCGCCCAATTCCGCCAGAATGAAGTAATGGTTAAAGCATTCAACATCTGTTATCAAACCGTGTACTTCACTTACGTGATGATGTTCGTGGTCACGCTTGGAATTCTGTTCATGTACGGACTCTTAAAATTCCATGAAAAGGTGAGCATATCCGCTTATATTTTTTCTTCGTGAACTATATTGTGATACAAACACAATTTTGAGTTCCCTCAATATTGGTTTCCAAACAATCACGCAGGCCTCCATTGTACCTCTCGTGTTCATCATATCCGTCATCGTGGACTACTTTCTCGTCGTCCTTCTCTCTTACACGTTCGCCGGGAATATCTTCTTCGAATCGACGCGGCTAAGGGTCACGTGGAAAAGATTGGACACCTTAATCCAAAAGTCACCTCCCGACTATATGGGGTGTGCCCAGATCCAGGGTCAACTCCCGACTATAAGGTGGGTGGAAGGGCCAGGGTCAAAAGTCGCCTTGTATAAGATAGAGGAGAAAAGACAAAATTTCCAAATTTTGCCAAAGTCCATATTTGGAGACCTTTGATCAGAAAAATACAACATGGGATTTCCCATAAGGAATTGGCCAAAAATGACGAAAAATGGCAAAATTCTCACCACCCGCGGGAAGGCTCATATTTTGCACATATATTGGTACCCACTAACCCTTGTTTTTTAGTAGAAAAAAGTTTCAACTTTTGCTTTGATATGCCTCGAAATTAACAAAAACGTCAGTTTTTGACAAATTTGGAGCACATGCCAAACGTTTTTGATGGGTCACACCGACCCGAATCACCTATTTTTTGGGTCTACATAATATTCCAGAAAGAAATTGGCACATTTCAACACTTTAATTTTTCACCCTCAAAAGACCTAAGGGGTACCCCTTAGGTGTTTGAAACCTTGAAAAAATTGTTGTCGAATTTCGCGGGCAAATGGTGACCAAAATTTGCCTATGGCATCCAGAAGTTGTCTCCAGAGAAATGAGCCAGATGCATTGTGACCCCGAGCTGGGGGTCATCTGTTTGTCTTTACAAATTTTCCAAAATTTCAACGTTTTCGGGACTGGTTCGAGTTGTACAAAGACCAAATCCCGGGCGATCCGTTCAAACGTGATTTTTTTATGTGCCCACGTACCTAAGGAATTATTCCAGGAACGGGCGGTCCGAAATCAAACAATCTGTTGAAGCCCCAGGGGTCAAATTAAACTCGATGGGCGTCATCATTTCTCCCCGATTTTGCTCAGTGTTTGGTGACCCACGTTTTTTTAAGCACGACTACTAGCCATATCGCCATTGCATAATGTTGTTGGATAGTTGGAGGAAATTAGGTAGTGATTTCGACCCTATAGATGTATCACATGGTCACCTGGATAAGGGTGAGCCAGACAAAACGGTCTTAATTTACCGAGTAATCAATTTGTTACGCCATATTTTACTCTTTGTGTATGAGAGATGCATCCTTCCAGCGCAAGTGAATAAGGAGGACTCTCCCCGCCTTGGGATAGACCCACCCGGAACCAACCCAAGGAATTATGAAATTCCAGCCACATAACTACATACATACATATGTATGCTCGTCAAGAGCACTACCCGCCATAATTCATTTAACGCACGTTTTCATCATGTTGCAAGCAGATTTGGCAAACGTGAAGCAGGCATTATTTTTAGGCACTCAAATTCCCTACAAATTGCGCGGTCAACCAGCGAAATCGCTTGAGAACTGGCATAGCTGTGAGCTAAACCTTGCGGGCAATGTCGTTATTAAGGAACCTTGTATGGTCCATTATTTCAATTTGTAAGTTAAATTACGTCCAATTCATGTTACTAGGATAGAACAGACCTACGTTGTCGACTAAATGACCATGCCTGGGAGGTTGTCTTTCCTACATGTCCAAGCAAAATGGCATTTCTGGTTAGGGCGTCATAGTCGGGACGTCAGCGTCCGAAGTTTTAGTGGGGTCTGGGTTGGTATGGAAAAGGTATAATTACATTCATATCCGCCCCCTGCGAATATATCACATCTGGCTCAGTGTACGTGGAGTCACGACTCCGTTGTGGGCGAATTTACAAAAGGGTTTTAAGGCGATGACGGATCATAGATAACTTCCATTACGTATATTTTAAACCTCTCAGAATCCCAAATGGAAGGCAGAGGTAAAGCTGGATTTCCACTGCCGTGAGTCGTGCGCGACCTACGACGGAAAGTGTCCGACGATGGCATTTCAACCAAAGCAGACAAAATCCGCTCGACGCGGCGGAGAGTGAGCTGAGTTGAGCGGATTTTTGCCTCCCATTTCCACCAACCGACTCATCTCAGCGGATACGATCCGCGCGGACGAAAAAACTGTGAGTCGATGAGTTGAACTTGGTTCAACTTTTTTTCGTCCGCTCGCCAAAATCTATGACAAATTCTCATTTCCTTGAGCGGAATATATAAAATCACATAAATTCACTTCTTATTATTCACATTCCGCTAACATCAATTATTTCATAAAATTAGAATATTCTAAATAAATATAAAATGTCGAGTGACAGTGAGGAGGATGGAGGAAGTTTGAACATCAACGAGGATGGGGATCAATGTCATGTAATGGGTGAGGAAATACCGGGCGCCCAGGAAGAGAATATTTGGAGGAATGAAGATATAGAATTACTTATAGATACAGTGAGATCAAATCCAATTTTGTTCGATGTCAAATCAAAGGATAATAAGAACAGTGGTAAAAAGGAACTTGTGTGGTTAAATGTTTCCAGTACGGTAGGGAAGGATGGTAAGGTGTATAATTAATGTTTAGTATGACTCTGTGGCGCCACGTAATAATTAATGTTAATCTCTGGAATTGCTTGTTTTTGTAGTTCCTGAATGCAAGAAGAAGTGGAAATATCTACGGGATAATTTCAATAAAGTCGTTAAAAAGAAGAAAGGCAAGTCTGGCAAGTCTGGCAAAAAAGAAAAACAATGGGAATACTTCGAAATGTTGAACTTTTTAAAGCCGTTCGTAATTGCCAATACTGAGTACGTCTATTATTGACTAACTATATATTTATTACTTATGTTAAATAATTTTTTTACTCCGCCAATCTCGCAGATCTTCTGGTAATTTGGATAAAACTCCGGCGCCGGATGAAACCACCAATCGAAGTGGTCGAGATCATTCCCGTGGGCCGGATTTAGATGAGGACGACCCCATCAAGCCCGAGACCATATCCAAAAAAATGAAGATGTCAGAGAAAGTTGATGCAGCATTATTGGGATACCTAGAAAAGCAAAATATAAAAGACTCGAACCACCATTTCTGTATGGCTCTGGCGGATGATTTGCGAAAAATGACAGCAGCTCAGTCATCATATGCAAAAACCAAAATTCAGCAAATTATGTATGAAATTGAATTTCCGCAGAATACAACGCCGGCGCCGGGAGGACGTGATGTCAATGAGTAAATTGATGATTGAAAATTTTTATTTATTGTTACTTGAGATCTTTAACGCACAATTATAATAATATGGATTTAATAATAAATTTCATTGCATTTAATCCAAGCCAACAATTCTTCGCCGCCATTCTACTGCCCCTTCATTTACAAAGTATTCTGCAAAGCTCTCCCTCATTTCTCGTGCTGCAGCACTGTGCATATTTGAACTCATTCTAGTGAGGTTTCTCAGCGCTAAAGAGTCTTCTTCTTGTCTCCATGCGCCGTTATCTTCGTCACCAGTGTCCACGAATCCTGCAGGGCAATATATATCTGCCCCCGGCGCCGAGAGATCTTGAGTACGCAGGAAATTGTGTAGTGCGATGCAGGCTGCAGAATGAACATGAGATAAGTACTATACATAATTAATAGTTTGTGCACATTTGGTTAATTTATACCTTTCACAATACTTTCAACATCGGCAGGGCAACAATCGGTCGTCGAAATATCCTGAAGCGCTTCGACATTACACCGAACGAACTCTCAATAATTCGACGAGCCCTAGAAAGCCGGTAGTTAAATATTCTTCTCACTTCAGTTAGTCCTCGCCCTGGATATGGCCTCATCATGTAACATTTTAATGGAAAAGCTTCAACATGGTAGTTGTTTTGTTGATTCAGGTAGCAATTTAGGTCCAGGAATTCCAAGATGTCCTAGTATTACAATATAAATTCCTATTTACATAATGCAGGAATTTGTTATGCCAGCTCTGCGATATTAAATTAGCGTAAAATTACCTGATTCTAATCTGGTTCCTAAAGCAGAAATTGAAAAAATTCCTGCATCGCTTTGTCTCCCGTAGGCGCCTACGTCAACCGTTGTGAATCGGTAGTCAGCATCACAAGTTGCCATCAACACGATACTAAATCTTCCTTTGTAATTATAATATTGTGACCCAGATTTGTATGGAGCTTCTATATCTATATGTTTTCCGTCCACTGCGCCGATACAATTAGGAAAATTCCAACGCTCCCTGAATCCTTTTTCGATTAAGTTGTAGTCTTCATTTGTTGGGGCCTAAAAAATATTCCAGCTTAAAAATAATTAGCAGGACATGAGGCTAATTATTATTACATAAGTTATCTTTACCTTCACAAATATTGGACTTAATCTGTTCCACAAGATCTGAGTCGTCTCTCGAACGATTCGCCAAACAGTTGTATGCCCCATGCTATAACTTGTAGATATACTTGCTAAGCTATCTCCGGTCGCTAAATATCTGCCAGTTATGAATTATATGTATGTGTTATTTCATTAATAAATATATAAATATTTCTTTCTCGGCGCCGAGTCTTCGTCGTACCTAAGGGTGACAAATAGCCGGAAATCTGGGGGAATTGATGTCCTATAATTTGTGTCCTGTTTTTGGAGGTCTTCTTTAACAATGCTCAGTACGGTATCAAACTGTGCTGGAGTCATTCTTGTGTACTGGCGAAATTTAACAGGAAACTTATTATACATTTCAATTATCTTTAGATGTTCCACACACCTCGAAGTAAATTAAGAGGATGCACCCAGTAGCGATGCACTCTTTTTTTCCGGCGCCGGATTAAAGCCAAAATAATAACTGGATCCATCGTTAATTAAATTTTAAACAAGGTTGAATTTTTTGTTAATACTTGTAAATTTGGAGCAAACTAGGAATTGGGTTGAGCGGTTGGATTGGTTGCAATACTCACTCCATTTTTCGTACAACCCAACACACAGCTGAAACACCAAAATTATTCTCGCCATGTCTTCAACTACGAAAAAATTGAAAATGACACCATTCATGTCATTTATGACCATTGGTCGTCGTCAGTTAGAGGCACAAGGGATGAACATTTCTGGTGGATGGGAAGAGGTCGCATTTGTTTTGGATGGAGAATGGCTCATAAGTAGTCCGTGTTACTTTAAATTTCACAATTTCATGAATAGAAATGTGGAAATAATTGTTTTCCTTACTTTTTCCAGAGAATGGATAAGACTGAACAGGACAAGTACGCCGTGTACCAAGAGGAGGAGGAGAAATCAACGCCGCCACAGACGCGACCAAAAGCGAAATCTGCCTTATCCCCAACAGGCCCAGTTGGGCATGGACAAGAAGTCCCGTGCGTTGTTCCGACTGGAGAAGAGAATATGTTCCTCCGTGGACGAGCAGGTAAAAGATTAGCCAATGGACGAGGGCAGAAACAAGACTTGGTGAAACCGGAAGTGCAACTTAACATTGATCCGGTAATACGAGTAATAGAAATTCATTCGTTCATTAGAAATTTTTATTTTATGAGTCATTCTTATTTTTTGTTCTATTATGATTTATTATAGAAAGAATTAGGATCATTTCGTGATACACTCTTGCAAACTGGAAATACGATTGGTAAACACATGCGTCAACATGATCATCTCCCTCAACCAGGTTCAGAACCAATGGATTCACAGTTGTCTGTGCCGTCGTCTTCACCTGGTCGACCCAAATCGATTTCATCTCCATTCGTTCTTCCTAACCCTCTCTTCAAACAAACCACAGGGAAAGTCAAGGTGGAAGTAAAGGAATGTTCTAAACCAGAATCCAAAAAGAAAGCACCTGAACATGCACAAGAAACTCAAAAGGAGCCAGGGCCAACTTCTGTTTTATTTCAACCACCGGAAATGGCAGTTTTCAAAAATTCTGGTCCCCATAATATCAAGTAAACATTTATACATTCTACATTCACCTCTCTTTCAAATCTATTAATGACTTTGAATTATTGTGAGTGATGGTTTTAACGTTGTCCCAGGCGAACAACACTTCCCGATTGGTCGATTAAGAATGTTCAAATTAATATTCACGACCAGGATGAAGCATTTTCAAAAATTCGGGACTATTTTGCAGCCGTGCTGGATTTTGATAAGTTTCTTGAACTGACGTTTGCTTACGTCCATTTTAAAAACTATTGTCCTGCACCAGGACAGATTACTGCTCCTGCAGAGTTTTGCTGCCTCACCTGGAACCTTAAGGATGGGATGGTGTGGTATGGGGGGTCACCAATTGATCCTGGTAAATTTTCGGTCTTTTACAATGCGGGAAAGTATTGTTACTTTGAGTATATTGTATTGTTATGTTGTATCTATCTGTCACATTTAACAGGTTCTGACAAGCTTGGAGACTGGAAGATGGTGCAAGAACAGAGCAGGAAACTTTCGCTTCCAATTCCTCCCTACACCTACAGTCGAGGGCTTGCCTATTCTGTGGGGGAAGACCGATACGACGAGGTCGTCAAGTCAATCTTGGAGCAATCACGAACGTTCGAGGTATTATTAGCCATTAGCAATTGTGTAGCATTCCATTGCAAGAACATAAATGAAGGATATGTATTGTAATGTAAATATCACTCTTCTTGCTTTGTAGCTGTCGGACGAGACCCCACGGCGTCCCTACCACTATGTATTCGCTGCTGAAGATAATATCCCGATAGCTGTTGGATGCTTGGCCTGGCTGATGGCACAGCATGGTGAGCAAATTTCCGTTCCAGAAATAATCATATACGAGTTTGCCAAATGTTCCTCCTTATATTTATTTAGGAAGCAACCCTCGGATGCGCGTTCTCTCAATGGAACGTTTCGTCTCAGAGTTATTTCGAACCTGTCATATTAGGCAGTGCGCCATAGACCTACAAGCAAAAGTGGTTCAGGAAGTGCAGGGACCTAGCAAGAAGTCAACCGGGTCCGTGGTGAAGGCGAGTGATCCTGTAGGTACCGGAGTGGGTGGTGGTAAAGCGAAAAGTACCACTACCAAAGATGGTCCTCTTCCAGCAGAAATTTCAAACTTGGCGTACGTCGCGTCCATCAAGTACGCAACCGCTACCCTTCACAGTTTTGATATCAGCTCATCACTGGACAGACGCTTCCGGCTCGGATGTCTCTGGCACCAGCGCGTATGTACTTTCATAAAACCTACCACAAAATTATTCCTCTCCTAATTTGCACCACTTCAACAAATAGTGATATAATAATGTGAATTTCCTTGCCTAGGAAAATACATCGGATAGTATCGTGCACTGCTCTATGAAACAATGCAAAAAATGGATGTACAAAACACTAGAGAAAGCATTAGAAATTCTTAAACGGAATTACTCGGCTCATTCCAAAGAACTTGCCAAGCACGACATTGAACCAGTCTTGTGGGAGGAAAGTGATGCGATGGGAGTGGAGGCTCGACAGCGTTTGGGATTCTTTACACATATTTCTCAGAAGCGGACCGAGGTGCTGGAACGGGGATTTATATTTCCGGATCTGCTCAAAGAAATGCAACTCCGAATGCCCAATGGGTTGGAAACACCACCAACACAACTCATTTGGCCTCTGGAACGGTGTGTTGAGCTGGATCTCAACTGGAGTCGGTCCCAGCGTTTCAAAATCGTGGACCTGGAGCCAGAAGCTAGGGGTGAGCGACTTGCAGAGCTCAAACGACAGATTCACCCAGTGTTTCCAAACGGCGCCGTCGATTTGATGGAAACGAATCGAGGTCTTGAAGAACAAATTAAAGAACTGAATAAAAAATTGGACGCCCTGGAAGTTGGCGGAGGTGGCAGTAGAATTTCCAGAAACAAGAAGTTTGACGACTCCACCTGCTTTAATTGCGAAAGTGCTTCACATTTTACAAATGAATGCAAACTTCAATGTTTTATTAGGTAAGGTATTGTAACCTCTCTTTTCATAAACGTGAAGATAATCAGGAATTTTCGTCTTTATATAGAAATCAAGACAAAACAACCCACGGGAAATATGAACCTGTAGGAAGATATTCCTTTCAAATGCGACTACCTGGGCGCCCGGCAGGAGAGGTGGTTTCTTTTTATGAAGAATTGTTGAAGGTCAAGCTGAGTCGAGAAGAAGTCCAACTTGCCTTTGCTTTCTACTTCTTTGATGAAGGTTGCTGGAATTGTGCACATCCCTTTCATCACCGCCCAGATTGTGATAAAAATTTGAACAAGGCCCTTCATGATATAGCTAAACGGATGCACGAAATAAATCATCCCCTGACGGACGAAGCTCGAAAGAAAAAGCTTGAAAGGAAATTGCTGTACCAGAAACCGGGGCGCCCCAACTAAAATAATAAAATTTAATACAAATTCTCTAATTATTTATTGAATCACCTTGAATTGATTTTTATATTTACAAGTATTATAAATATATTAAAATTTGATCATACATAGTAAATATTTGATTACGTGCTCGAATTAAATTATTTCATTCATCACACAGTTGAATTCACTTATTTGGTTAAGTTTTTAAATATGTGTCTGCATTTTCCCCTAAAATCTATGTTTTGGTTAGTGATTAATTTTATAAAAGAACGAGCATTTCCACCCGTCCGCTCTACGCTGCGGATTGTTTGACAGCAAATCGTCCGCTTCCGTTAGCGGATGATCTGCCCAAGGTAGCGCATTGGTGGAAATGGACTTGGAGCGGAAAATGTAGGTGGACGCTGTCGGACGCTTTCCGTCGTAGGTCGCTCACGACTCACGGCAGTGGAAATTCAGCTTACTTGGTTTCAAGCACGAATTCAATGGCGCTTCGCATGTTTAGAACTCATAAATATTTCGTTAAAATAAAATATGTTTGCTGAAATTCTTAAAAGTTTTTTGTAATGCTAATTTTCTACACGAACATTTATTGATTGCTCCCCTTGTGAATGCATTACCTGCCTTTGTACCGAATCCAGAATTTATTCACATCGTTCACCACATATTTTAAATAAATACATGACTACATATTTCTAAAACCATGGAAATAATAAATTTAAACCACTATATAAACTTGTTTTTTAACTGTGTCATAAATATTTTAAATTTCCAAAATCTGGACATCATACCCACCCCTTTTCCCATTAGGCTAATCCACAGTACCTGCATACCATATCACTGCAATAAGGAGGCACAACCTTGCAAAATTGTCCCACTCGACCCCAACAATATTTTACCCTGCATCGGCCTCAAAAACGGTAATACGACAAATTTCAAACCTGAACTTTCTCAACAAAAAAACTACCAATGTTTAGCAAGATTCTATCTCTTTCCTCCAACCGGTAAGAGCATATCGGCCATACCGTCACCTTCCGGGATGGAGGAACAATTTGCAAAATGGCCGTCGAAACCATTCTCAACAAATAAAGCATTCTCCAGACCGCAATACCACGCCCTCCTCCACCCCGGGGAAGCCAGAAACGATACCCTAGTTTGGGAATGGAATTACGAAATGGGAACCAAGGTACTCGACGAAAACGAACTGGCACAACTTTTGATTTTTCAAACAACCCAAAAAAATAAATTAGATCAATTCGAAATAAATAACGTCCTACTTTGTTGCAAGTACTGTAACAAATATCATCGAACCTTTGTTCCGAAAAGTTTGAGTTCTCCCGCCGAAATTTTCAAACCCCTGGACCAAATTTGGGGCGACGTCGGACTTTACGTAATTATATCGTTGGATCCTTCACCCATTAAAAAACCGTACAAGACAGCCCCAATAAATATGAGGTTATCGCAAATTTACACCTTACCCTATACGAGCGACCACTACATCTTATCCCTACTTGAACATAGTCACCTCATAAATTTCTCGGTACACTTTGTCACCAAAAAACCAGGTTCAATTAGTCTTTCCGTTGATTTTCCCTGCGAAGAAGAAATGCCCAAGTTTAACCTAACCTGGGAAGATTATTTTTACAAAAGAGTACAATTATGCGATAGAACCTTTAACTCGTTTCCCATCATAAATACCAAGTCACAATGGAACATTAGGTTACAAAAATCCATAAAAAGTTTCACCTTCTTAACATGCTTCTTACCAAAGGAGAAATTACCCGCGTTAGAAATTCTGTTAAAAGTATTTGACCCAATAACCTGGTCCTATTTAGGTCTAACCTTGCTAATCTCCTGCCTTTACCTGGCCGCCACGATTAACCCGAAACGACACAATGTTTCAAGAGGAACCGCATTCACCTTCCCCATCGAAATGTTACTGGAACACGGGAACTCCACGGGACAAAATACGAGTGGAGAATGGTCCCTTTATTTCGTCTTGGCGCCCGTGATTCTGTCATTCCTCGTGGTTTCTTCGGCCTTTAAAGGAGACAACATGACCTCCATAATCGCACCAGTGGAGCAGATTCGGTTTGAAAAGTTTGATTCTCTGTTCACCCACAACTTTTCTTTTTTTGCGGATTTTATACCATATCCTTACCATGGTGGGGTAGGGATAATTTCTGAGTTCAAATATGTTTTGGAGAGGACAACGCTAACAAGTTGTGGATCGATGGAAAATTTAATTTCCAATAAGAGCATGAAGAGTCTGTTGACGAGAAAAATTCAGAGGAATAAAAGAATGGATGGGAGATTTGTCTGCAAAAATTTTGCCTTTCTGGGGTTTAAGGATAAGTTAAAAGAGAGAAAGGCAGTGGTGGAAAAAATGTATAAAAGGTATAATTGGGGTTTAGGAGTTGAGTCAGTTGCGACGTTTCCATCTGGGTGGGAATTTTCTAATGTGATTGATCAACGGTTATTGAGGGGGGTAAATATTTTAGAGGAATCAGGGATTAGGAAGAAGGTAATTGAGTTTGAAGAATTGGGGTTGAGTTTAAAGGAAAGGAAAAATAAGAGTGAGGAGGTGGTAAAAATGGCTGCTTTGAGAATGGAAGGAAATATTTCAAAAATTTTTATTTTTGTTTCTTTAGGTTTAATGGGTGCGGGTGTGGCGTATCTAGGTGAAGTTTTGTTGCTATGTTGGTACCAAAGAAGGCAGATTTGGCGCATAATCCTCAGTTGGGGTGGGAAATTTGTGGGTAGCCTTAAAAAACTTTGGATTAAATTAAGGATGGATTTTAAAAATTGTCATAAATACGTAAAATCATTTTGCAAATATGTAATTGGTCAGTTTTCTTCCAAAGCGTATAGCTGTATTACGCCCACTTTTCAAGATGCCCGGCAGTATCAAAGTGCAAAAATTTGAAATATTGTGCACAGAAATATTGAATATTGTAGATAAATCAATATTCAATTAGGAATTATTTATTTTTAGTTTGTGGAAGAATAAAATAGTCGAAAAATCCGAAGGGTACGACTTAATTTTTTGCATGAATTTTCAGTTCTCCTCAACGTTTTAATTAATGGTGCATAATCGGTAAGGAAAAGCAAAAAATGAATATGATTATCGGAATGTACATTAAATTTCCTACAAAATCGATGTTTCACATAAGAAGAAGTTTCCCTAAAGCAGAAAAGCATGGATTAATGAAATCACAGGAATAGGTACGATTTATATCTTTGCTTACTGTATATACATATGATATCTTTAAAGTAAATTGATATTTAGACAAATCATAGGCACGTTATATATACGTACATAAGTACGTAAATATTTGCACTGTATGGAATCTACTAAAAACTTTGTCTCGCAATATATAGAGATGCTTTATTCATAGATGTGTGATTAGTTTTGATGCAGGCATGTAAATATGTACCATAGGCAGATATGCAAGCGCATAAATATTAAGGAAGATTACAATCCGTAGTTTGCACCAAAAATGTAAATATGTACCTACATATTTACATATGTATCTACTTCAAAAATTGAATGTGCTCATTCTAAAAATATGCAGCCATGTATGTATTAAACATCCCATTATTCGATGTATGTACATAATTGTTAGTCTACACTTTGCTCGTCGTATTAATAAAGATGTTAGAGACAAAAGGCACATTTCTAATATAAGGTATATATGTATACATTATACATATTTCATAATACTTATTTTGAAGCGAACATATCACTTTGCATAATGCATTTATAAAAGATTATCCCGTCCTGCATGAAACCTATGCTTTACATATAAGTACTCGTTCATCTCCTCTTCTTTATCTTAATTTTGAGGCTCAAAATTATAAAAATTCATAAAGCTCGGGGAATTGCGTTGTATGTACTTCAACCTGGCAAATACATCCGATAATCTCAATGACAAATTGACGAATTGAATGCGAATTGTTGTGTACAAAAGTGCCGGCTGAAAATTGTAGTAACTGAGAAGAGTTCATTTTCATTTATGCTGCTTTATTTGGATACTATAGAGTTATATAAGGATGAACTTCGTCTGAATTTTGCTTAAAGTACAGTTTGATTTTAATCTTAAATAATTTAATTTAACTGCATATTTTTTTAGGATCCTGCTAAATGTTTCAGTTTCTGGGGGAAATGGTGACCTCAATGTGCGGCATGGCTTCGAGCACCATGCCATACACAATTTTCATATCCTTCCGTTTCTGTGTGGTGGAAACGCGGAAATTTCTCAAAATGTGGGCCAAACATGTTTTCATTTGAATCATGGCGTATTTCATTCCTATTTAGATCCATAAAAATATCCATGTAGGTCAATTTACAGAGCTTATTTCTATATTTACATTAACATAAGAAATACGCACCCAGACAGTTCCTCGGTCCTGCGGAGAATGGAATGAAAGCGTATTGATTTCTGTTAACACAGGCCTCCGGAAGGAACCGATTCGGATCGAATTGATCCGGATTTGGGAAGTATTGTGGGTCTCGGTGTATTTCTCGGATGATGAATACCATCTCGCACCCTTTAGGAATTATTTGGCTGTTGTCTAAAAATTGGAAAACAGTGAACATTCTGTATTAAAAATTTGAAGCAGTTAAAAATTAAAATCTTGTTAAACAATAAAATAAAACAGTTCATTATGCATTTATTTAAAATTTGAAAATAAATACTTGTTCATTATCTATTTTTTAATAATTTTATCTTAAATTAGCGTTATGCATTTCTTAATATACCCCATTGTTTAAGCATAAGGCTAAAAATAAATAATCAATAAAATTATTCATTTGTTCCTCAATGGTTCATTCGTACGAAAGGAATAAATATTTATTTAATGTTCATTCAGCCAAAAATTTTAAAAAATTATCCACTCGTTATCCGCTCGTATTTGTTGTACTTGTAATTTGGAAAAAATGGCTTTTAACCGTTATGACAGTGGAGATTTAAAGTGTGAATCTGAAGATGGGTTAAAACACCGAATTACTAACACTCGAATACAAGAAATTAGGCAAAAATGTTGTCGCCCTTCATTGAAGAACGTTGCACTTACAATGGAACCTTTAATCAAGCTACACCCAGGGTTCGGAAAACCCCGGGGTTTTTGTAGAAAAACCCAACCCCGTGGGTTTTTCCGGGGTTTTTGGGGTTTTTGTGGGTTTTTGGGTTTTTGTGGGTTTTTGTGGGTTTTTGTAGATTTTGGGGCAGGTTGAACCAGAATTTCTAAAATTATTTATTAGAGAAAAACTAATTTAATATACAATTTTAACATGCAATTTTAACCGTTATCACTGATTTGGACTGTTACATCCAAAATTCATGTTTGACATGTAAACCTGGAAATATGCTATGATTTTTGGAAATTCAAGTCGCAAATGAAAATTCTCAAAATTTCAAGATGAAGCAGAAAAGTTAATTAGCATTGATCTACGTAGTAGTTTAAGGGATTTTATTTCAATCTGCCTCAAAATCCTACAAAAACCCCGGAAAAACCCACAAAAACCCACAAAAACCCGCAAAAACCCCATTAAGCATTAGGGTTTTTCCGGAGATTTGATACCCCAAAAACCCACAAAAACCCCAAAAACCCCAACCCACAAAAACCCGGGGTAGCGAACCCTGGCTACACCGGGATATTTCTGATTTGCTAATCTAATAAAGTGTCGACACATGTTTTCATATTTTTTATATGAAAAAATCAGGCCAAAAGTTAGGAATCACATAACACTATGCGCTGAATGGTCTTTTTGAGAAAAAAATATTAGCAGGAAAACTAAGGTAAAATAAGCGCCGGATTGTTTTTGGTCCCCTTCGCGGAAAAATCGAGAGAAATTTAACTTCAAGATTTTAAAAATCTAACTTGAACTTTGCCTCCAATATTTTACTTCAACGGGAAAATGAGTGTCACATACATAATTCCTAATTTTTTGCTTAATTTTTTGGTACAACTCGCTAGAAAATCCCGGTGTACCTTGAAAAACGTTCCATTGTTCAATTTTTCCTCACCTAACGGAATATCTTCGGTAGCATGTCGCATTATCATCGGAACCGGAGGGAGTACCCGAAGCGATTCTTTAATACACATTTCCAAATACTTTAGCTCTGCCAAATCAGCGAAAGTTATGTCTCCACCCGTTTTTAGGACAGCGTCCAATTCTTCATGAACCTTTCTTTGACATTCCTCATTTTCTGCGAGTAGAAATAGTGTATGGTTCATTCCGCTCGCGGTTGTTTCGAACCCCTAAAAAAATATAAGGATTTTTATTTTCAGAAAGGCATAACATTTGAAAGGATAAATATTTCTCTCGTTTCGATTTCTGGGTCGCAAATCTTTATTGCTACCAGACCACATTTCATAAAAATTGAAAAGTATAAATTTTGATTATCAGGAACAATCTTATATTTATTTTTGCGTATTTGGGACAACTGGTTTCACCCATTGGTTACATACATGCGCTGCAAGGGTCTATTTTTCAAAAGCTGAAAATACAAAATCTTTTTTCTTACAGCGCCAAAAATCGTCAAAATGTGGGCTGTAATGTCTTTATTAGATTTTGTTTTAATGATTGAATCGATAAAAGGTCGTGTTTTGCCGTCAGCTTCAATTTCTTCTTCAGACTGGGCCAAAATCGCTTTCCTTTTGTTAATTAGCTGGAAATGAGAAGTAATTTTTTTAAAGAAAATTTGAAATTTCAAGAAATTCAAGAACTAAAGAATTTTACTTGTAATAAAAAGTCGTCAAAAAATTCCACGCAAATCTTGTCTTGTTTGCCGAATCCGAATATGTCCCAAATTATCGGAAGGTTCAACCACGGTTTGAATACACGCGTCCGAAAGGAACCAAGTGCCCTATTAAAACAGTACTAAGGTAAGACTTGACGCATCCCCAAAATCAACATAATTTTAGTCATTTCCCCGATCTGGGATTTTTTAAGATTCTGGACGACCATTTTATAGTAATTAAGCTGATTAAGTGAGTTTAAAAAAATTAAGGTGGACGTTTTTCGATGAGTTCGAATATTTCTTAAACTCGAGATCTCCACCTTAAAAAACTATCTGGAGTGTATATAATTTTTTTTAAACTGGCAAACGACCTGTTGTACAAGTCTGCCGTCCAAATCTTTAAGATGAATTCCCAGAATCTTAAAATGATTTAAAAACGTGCTGCTTTTGGCCATGAGCTTATCGGGTCTTACATACATACATACATAAATACGTTAAGTAAAATATATACACCCTAATTTTGTAAAGTAAATTTACATTTTTACGGATGTAAAAAACTTTCCAGAAATATCTCTCTGATAATTTGAGCTTTGTCCGAGGGCCGACTCCGTGATGAAGTCCATCGTAGCGCCGCACAGGAAGGGGTGAAGGTCCTGGCCTTTTCCGGGGGTCAGTTTGTCTCTTAAAATTTCGGTGAGAATTTTACTGTGATTATTGAAATGGGCCAGGAATCCGTCGAAGCTTTGATATTTGAAGGCTGGACTTAACAGTTTTCTGTCTTCTCTCCAGACATGTCCTGAAAATTGAGAAACGTGTTAGGAATTTATCTTAAGGAGCTTACCTTAAATAGTTTTAATTTTTTACCATTCGAGGTTACCAATCCTTCGCCTAGCAACCACTTAACTTTTTTGTAATCCAACCCTTTCTCAATATATTTCGTGGACGATAAAATTTTCTGAAAATAAAGTTCACAAATATTTTAAATTGTACTTAAGGAAGCAGGAACACCATTAAAAATGTGTGTAATTGATGTGTAAGTACCTGTGTCCCTTCAGCGTCCACAATCATAACGTACGGCTTGCTCCCAATCCATAGTACGAAACGTCTCCCAAACGTTTCAATTGCTCGGCTGAGCGCAAATGGCAAAGCTAATTATTCGATTAATCAATACAAAATTATCAATCGTTTTCTGAATATTGGGGATATTCACACTTGTTTTCGTACCAAAAATACTAGTGGTTTAGAAGGAACAACTAGGGTCAAGCTTCATAAAAGGCTAACCTTACTCACACAGTTTTTGGTGGCATAATCTTGCAGCGTTTACAAAATCTTGTAACCGTCGTAAGTTATTTTACGATACAAAGGATACAAAGGAATTGTGAATACCCTCATTAAATCCATCAATAATTGCCAAATTTTACCTTCTGGTCTATGCACCAAAAAGGGCACTGATCCGATAAATGGAAATTTCCATACACTTGGAAATTTTTGTAGCATAACGGCCTGCTTGGAGAACGTCATTGAAGCGTACGACCAAGTTGACACGATTAGAAATATGGCTAATCCAACTGCAAATAAAATTTCATATTCATTTTTTTGCAAAATTATGTTTTATTAAAAAATTAATCAGTTGTTTGGTAAAATACTTACTTGAAAATTTCCATTTCCACAAATCTTCCCAAATACTTGCAGCATTCTTCGACTGACGAACATCCGAAACGGAATTATTTTTTATCTCGGATTTTGCATATGATGAGTCCACCATAAGTACGAAAAATGCCAGCAAAACGATGGCCCATTTTTTTCGAAACATATTTATTTCCAATTTTCTATTAAATTAGAACAAAACTAAAAGTTAGATAAATACACGGTTGCAAACGAAATGTAGCAAAGGGGCGAAGCAACACGGTCATCGTGCGTCAAAACTATGTCGATATTTGAAATCCTCGCTCCAATGTAAAACGTCGAAACAAAAGATCCGAAATATTTTACCTTTGGTCTCATCCCCGTGACCTTATGACCTACAATGCCCATCTTCGACCTGATCCGTACCTCAAAAATTACAAATACGTTACAGAAAACCGCATTTCGAAATTCGAATCCGTTCTATAGTTATCCTGGATACGGACAGGGCATTTACATAAATGGATTTTGCTTCGCTTCACCCCTTAATAGAAATGTTACAAGAATTATGTGCTCTTAGGAGTCCAGTACTAAAATAATATTAATACCATGAAAACTAATATTAATACCAAGCCCAAGCCGTACTCATTTATGACTCTGCGCCCAAGTGGTATTGGTACATAAGTTTGTAATGCCGTGCATTAGCAGCTCGGCATTAAAATTTTACCAAACTGGGTGTAAATGTTTACACACCAGTGCAATTTTAATACCAAATGATATACTAAGTTTAATACCAAGAAATCAATACCTGCCTGACAATACCAGACTTCTAAGAGTGTAAAATAATTTCGTATTTAAAAAATGATAATTTTTCAATTGTAAAAATACCAAAAAATTGATTATGTATCCTTCCGAGCCCCAGATAAATAGTTTGTTTACTTAAACCCTCCAATTCTACTACGCGAATGAGAATGACAATGCGATTTTTAGCTCTTATATTACTGAAATGATGAAATGTATCAAGATGGCTTGCCACGTCGAACGTGATGCAGATCAAGGTTCAATTCATCAATTTATTATCTCAATTTATTAATCATCCGTTAATTCACTCTGCTCGAACAGAACCACACATTTATTTATAACTTGTCATGCAAACAAATACACACGCAACCGGAGAAGTAGAGTGACTGTGCAGTTTCATATTTGTATGCATATGTACAAACATACGTGTAAATTTTCCAAAAATGAGTCAGTCCAGTTGTTTTGATGATGGGGTTAGCAGGTAGAATTTGGTTGCAAATAAAATACATGCCCATACTCTACATATGTATGCATACATACATTGTTAAAAAGATGGTGAGTCACATATACTCCGTGATGGTATTGATAACTATATTGTCTCCGGATTGGTAATAGTTTGATTCTATGTAGGTGGTAAGTTTTCATCACCACGACGGTGTATATTTTTCACTATGTAAGGTAATACCCGTTATCACAGAGGCGGTTAAGCCATATGCACTCCGGTTGGTGATGATTCAATACCGTTTTGCTAAGAGTGTAAATAAAAGTTGTATACAATTTAGGTATGTAATCAAACAGTTGAGTTAAAATGATAGGATGACACAACAATTGTGTTAAGTTTGTCTACCGGTTTGCTACATTTTACACATTTTCGTCCGTATTTTTGTCCAATCTTGAGTAAATTGTATACAACTTTATTTACAGTCAGGGATGGGCAATCCCAGGATTACTTTAATCAGATTAGGTAATCAGATTACATTGAATGTAATCCGTAATCCAGTAATCCACGAAAAATTAACATTTTAAAGTAATCCGTAGTCCGTAATCCTAACTAGGTCTTGAAATTATGTGTAATCCGTAATCCTCAATTTACGAGATTAGAAAATGTAATCAGATTACGGATTACTTTGTTGGATTACTTTGCTCCTGTAAACAGCGTGACAGCTCCATCTTGCAACTTCTCCAGAGTCTGAGTCACTTGCTGAACTTGAGTGCTTAAACTACCTTCTTGATTCTTAGCAGAGGTGCAAAGTTTAGAGAATTTGGGAACAATTAAGAGGGGTTTATTTACTATAACACATTTTTGTCTGCCCTAAGAAACCGACTGCAGGATGAACCATTCAAAGCTCTTGCTTTTTAAACTAATCATCATCATTATGAAATATAAGTGTGACGCTGTTCAGAATAATCCTTTGCAAACGAAATGTAACAAACGGGTGGAGCGAGACGGTCACGCGGTCATGGCATGCCAAAACTATGTCTAGATTTTATTTTTGAAATCCCCGCCTAAAACCACGTCTAAAAGTATCAAGACAAAAATTCGACATTTTCGACTATGGCGTCGACGCGGTCACTCAAAACATGGTCATGTCACGTCAAAACTATGAAGATTTATGTAATCCTCGCCCGAAACTACGTCTAAAACGGCAAAAAAATTCGACACGTTTGACCCGTGGCGCCGTGACCTTATGACCTACAATTCCCATTTTCAAACTCATCCGTACCTCAAAAATTAGAAACCTGTTGGCGAAAACCGTATGTTGAAATTCGAAACCGTTGTAATGTTACATATCGTGGATACAGACCGGCGGACAACACTTTTTTCCATAAAGGGATTTAGCTTCTCTTCACCCCTTAATACATAAATATAGATTTTTGTAATCCAGATAATAATCCGTAATCTGATTACTGTAATCCGTAATCCGTAATCCACGTCATTAATTTTTCCCAGTAATCCAACAAGTAATCCACATTATTTCAGGAACGAAGTAATCCCAATCCAGTAATCCGATGATAATTTTTAAATGAATTAATCTGTAATCCGTAATCCATTGAAATTGTTGGGATTGCCCATCCCTGTTTACAGTTTACATACACACTTTAGTGGAACTTAAATACATATGCGTACATATTTATTTATTTATTTACGTTTTGGTGCAAACCATGTACATACGCATGAATTATGTACGTTTTCATATATGTATATTTACTTACATACGTAAAATCTAATTACACATTTATGTATGTATGTATGTACACTCTTAGGCAACTGGTATTGAATTATTACGAATCATTACCGGACGGAATACATATATGACTCTACCGGCATCGGTAATATCGATCGTTACGGCATAGTAATGTGGTGGTAATGAAATCGTTACCACTCAGAATCAAACTATAACAAATTTAGTAATGAATTATTACCAAATCAATACCAGCCCGGAGTACATATGTGACTCTACCGGATGCTTTACAGTGTATATATGCAGGAATGAATCGCTATTCGCAATAAATGCGTATATGTACTTATAGCTGGAGAATGTAATATATTTTATACAGTACGAATAACAGTGCAGTGCGAATCAAAATTTACATGTATATCAAAGTGGCTATGATTTGTGCACAAATTTTGCAGCTCTGTCAATATATGTAGGTATACTCTCTTAAAACTAGTGTCACCCTTTTAAAATGCATGTAAATGCACTCTGAATTCTAGGTTACTAAAAAAATCTAGATTAAGGCTAACTTGATAAAGAGCAAAGTTTACTTTGGACTGGATTTGGTATAGTTTAATTATAATTAGTTTAAAATTTAGAGTGTATTTCCTGTTCAAGGAGGTAACACTATTTTTGTTAGTATATGTATCTAGTAGATACTATCTACAATCAGCGAATTATTTACATACATACTGCCAACAATCTATTTATAGCGCTCAACTCAACTCAAATCAGTGCGAGGGAAACGGCTTGATGGAAGCCGAAGTCGAGCACGTTCAGGGCCGTGATCCTCTCGACAAAGTTGACCGACGCCATTTTGATCTTTATTGAGGGGCAGGATTGGACTATGCGCTTACACAATTCCATTTTCCTCGGTCCGGCGTCCAATTTTTTCCACGTAACCCGGAGCCGGGTCGATTCGAAGAAGATATTTCCGACGAAAGTGTAAGAGAGGAGGACGACGAGAAAGTAGTCCACGATGACGGATATGATGAACACGAGGGATACAATGGAAGCCTGCGTGATTGATGAGCAACAAATATTGAATGTAAGTAAACATGTTGACAATTATCTTAGTATCCTGATTTAAATAATTTGCAAAAAAGTAGGAGTCCTAAAGCTTCTTAAAAATTGTAACTATGGCAATGTGACTTTTGCTTACAAGATCTGACGACCCTTACAAAATCTTGTAACCGTCGTAACTTATTTTACGACACGAAGAACATTAGAAATATGAACTTCGTCTTATTAATGAAGTAGGGCGCGATGACACCATATCAAAATCATCAAAATATGTAGGCACATTGTTAATCATTTCTCAGCTCGGGGATATTATTGTAAAATTCTGGACAACTTCGTAGCCAGGTAGGAAGGTCGGTGGGAAATTTATAAATAAATTCCGAGAGCCGAGAAATGCTTAAGAATGTGCATATTTTGACGAGTCAACGAGTCCTAGGCTAAAGTTTTTATGCAATTCTTCGTACTCTCACCTTTTCATGGAACTTGAGTAGTCCGTACATGAACAGAATTCCAAGCGTGACCACGAACGTCATCATGTAAGTGAAGTACACGGTTTGGTAACAGTTGTTGAATGTTTTCACCATTATTCGATTCTGGCGAAATTTTCCGACCATTTTCTCCATACTTTTGAATCCAGAAGTTGCCACGTTTACGGGAACGCATCCAGAATTCGTAATGTTTTTGATGAAAGTCGATATTGCGATCAGTTTTACGACGGTTCCCACCCCAAAGATGAACGTGGTTGTGGCCGCTCCTTGCACGAAAATATTGTTAGGCGAAAATTAACAACCAAAATTTGGAGAAACTTAAAATGGAAGTCTCTCAGATTTTGACGAAATCAGTGTCAATCGAATCGTCCACAAATCTATTAATAATTGGTATGAAATTTGCAAAAAATACGATTTCCCAATGTTCAGATTTGCATCCAAAGAGGAGAGACACGCTATAAGCTCGACTTAAGAAACCTACGACGCGATCTATCTTCTTCAGATTCAATCACCTGGCCAAACCTGAGCTTTGGTACATACCGTCTACTGCAAATTTCATACTAAGTAATTAAATTTGTGGTCGATTGACACCGATTTGGTACAAATCCGAGAGCATGTGGTACATGATCTCCACTGTTATGTGGTTACCGGTTAAGCCAGTCACGAATGTCGCTATCAAAATCAGCACCTCCATTACCCAAACCATTGAGGACGATTCCACAAAACCGGAAAACTTCGTTCCGGACTGGCCTGAGCAATTGAAAATTATCGATCCCGGAAATGGGGGCATGCACGGATTAATGATGAGCAGGGTGGTAATAAACACCGGGATCATGATGGTTCCCACGTACAAGGCCCAAAACCAGAGGTGGAGCACGATGCTGCGCGTGCGTGCTAAAATAAGTTTATGACAGAGTGAATGTGCAGTTTTTAATAATGCCCGAAAAATTTGTATTACATAGTAAAAATTACGCATTATAAGAAATGTTTTACACACTTGATTTACAGTAACTGTGTGGATTGAAACAATCCACATAATTTTTGATAATTTGTAAAATGTGTCACTTTTGTTAAAGAATTTTGCAAACTTTTACAAAATTCAGGGACCCCTTGGTCTGAGTAAGTTTACGAAAGTTTGTAAGCCGATTTTCTGGACAAGTTTGTAATTGTATAAAATTTACGGATTTTACAATGTTATCAAATTGCCTCACGCCAAATCGCAGAAAAAATCGGAAAGATTTATATCGTCGCAGCCGAAAATTGGTCGGCGCGCGCCTACCTCTGACTGAAAATCTTGTTTGTAAATATATTTAACAAATAGTCCCTTAAACTAAATTCTTACCCAAGTGTTTCTCTTCATATTCAGCAACAGTATTTATCAATCCCACCAGGTCAACAATTTTCTGGCTGGAGCGGAATCGAAGCCGATTATGCGCACAAGCCACGAAGACGAACGTGTACCCGAAAGCGACAATGGGCACGGATTGGTTGCCATGATGGTTTGCCCGAAAAATATGAAATTGCCCGACCAAGATGACCAAAGTGTACAGGGTGAGTAAGATCGTCGAGATGTTATAGTTTCTTTTGTGCTCGGGGAACGGATTTGCAACTAAGGAAATTCGACCCGGTTCGTTAATACGCGCAGTAACGGCAGGTATCCCATAAACGGAGGTCGTTAAGCTGAGCTGCCGAACGAATTGGGGCCAGTAAGAGTGGTACATTTTCGGAAGTTGTATATTTATCTACGTGAAAAATGGGAATCTTGAGACAAACAAGTGTTTATGAGTTTGATTTCCACAGAATGGAATTTTGTTTTATGAAACTAAAAATATGTGACACAATTTTGTTTAGTCTTGCTTAACTTTCAGAAACAATGTGCTGACTAAAGGAAATGATTGACTTGCCACACTTCAGGCTGGTAACTTACTGTGCTTAATTTTAGCTTGATTAAGACTTGATTATGCTAAAGATATGATATCGATTATATCACGTAACCTGTCCAAATTAAAATCGATACTACGACATTGAAGACGTTGAAGAATTTGAGACACTTATTTCCCTTACAAGATTGATGGACATAATATGAATGAAGTTTATTGTTAGCAATTTAATTAAATGGGTCGTCGTCGCGTGGTTAAGAAGTTTGATCTAATTTGATTTACTTTGCTTTATAGGGAACTTCGTCTTTATTTAAATTTTATTGGTGGATTTGCTTAATTAGTTTCCTGCCTCAACAAGGCAAGTAGGATAACGTGTTTGGGAAGTCGATACGAATGTGCTTGCATACATGTGTAGGCAACAGGCTTTAATTAAGTGTAATAAATAATTTGGTTAAATTGTATACCACGATCATGGTCGCCATAGAAATCCTGCCTGTCATCCAGATTTCTTACTGTAGATTTTCATTCACACTCACAATGGAGGTCTCCCAACGTATCCTCACAGATTTGGACCAAATTAGTGTCAATCGATCACAAATATAATTAGTATGAAATTTGCAAATGGAACTATCTGCCAATGCGCAGGTTTGGCGGAGATATTTACATTCAAAGCAGAAAAAATGCGCAGGAAATTTGGAAAATGAAAAATATGCCAGCCTTTTGGTGCGTTTTCTCCTCTTTTTATGCAAATATCTCCGCCAAACCTTCGCATTGGCAGATAGTTCCATTTGCAAATTTCATACTAATTATATTTGTGATCGATTGACACTAATTTGGTCCAAATCTGTGAGCATACGTTGGGAGACCTCCATTGTCAGTAAGTTTCTTTCATATTAAGAAATTCACCATAAGAAATTCACCATAAGAATTCACCAAATTATTCTTTCACCTTATGTATTAAGCATAAGATGAAAAATGAAAGGAGTGAGAAATCCTTTCATTCATTGTCACTCAACTGAAATGACGGAATCTTTCACTCATTTTCATTCCAACCACAAGAAATTCATTTTAATTAACTATTATTCTCTATCATAATCAGTCACATGAATGAAAGTGAACAGGTATGATGGCGGTTACGCTAAGACGTTGAGCAAACCTGGCAAAAAGTAACTTTTTAGATCTTGTAAAATGGGCATGCATACCCTGGACATAAAAAGTTACTGCTAGGGATACTGGTTCCTATGGGAACAATTTTTCCTATAAATTTTGGTAGACCTCTAATTGCTTTTTCCACTTTAGTCTTGTACATTCGATAGGGAAAGTTATATATTTACAATCAGGACTATTTAGTTTCCCAGAGAAGTAAGTAGTTAGGGATCCAGGCATGCACATATTAATGGAACGCGATAATTAAGCTTGTTCATTTAATCAACCCAAACTATTTTGAGGATAAAGGTCCTAACTTTATCGACATTTCTGATTGTGAAGATATGATTTATGTTATACTAGTGTTGAAGCCCGTCAATTGACGTGCAAAATAGGCCCGTCGATAAGCCCGTTACCCCAACATTAGTGAAGTCAGCCTCTCCTGTTCTCTCTGCAGAGTGAAGAGAGGAAAGGAGAGGCTAACTTCTCAAAAAAGCCACCGACCCAGCAGCGATACACTCGCCTGCTTTATATAGTTTAGATATACAGCATGGGACGAACCATTTATTGTACACCCAAATATTTTCTAAGAATGTACAAACATATGCATACAAAGTTAAAAAAATATTTCATAATTCAAACAATTCAAAATTTTCGTACATTACAAATATAATGATGAAATAACAGGGGGTAAGTTAAACAGAAGGCAACCATGGATGTGTCATTCCGCCTTGTCGCTCAGGTGACAATGTCAAAATTTGTGAGTCTCTATAACTGAGAACACCACCCACCTTAACCGAAGTTTGTCACACCGACAGTTAGTGGCGATACAAACGTGTACATTTTTTCCCAGGTGTGGATCGTTGACGCAAATTCTAATTTAGTCCAAAGCAGTGTGAGATCACTTATGCATGTATGTATCAAACTACGTACTCACATAACGCGTCAACTTCAACCTTGTCGTGTAAAGTTTTACTTTGCAACGTGTACAAAGTGAGGAAAGCAGAATATTTGTATCAACAAGCATCTCATTATTAAATGGTAGTTGATTACTAAGGATTAGTCTAATGCAAATAACTCCATTGTTAAGTATTACCAATCGTGGTTCTCTGTGTAGATATCCACTTTATCTTAGTAACACGTCACATCCTGTGTTTACACAATTCCAGTCCACTTGCACTCACTCATACAATGGTTGTCCAACATATACATATTTGCCACCTCTGATCTATGTACATACAACATGCTTAACCTCCGACATATCTTACCAAATAATGCTCGACCGTTATATGTACATATGTATCTGTGTTCATATATTTAGAGATGTAAATGTACAAAGTGGGGATACTTATATGGACGATATAAATAAGTAAGGCCCGGGGATTATGCAGGCTGCCCATTACAACTGATTAGTGATTACACTCCACAACTTATCAGCCAGAAAAATAATTGATGAGCAGGATGAACGTGCTTGAATCTTGTTGTCCTTGCAGATGTATACGATATCGTAAATATTAGGCCATGCTTATGTTTCTGACTTTCTGATATACTCGTAACCATAGATCGGAGTACTCCGGGCTTGGAGTACGTAACTCGCGACTTTTTCTGGAGGCCGGAGTACGCGGAGGCCTGAGTACGCAAAATTTCCGATCTATGCTCGTAACCCACTCTTAATTACCTTCATATATATGTAATTCATCATGGATATAAACATATTGTACCCATGTATTTTTCTAAGGTGAGGTAAAAAACTATAGTTACAGTTAAACCTTAGTATGCATTCACCCCCCCCCTTCGAAAACCTTGACCGCGCCCTACAGCCAAGGGGGTGCGTTTTAGAGCAAAAAATAAAGAGACCGAAAAATCAATTACGGACCTAATCTAGTGCTATCCTAAGGGATTTTTCGATATGACCTCCCAGAAAAAAGTTTTGATGGTGGTGAATGGTAGCATATCGCAATTTAAGTATGAAGGGGACTACCTACATAGCTGGGTATTTAAATTTATGAAAGATCGCCCCCACTTTACTATAAGCGGAAACAATAATTTTGGCGATTGGTTGAGAAACCAGTGACTTTTCCCTATAACGAAAATTTCCGAGTGGTTGCTATATAGTAACTATATAGTTACACCCTCGCTATGGAGTCTTAGCCCGTGTCCGGGCTTATGGGACCGTCATGTCCGTCCGCAAACACGTTAGACTTGCAATTTTACCATATATATGCATATTGGACAAAGTTATGAAACGAGTTCGAAGGTGGGTGAAATCGGTCAAATGCGGGTGTCATCCAAGTGGGTGGGGTGCTATGCACCAGATTTAAAAATTGTCATAGAAAGCTGAAATTTGGCATACAGATAGTTACTAATAGTTAGTGGCTCCTAATGGTAAAAAATGAATTCAGATTGGAAAAATTTTCATCCGGAGGCAGTGCCCGTGCGACCCCAAAAATTTACACGGGCAAAACATATTTGAGCGCCCCTACTTTCCCCTTCTTATTTCTAAATCTACACAAATGATTTTTTCGAGGGGTAAAAAAAGTCCATAATAATATCTTCAACTTGCCTAAAAATTAGTTATTCGATATTGTAATGAAAAATATAGAAAGAAATTAATGGGCTTAAAACGTTGGTCTTTCGCATTTAAAATTCTGATGCACTTTGGACCAATTTTATTTTTTTCGCCAAAAAAATAACACCCATAATTTTTTCTAGAATGCTCTAATTCGAACCCGATACTTCCATCTTAATTTTTATTACAGCCAAAACCTCTGATTTTTTAAATTCTGGAACTTTTAAAATTCGAAAAATTCGAAAACATATTGATTAGCAGGAATTACTAGGGTTGCCGCGGGTAACGGGTCGGGTACCCGTTACCCGCATACCCGCACGATTCTTGCGGGTACCCGTTATCTGCGGGTAGCGAGAACTACCCGCACGGGTAACGGGTAGTTCAGTTTTTATTTAATTTTCGTCAAAACTCAGTTCACAAAGAAAGTTAGCAGCTAGTTAGTCCATTTACCAACAAAAGCGTCAATTTATTATTTTTCCATTTCAAAATTTGTCATTTGTCAGCAACAAACGTTTATAGCCGGAGTCTCTTTTCGGAAGCCACAGAAGCCTATGCTAGCCTCAAATATATTTGACGTCCAGAAACTGCGGAGCAATTATTGTTTCTCAAGCATAGTTTGCCTGCTCTAAATATAGTAATAATTTGACTTGTATTTGTGTGTATTTATGTATGTAAGACTGACGAGATTTTAACATGTTCGAAGGTGAAAAACCTGAATCCGATTCAAAGCAAAAAATTTATTTGTAGATAATATTTTCGAATGAAAACTTAATTCAAATCAAAATTTGAAAAAATCAAACTAAAAACTGAACCTTTTTCAAGCCATACCAAGATTGCCCAGCGAGTATATAAAAAATTCAGGCCACAAATTAGGAATCGCGTGATACTTATCTTTCCGTTGAACGGCCCCTTCGAAGAAAAATATCGGCGGCAAAGTTTAATTTTCAAGTAAATGTTCCGTATTTTTTCCTCCATTAAACAAATACCATGGTGGACTTTGAACTCTCTATCCCATCCCAATAGTTTCCATTAAACGGGTCATTCAACGGAAAAATAAGTGTCATGTAATTCCTATTTTTTGGCTCAATTTTTTGATATATGTGCATAAATCGGTTTAGCTTGAAAAACGATTCAATGCAAGCCAAAATTGTTGGTTAGAAAAATAACGAGTGATATTTACGAGCAAATTATGGCATGCGTTACTTGCATAGCATTATCTTAAAGTACATATCAACCCAAATGAACAAATAATTGATCAAATCATATTTATTCTGAAGTTTGGTTAGTTTTAACCTAATTCTCATAACGGGTAGCGGGTAACGGGTACCCGCACGGGTACCCGTGCGGGTACGGGTAGTTGTGCTGCGGGTAGCGGGTCGGGTAACGGGTAACATTTTCGCTACCCGCGGCAACCCTAGGAATTACTTGGCTAATAAAAATTCATCGGCAATATTAAATGTAACTTAAAGTTAAGAGGTTAACCTCTTAACAACGAAGTACACACATTTGTGTAGTTACTTTATTTTCCGTTCCCGGCGAAGTACACACATTTATGTAGTATTTTATTTTTGCCTTGACGACGAAATACACAAATGTGTGTACTGCAGAAATTTCCTTGACACCAAAATTTCTTTAAAAAAGAATATTTCTTCGGTATTTTGTGGAAAACTCGATGGTGAAAAGTGGAATTGTTTCGAAATTTTTTCTCCTAAAATTTTGGAATTTTCCCTATACCGAAAAATGTTAAAAAGTGGATTTTTCGTGTTTTTCTTCGAAAACTCGAGTATTGCAAACTTGTAGGAAATTTTAATTGGTTGCTTTCAGGTATAATTATGAAATCAAAATTGTACCGAAGGGAAATTTTATTTAAAAATTAGTAGTCCGAAAGAGGTTAACCTCTTTCGGGCGAAGTAAAATTATTTGGGTGGCGGAGGGAGCTTGTTTAGTACTTTTAAGTGTACTTCCTCACCTTAGAACTTTTACTTTTTCAAGCTATATTTTATATGCATGCAGGACGAGTCTAAATGCAGGTCTGACTGAAGTACAATTTCGACACCTTTCACATTGCGGTTATAAATGCACACACTAATTTTAGTCCTTGTTCCTTTCCCATTGTAAATACATATGTATGCACCACAAATTTAACCCGATAGAAAATTTACACCATCGCCAGATCAACTTAACCCACTCCAGAGGTTACATGAAACATCAAAAAATAGCCAACACCAAAAATAAGTTGCTTCTCTTCTAATTATCGAAAGAAATTAAATCATTTGCATTTAACTATTTACTAGTTTCGAATAATCTTGATATAAAACCTACGGACTATAGGTTATATACGGTTTTCTTCCCTACCACCCCTCTTAAGAAATGGATGAGTACGAACCACAAAATTTGCCAATTGAAGTAATCAGTTTTTAAGTTTTTATTATAACTGCCTTTGACTTTCAGAAAAATCGAAATTGCTTTATACGTGGGAGGTATTATCCTTATCGTGGCAGTCTTGATCTGGATAAGGGAAATTATCAGACAGTGTGTTAAGAAGTCCTTAAACTGTCTTTGTGCCTGTCTCTTTCCTGGTTGCTGTGGTGACGATGACGATGATGACAAAGTCTAACCACGGGGAGAGAACAACTTCTAACCAGGATATCGTTGAAAATGAAAATTGTAATATAAGTAAAAATAAAAATTTGATATTCTTCGTATTTATTTGGTCGTACGTAGTATAATCATAAAATTGTGCTTGATTCATGAAAAAATTATAATGACCCAAATATTGGCATTGTGGATAAAAACGAAACCGTTCATTGGTCGAAATAATATGGTATTCTCATAATACACATGGCAGACGTGTTTCTCACATTAAAAATAGCCCCAAAAATTAAGGAATAAATGTAGATCATTGCTTTAAGATCTCAGATCACACAAGAACGGACTGATTTATTTTCTTAAAATCTCACTCACATTTATGCAAATCAGTTCATATGGATAGTAAAATATATTTTGAAATGGATCATGAATATTATTATAAATACATAGATCGACCTTGTTCCAAAATTACAAAAATAAACCTAAAGCCCACATTAGTTTTTTTTGTAATGCACGTTTATTTTATCATATTTTCAAGTTCAATAATTGATTCATGCGAATGTACATGCAATTCAACGGACAATTCAAATATTTTGGCAGACAGAGACCGCAATAGAGCTGCAAGTCCGAGTTCCGCAATCCGCCGAAGTACAACCCTGTGCAGCACAACTGGCAGACATGTAAGGAGTTCGACAACGTGGAGCCCAATACGGCTGTCCTGAGGTGAAGCGGCAAATTGGCCGGGCCACAGTGGAGTTCCCTTCCGTATAGGAGCTAAATCCACATGTTTGTGTGGTTGTGCCTGGAGAGTCACAAGTGTGTTTACAACATCTGGTGACGGATGGGCATTTTGGGGTGGGAGGAGCTATAGTCGTAGTTGTAGGGGCTGGAACGGGGTCAGTATTGCTAAGGAAAATAAGCAAGTGTTTAAATCACAAAAAATTCTAGATTTGCATGCACTTACGCTGGGCAATCGCTATAAGTGGCGCCATTTTTAAAAGAATTTCCGCAAGGAAGGTCTCCACAATCGGCCGGAGTGCAACCAAGGGCAGCACAGGCGGGAGAAATTACCGGAGTTTTACAAGGTTTGGCTGGAACATTTTCATACAATACTTCGCTGCAGTAAGGCTTTACGTTGTCCGGGGCTCTGAAATAGCTCCCATTCCCATAACTGTAAAATCCGCACCTCTTTACGGGAGATTCGCAAGTGTAATTGCAACAACTGCCATAAGCAGGAGCAGGACATCTGGATTTTATCGTTGTTGTCGGAGGCAAGGTTGTTGTGGGTGGAAGTGTCGTTGTTGTCATGGGTGCTGATGGTGCAATATTACTGCGCCAAGTTGGACAACATATGTAAGTTACGATGCTTTAATTTTTTGAGAATTTCAAACTCACTCTCCGCATACACATCCGCAGTTGCACTCGGTAGGTGCTACACATTCTGTGGCAACATTCTGATGCAAGTTGTGAGTGTAAATCAGTGAGCTGGCGCAATTAAGATAGTAGAAACATTTCCGACCGCACTCATTGTCTTGTGTCGCTGGGGAAGTGACCGTTCCAGGCTTGTTTTTACTAAATTTATAAAAATGTGTAAAAATCTTTTAAATTTATGTGTTGCACTCAATGAAGAACTTATTGAACTTACTCGCAAACGCAGTCACAAGGGCCCGAGGTGGGTTTTTGAGCTGGGCAGTATTTTGGAATGGATTGGGGATCGTTGTTGGCGTTCATGTACATATTTTTGCAGTACAAATAATTTGCACAGCTAGGTGTCTGGGCACCACAAGACCCCATAAATGCCATGAAGGCAAAAATGACGTGCAACACCAACATTATCGTGGTTTAAATTTTTGCGCATGGTATATATCAGTAAGGTAGTAATTCCTTTAGTTGAGAGGTTGGGAAGAGAACTGTGGGGATGAACCTTTAAGTTCGACTTTATATGGGGTGATTTTTTTCTTGCAGTATGAAGTTCCAAAGACGACAGATTTTTTTTTCATTGTTTGTTCTTCACAACACTGGCTTTGTTGCCAGTTAGCTTGTATATATAAATCGAAAAATTATGGGGCAGATAGATATATCCATTGTTCCGAGCGCAAGTGTACATATACATACATACCTATGTAGCACTAGTACTTAAAAACCTCAACGGAAACTGATTGAATACAACAAAAGATGCAAAGCCAAATAAGTAGCATATGAATGAGATCGGTACTGAATTAATATGAACACACAGGTGCCCATATCCCTATGTACATTTATTAAAACTTAAAATTCAACAGTTCAAGGTTAATATCCATTTCGAAATACCAAACAATATAAATCTAAATTATAAAAAAACACATGTTACAAAATTTTGTTACACAAAACTTTGACAGGATGTCTATTGTTATGCTCGTATGAATTTGTTAGAATTTACGAACTTAATTTGGGGTAAATTTGCATCTTAAGAATAATAAAAATTTAGCAATTTTGTAGATTTTAATTCTAGTAAAATCGTTTTTTTTGTATTACAGATCAATTTTTTGAATTTAATTTAATGGTCACATTTTAATTTTATTCCAAAAATAGCAGTAGCGCGTGTCACAAAAGAAGCAACTTTCTCATACGAAATATAAAATATTTTTGTTCAAATGCATAAGATACAAGATATGGACATACTTTCGTAAGAATTAAGTAGTCAAGTTAAAATATACAAACTTACATTACATTAAACTGTTATAATAATAAAGTAATGAATAAGATAATGATTTATGATAAAATTGCGAAATGCATCAAAATAAGAGCACTTATCTGTGACGCAGTTATCTGTAATCTATCCATGAATGAAGTGATTTTTTATGAAAAAAAGGGAATGAAACTACAATTGAGTGAGTAAGTAGTATTGTGCCGGGGCATCTGGTGCGATCATCAATGTAAATGTAGTGAAATGTCATTGGGGAAATTTTATTCAAATCAGTGGATGATATGATTTAATTTAGCAGCTTTTATTCCCGACAAACGTGCACACAATCCACAGATGAACACCCCATAAAAATTAGCAAGTTAAATTTTTCATAGTCACGAAATCTACGCCGCGTAAAACCTTCCCTCTTTCGAATATGCCCACACGTGCGTGGCTAGATTAAACTAGAAATAAGATTTACATAATGAAAACTTTTCATTGTGTATACCTTTTTATGCGCACTTTTCCGTTGAAATCAAGGTGAACAATTAATCTACGTATGAATGACTTGCGCCAACTGAAGGCAAATTAGGGAATTCAGAATTTTGTGAAGTAAATTAATTCGTGGAGCTATTCATGTTGGGAAGAATAGAATGTTTACGATTGAGAACATGGCCGTTCTGTGGCTCGAAATCATTCCGAGCTACATACACAGTCCAAGGATGAGATTCGGACGAAAAAACTTGAGATTAAGTTTTGTTGTGTGTGGCAAATATGTACCTATTACAGGGTAATTTTATTGTTGAGAAATATTGTTGGCCAGAATATGCATATGCTTTGACAAAATCATTGCATATTTTAATGCTAACAAAGCACATGTCAGACATGTTTCTCAGAGATTTTTTTCAAAACCAGGACTAAAACTTTGAGAAACTAGACGCGGACAAGAATAACTGTGTGGCACTTCTATCGAATTCATGGATTTAAGCAGGTTTTAAATTGACAAAAAATACGCATATTTTTCATCAACGGAAATCGGGGAGGTGAACGCCGTATGGAGTTTCTCAAATTTGATTAAGTATAATCATTTATTTATGCATACGACCATATGAATATTCCGCATGTAAGATTTCAACAGTATTGAAGTCAATATTCTCTGAAAATCTAATATTTATTTGGAGATTTTCTTGACCTTAAGTAAAACAAAATGTCATAAATTATGCCAAAAATTGCTCTTGTATGCAAATATTAAATCAGGAAAGTATTATCCATATTCGTACATACTACGTATGCTTATCTAGAATTGATTTCTGCACTCTTAGAAATCTTGTGTAGTCCGGCAGGTTTTTATTTCTTGATATTCAAGCTGCTATCGCTTGGTACTAAAACTATCCCGGTCCAGTAAAATTAGCTACCGATACGGTGAAGCTTTAATGTCGCGCTAATATTACACTAAACATATTAATCTTGATTAAAACTTGAGTCATGCATGTAGGAACATACCTGTTCATAAATTAAATTCTCATTCAAAAGTGAATGAAAGTGAACCGGTATACTATTTTAATACTAGATTTCTACCGGTGTAGTTATTGAATTATTCACAAATGCCTGAATTGGATCGAAAAAGAAATATGCAAATACATAAAGGGCATCCCAAAAGTAAGGTGCAGCTCGGTCAACCATTGATTTTAAGGGTACAGGCGGGAAAAAATTGATCAGAGATAAGTCATATTTTAGGTAATGTCATGTAGATTAAGACAACTGATTTCAGATTTCATCAAAAAATCTTGTCTATGCATTACACGAGCCGGAATCCAAAAATTCGGAAGTGTCGATTTTCACTCGCACGAAAATTCATATCGGCGTGATTAGAAAAAGACGATTGATTACTTCGCCAGGCAAGAAAAACGTAGATTCGTTGTCGACCTAATAATTACAAGATGTGAGCTTGCCGGTGACATGAACTGCAAAAAAATATCAGGTCAGACGGTTATCCAGTCGACGAAAAGAAATGTCGAGAAAATTAGGATGTTCTCAAAGAAGTGTCCCGCAATTCCACGATTGCCGTATCCACAACACAAAAGATATCGAACTCAACGATATGTCGAATTAAACTTCACGTCTTAGGCATGAAAGGGTGTGTAAAGCAATCGGCAAAGAAAAATGTATGGACCCAGCACCATCAAGCTAAAACAGCATGCAGAAAAATTTTCAAAAATGGGTTGAGCAAACTCGTGGTTATTCATGATAAAATCTAAGTGACCACTGACCCTGATCATGTTCCCGATCGTACATATTTTCAAACAACTACTCCAGTAGATGCAAAATGCGAAGATAGACTAAAGCCAAAGACAATGTTTCAAAAGAAAACCTTGGTTATTCATGCCCCCGAACACATTGGATGAGATACACAAAAACCAAACAACGCTAATAATGTACCTCAAACACGTGGTATCGAGAACTTCTGGGCCAATTGTCGAAGACAATGTTCTAAACGAGAGAAAAAGTTTGCAATCGTTCGTAGATTTCGAAGGTTTGGAGCAGAATCGCAAAGGACATTTAAGGAAAAACCGTGAAAACGACCCTTCGGCGGAGCTCGGAAGAACATAATATCTCTAAGTTACAATGGGATAGGAAATTGGTTTAACGATAAAACTAACACATACAGGTCCTAAGCTCTTGTGTAAATTTAGTTTCTTCGAACAAAATTGAATTACAACAAAATGAGGGCCGTTTTTCCATCTGCACTTTACATATGGGATGCCCTTTATGTAAGTAATTTGAAGTTGGGGAAACAGTGGTCTATCCGTCCCGTTTGACAACTATTTATATCACGGGGTGTGGCATTCTTATAGTCAAAGTCAGTACTTCTTTGCAGGCTCGCATTTGTAAAATGTGGTCTTCCTTAAGTTGAATAATATTTTGCATTGCAACAAAATATTTAATGGGAAATTTATTTATATTGAAAATCAGAAATTGTCTAAATCGTTCTGCATTATATTTAGAAATCTTACAAATCAAGAGGGGGTTATGTGGCTATTTGTCACTAAATTTTCGAAAAAGGCAGTAACGAAGAACTTGTAACAAACTGCCCCGTTTTGCTATTTTGGATACCTTGAATGTACAAAAGCTGTTCAAAGTATTTTTAAATTGTAATTTTGCACAAATCATGCTGATTACGATTTTTTAGTATAAACCGATTTTCCTTCAAAATGCATCCCAGCATAATACTAGCGTTGAAAAGTTATCATCTCCTTCTTCAAAAATACCACGTGACTACTCCCCTAATGTGGGACCCTGCCAATGAAAAGTTCACCAGTGGCTCCACCTCAACCAAAGGCTGGATTTATGTTATTGCAATGACCGGAATTTTTCTAACGAGCCCATATTTCCTTATTGTGCGGCAATTCTACCTCGAAGACGACGCCGTTACCGGGATTCACATTATGGCCGTCGGAATAACTTGTGTACTTGGGACTACCTCTGTCGTTTCGGGGATTTGGATCAGTTTGTATCGAAGTTTAATAAAAACGTCGCTGAACAGGTTGCTGTATCCGGATCAATTATTTACTACGGACGGTATGCTGGAAAAAATCAAGTTTTTGTCTTGAAAAATACCCAATGCAAAAAAATGCTAGTATTTGTACGGAAAATTTCCTGCACGATTGGAATAAAGATGTAAGAAACAAGCGCCATGTAGTGGAGAATCGCCATACTTAAGTATGGGTCAAATGGTGAGCCGCAAGGTGGCATATCGTCGCACTAATTCCAAGAACACATAAGTGCACTCGATCCGTAATTTTCAAAAGACGTAAATGCCACTTACGTCTTTTTAAAATCATCGCACGCATCGAGTTCACTTGCTAAAGATAATTGCACTCGAAGCTTAATTTTAAAAAGACGTAAGTGCAGTCGAAGCTAAATTTTAAAAAGACGTAAGTGCAATTTCAAAATTATAGAGTTATTACTTCTTCAAAATTGTCCTGTGAAGGGAAATTTGAATGTGGGAAAGTTTACAGATGAAGAACTAGAGACGTACAGATACATATGTGCATTGCGTCAATCAGCCTTACTTATTTTTTTCTTAATTATAAAATTTCCTTAGTTATGGAATTGATGATAGCGTTACCAAAAAGTGGAGCCGATCGCGTGATTGGACGATTCCTGACGATAATCACGCTCTTGCTATGGTCATTTCCACCGGGAATGATCCTTGGGCTGTTTTTCGTACCGCTGGATTCAATTACACACTTGTATCGGATATATTTCAAATCGAAGACGGAATGGATCGCGACAGGATATCTGATTTACAACGTACTTCGATTGATGACGCTCCCACTGATCCACGAGGCGTGTCGAATTTACACGATTTGCGTCATTGTGCCGGTGCTACTCATTACGAGGTGGGTGCTTATCTAAGTAAAACAATGCTAGAAAATCAAAGAATATTAATTCACAATTCATAACATAATTATTTCATAATGATGAAACGCTCGAAGTAAACATGTAGTATGTAGAACATTTGATCAAACCGGTTAAAAATACGTTTACGATTTAACCGAGTACTGTTTTTTGATTGTGTAACACTGGTTTTCGACTGCTAATTACAGAAGCTTTTTCGGAACAAATACTTAAGACATACTTATTGATTTTTTTTCATTAGGATAAGAATTAATTGCTTTGATGAACTATTTCATTCTCGAGTTTCTATCTAATTTAAAGCTTAGCTGACTTGCTGACTTATCCTTGTATTTTGCTGAATTCGGTTATGCACAGAATCAATACTTGGTTTTTAACAAAATTTGAAAAATTATAATAATTGAAACTCGGTTATTCAAAATCTTACTATTTTAGGGGCTCTAAATGAATTTAGGTATAGACAATATCGTTTACTATCTATATACTTTTACAGGGTGAACCAGTCCCTTGATAACCTGTCCAAGATAACTCTAAACTACGCAATGCATCCCTGTTTCTCCAAGAAGATGCCGAGACATCGAGTCCACGACATGATTCATAACTACAATCGACTATCGATCCTCATGATATCGTCGAACCTGTTCATGGCACCGGGCGCAGTGATCATGCTGTCGATCTTGTTTTTGGGTCATGTTTTTTTCAACTTTGCAACGATAAAATTTTACCCATTTTTGCCTATAATTTTTTTCTTTTTAAACATCGGAATTTCAACATTGCTGATTTTTGTGTCGTACATGGTTTTCCATTTGATCTCTCCGCAAAACGCGATGGCCGCCGAGTTGATTAAAGAATGGTGGAGACCCGTGGTTAATGTCGATATGAAATATTACACAAAAATTGTGAGGTCGTTGCAGCCGATAAAAATATATTGCGGACTGGGTCAAGTAAAATTCTTTTATTTTACAAAGTCGACCAGAACCACGTTTTTTAATACGGTGATTTCCTACACGATGAATGCTTTGTTATCCGTGCCATCAAAATATGTTAAGTTCACTTATCATGGGTAAGGGTTGAGTCGGTCTCTTATTGGTACGTGTGTACAATAGTATGGTTAATAATGAACGGTACGATTTTCTCGGTGTACAGCATGGCATGGCATTTGATGTAGTTTCGAATAATTGTTATTTTAACAAGAAAAACATTTCATGAACTACAACTTTTATAGATACACGAAACAATAAATGTTCCACACAAATTTTTTTTAATCTAATCTAAAATTTGTATTCGGTATCTTTGTATTCTTGCCTGATGACGGTGACCGTGGTTCATTGAAAGCTAGCAATTGTCACGAATAAAATCAAGTAATAATCCCAGAAAACCGCAGAAATGAGTTATCTTAATCTAATCTAATTAAGATGCAGTATAGCTAAACCTTAGAATCTCTAAGGTTAAGCCCAAGTGAAACATGAAGTGTTAATTTATGTATTAGATTCAAATATAATTTATAATATGGATATAATAAAGAGATAATAGCAATGGTGCGAAATTGCGAAATCAAGATGAGATCATTTGTCAGCCAGGCTTTAAGCATAACAACATGCAAATGAAATGATTTTATGAATGAAATATTTTTATGAATGAAATCGAGCTAGTACGTAACCTCGGGGAATCTGGTACAATCTCTCATGCCATGTGAAAATTCTAGTGGGGAATTTTAATTCTAATTAGCGGATGGCATGACTGATTTAATTGACTTCACATTAATTCAAGATCCCATCCACAAATTTGTCCAAAAAATTGCATACGAATTTCATTTTAAATACAGGCAACGATGTTGTAACTTCATTCACGAAATCTACGCAGAATTAAATCCTTCTTGGTACGAAGCCACCTACATGTGCAAAACCCGTTCAATCCTGAATTAAAATTTGCACATGTATGTATGTATTTAAGCGCAGGTGCAGATTAAAATGCCAGTGATGAAAAATTATGAATGGTTTTTGCACACGAATCTAAGTAGGTTCACGTAAGTAACTTCGCGTGCAAATTAATTCGATTAGCCAATTTGAGAAGAATGGAGGGCCTACTATAAAAACATGGCGGACTCGAGGTTTCAGTTCACTTCAAGATTGCCCAGTTTCCACTTCGAAAAAAATAAACTTTTATCCAACTTTCCCTAAAATTTTCCAAATGATTAATCTTTCGTCATCGATTTTACTCGTGGCATGTCTCGCAATCGGTGCGACAAATGTAAGTCTCGAACTCAAAAAGAATTCACTAGTTATGGATTAATTTAATCTAATTACATAAAACTTATTAATGTTTAAATAATAATTTTCTTGTCCTTTGAAGGCATGGTTCTGCAGAGGAACGACGCTGTATTGCTACCCATTGGAAATTATGGCGAGGACGTGTCCGTCTGTTAACCCGTGTGGTAAAACAAATTTACCAAAAACCTTGAAAAAAATTTCGACGCACTGCCAAATTAACAAAAATTTGCACTCACCCCGACATTGATGATAATTTTCACCAAACTAAAAACCAAATTAATGAAAACTTTTACACTAAAATTCCAGCCCCGGCACCCACCACGGTTCGTGCCACGGCACCACCCCCGACTACTACCCGGTCAACCACCGCACCACCCGCCACCACCACCACGGTAGCAACCACTCTCGCAACCACAATGGCGACCATGAACGGGACCTGCCCTCTCCTGGAATGCTGCCACTTTAACTGCTGGATTGGCGCGGTTTGTACAAAGTCGACGTCACCAACGGCCGCTCCCACGTGCAGCGATGGCGGCGTGCCCACCATGTGTGCCAACTATGTCAACCCCTTTTCCACGTACTGTCTCTCGCTCGGCTGTGCACCCATGAGCTGTCAGCAGACGACGTGCAACGCCGGGAATGGGAATCGACTCTGCACACCGTACTCATAAATAGTTTGGTGCGCATGTGCAGTCGGTCTTCTTGCGATTCATTAGTTTTTCTTCTTATTTATCCACATGAGAAGGATTATTATGGCCTACCTTCTTCGTGTAAATGGTTTGAACTAAACTTGTCTGAGTGTTTATTTCTGAATAAAAATTTGTCTATTTCATCTGCAATTTTTGGATGTGGGATTGAAATATTTACGAAACGCGGACCAATACCACATATCTGTTAATTTAAACTATAGAGTGATCTTGTGCATTTTAATATGTAATTTTAATGATGGTATTCAAGAATGCACACTACTAGCGTAGAGCCCCGTCAAAATACTGGTCCCATCGAGCGTGTGTATCAAGCCTGTCGAACTTCAGTTCTGGTGTTTATTATTCACTGCCAGAGAGAGAGAGCACGAGGTTTCGCGGCAGAATCATCATAGTAAATGGGTCAATGATATACAGGAGCACAATTACTCAAGCTTACTCTAAATCAAACGTTGTCGGGAAGCTTGCATAGCTTCACGCAGACGGGATGATACACTTTATACAAATGATGACCCGTGTTATATCTTATCTCTTCTTACCCATAATGGTTACCACATCACGCCATAAAAGTACTTTTATGCCCATAATTCTGTACGGTATATAATAACTTATCAGGCCTATTTTAACAATGAGGGATAGGATTACTCACCTTTTACCAACTACAGGATTAAATTGTTTTATTCGCCCGAGCTATGATTATTTTAATAGTCATTGATATGTATGTTCCTCCTAGGTCTCCCTTATCACGATTTGCTAGTGTACAAACTTCAATCAGCCTCGCATAATAATATATACGGGATTATTAAATTCACTATTACCTATTTGCGTCACACTTTGATTAAAATTAACCCAGATCTAAATAAATATCTGGATTGTACACACTAAGAAAAAATGTACAAATTTTGCCCAACCTTGAGTAATATTTTGATCAACCCTGAGGAAAAAAGTGATGGAAACAAGTCTTGGTTAAATTTTCCTCAAGCCACTTGAGTGATTCATTTTGACCAATGTTGAGTAAAATTTGATCAACTATAATGAGCGTTCTCTACTATTGAATTGGGCAAATTTTAATCAACTTGCTGACAAAAGTTTACTCAAATGCTTGAATGAATTATGCTCAACTCACTTGCAAATTATTTATGCAATTAATTGGATGAATTTTAGCATAATATTGAATTAAACTTCAACAACGTCTGATTAATTATTTTTTTAGTGTTTTTATTCCGAATTAAATATTCAATCTTATACAAAAACGAATACTGATAAATTTAAATACATGAACACAATTTAAATTGTAACTAATTATTACACATACATGCAAAATTAATTAAACAATAATATGAGATCCTAAAGCTAATACTGATGCAGGTGGAGATACAATTTCGTTTATCTGGTAGACCGTGTGATCAAAGAAAGACCAGACCGGGTAACATTCATCGGGGAACTTAAGTTTTAAAACATGGAACAACTTAAAACATAAATCTACGGCAGAAATTATCGTCGGCGACTTAATTAATTTTCGCTCAAGCATAACGTAAACATCCTTAATTATAAGGTTTGCCAAATCTCCAACACAAACAACAAACGGTTGACGTCGTTCCGATTCATTGGGTTTGAACGACTCCAAATCAAAAGTTTTCTGAATTGAGTCAAACAAACGCGTATTTAAGAAAATGATACAAATTTTGCTTCATGTTATACATATTAAACAATATTGCACTTACAGATACAAATTGAATAAAAAAGTCAGCAGCCGCCGCAGCTGATATTTTGACTTTCTTTGCTCCTCTCTTCTTATAAGCTGATGTCGAGGTCAGATACGGCAACTTCACAAATGCAGCAATTGTAATCTCATCTAAATAATTAATTGATTAACTATATAAATATATATTATTGCAAATATTAATTATCTAACAGCTCTGACACTTACCCAATGATAATGTTGAAAACATTTTTTTAATTCCTGACTCAGCTATTGCTTTGGTTTGAGACCTCTCGGCGAATTCGCAAATTTGTTTGGCGATGCTAGGCCACTTCCTTAGCATAATTTCCGATTTCCCGGGATTCAATCTTTCAAAGTCCTGGTCAATCTAAGGAATTTTAAAGGAGCAATATCAATGCTAACTTTCAAAGCTAACCATTTATTATTTTATTTCTATTATCCATATTATACTTACCACACCAGATGTCTCAAGAAGATGTGGCCACTCTTGTAAAGTGTTACTCAAATTGGTTGTATTTTTTAATTCTAGACTTCGCAAATTAAAGGTGTCCTTCATGTATTGCAGCACCTGAGATGCAGGTGATTTTGAGTTAGACAGCCAGGATTTCATTTCGTATTCCTCAACAGTAGGATCTGTCAAATATTTGGATTATTATTTATAACAAAAAGGTATACAACAATTTTAGTTTGATGTTAAATTTACCATTAGTAATAGAGTCGAGGACTCTTGGCTTCTTCCGAATTGAAATACTGTTTTTATTTCGCAAGTATTTTAATCGGTCCTCGATCAATCCTGTCGCTGGAATATTTTTGTAAATGATTCGCCCTTTCTGGTCCATTTCCTCTGTGTCAATTGACTTGGCGTCACTGTAGAATAAGCTCTGCAAAAAATATATTTTATTATTCATACAAATTATGTTATAGATAAATATAATTTGGTTTTACTTTAATATCAATCTGCTGCTGTTCGGCGAGGTGCCCAAACAATTGTGAGGAGATGCACTCAGCTAGATTTTTCTTAACATGGCGAGGTGGACTATAAATAAAATAAATTACTATACCTACTAACTAAAGAATCAATTTTAACATAAATGTATGTAGACACTTACTAGTTGGAATAGTTTCTGATGAGATAATTCACTGTGCGCCTCTTAATTAAACTTTTGACTTGGAACGACGCCATCCCTTGGCTAATAATTAGTTGCAACATTTCCTGTCCTTTGGCCGTACCTTTTTCACGATCTGATTGGACTATAATTTCTTTAACATTCTGAAAATTCACGAAATTAATTAACTAATTAAAATTATGTGACCATCCAAATTGTTACTTCGTTACTCACAAATAACTGATCTGACAGTGACAAACATTTATCGCCCTCAGAAATGTTTACGGAGCAAATAGATTCTTGCTCAAAATTGTTATTGGATTGTGAGCATGTTTCTTCATTATTAATCTAAAAATAGAAACAACCAATATCACCATACTATATTACAAAATTACAATATATGAAACATATAAGATGCCTTTCTTACCAGCAATAATTTGTACATATTTTCCTCGTCTCTCGATGCCAGCTGCTGTTCACTGGATTTCTATTATTGTACAAAAAAAGCTAAACCACAAAATTAATTTAATCCTAAAATTAAATTAAAATTAATTTATGCTAAAATTAATCTAAACTAATTCTATCGGGCAACATATTACGTCATACTCCGAGCTCGTATTTGCCACAATCAACGGGTGCTCCAAATCTAATAATTCAGGTTTAATTATTATTGCCGTTTTTTTACCAGTTACTTTAAAGAGATAAGAATTGTGAAGCAATTCCACGCAAGTAATTGGAGAAACACAAATATAAACTTGATCATCGTGCACAAAACAAAGTTCAACTTGGCAGAATTGAAGCTGATTCTCATTACTCCCTAGAATGAAATATTTATGACGAGAAATTATTGTACCTTTCGCACTTACAAACTCGATTGATAAAATTATTTCCTCGCTACCTATATTTAGTAATGAAAAGTCAAAATTTCCTTTTAATTCATCCAACCTTATTCTAACTCCTCCACCAAACTTAATTTGCATAATTCCGTCACCTTTCGAAGAATTAATGGAAAATGCCATATTCAAAGATAACCGTTTTGCCACAGATTTTGCTATATTTTTGAAGTTGTAAGAATTTTTCCCCACAATTTTGCTGAAGCGATGCTTTGCTTCCAATCTCATGCACCAAAAATTTTTTAACGGACCCAGCTGCTCAATTGCGTGAGGGTAGTGTAAAATGTGGTGAAATTTTGGAGTTAGATTATTACAAGTCAAATTAATATAGAGCTGGTGGTGATCAGAAATTAAATATCGCAAAAGTGATACACCTTCACGGGAAATTAACGGTGCCATAATAATTCGTATAATTCTTCTTAATTTCAAAATTAAATTTAGCATTTTGTCATCGTCAAAATAAGCCAAAAAAATTGCCGGAAATACAAGAAAAAAGTTGTTCATTTCTGATGCAGAGAAACAAGATTTCTTTTCATCACAAATAAATTGTTGACTTATTTCAGGAAATTTGTTTACTTTATGACTATTCTTTTTGAAACAGGTAGAAATCTGATGATTAATTTGTTGCAGAGTAATTTTCTTGGTCTTTATCAGATAGTCCAATGCTAATTTTAACTCAATTATGCATATTCCTTCAAAAAAATCATGCATAATATCTGGGGCATAATTTTCAGTGACATGAAAATAGGAAATTTCATTTAAAATTGACCCCTCTCGTATCCCGGTTAAAGAAATGTCGCCAAGCACCAAATCCGAGCTATAATTAGCAATATTCCGACGTAGTGATATCTCTTCCTCCACAGCGGTTTGGGTAAAATGCTTGTTACCTTTACAAAATCTACACCTGTAATTAGCATTAAACCCTTCCGTGTATCCCAGTAGGGAATGTAGGCCTAAATTGTCGCCACAAACTTGGAGCAAAACTACGTGTGTGAATGGCAACTCTAACAAAATATCTTGTGGATTAATTACAGACAATTTTTTAAATTCATCGACCATTGGTTTCAATATGTTGTTGATACCATATTCCTTCAATAATTTTGACTTTACAATTAAAAGAGGAAAAATGGTTGACAACTGAGATTTGAAGTGAGGTGGAAAGTTTGCAATTATAAAATAAAACATTGCCAACTTATGTATTTTAGCCTTGGCACCAAGTGGATTGCAAATTTCTATATCGTCGTAGTAAATTTGCAAGCAAAGGGGATTTCCGTCCAATTTTCTAAAGTATTTTCCAGATTTAAAATTTAAGAAAAGATTGAAATTATTACTGTCGTCTAACACAAAATTACATACAAGTTTATAATGAGACAATATTATTGGCAAGCTTTTCCGCAAATCAAAATAATACATGAAATCAAACTTTTCTATTACCGACCCAGCTGCCACATCGAATTTAAAATGTGACCCAAGTTTAATTTCGGTTGCCTCACTATAAATTTTTTGATCTTTCAAACTCTTCTCAATTAAATATTGAGAGCAGTTTGAGTTATGAAAAGGATCTTTTAGTGTACTCAGCTTAATTAGCAAATCATCTTTCTCAGTGGTATTATTACCAAAATTTTTAGCAATATCGACAATGCTATTTACTAGAGAATTTGCAGATGATAAAATTTCAGCTGACTTTACTAATGAAATTGAACCCGACATTTGTAGTGTTTTGACAAAAGCTAATTTATAGTCTGTAGTAATATCTGCCAACAAATTAGGTCCAATTTCCTCTTCAGTAATTTGAGAAATATCCTGACGTATAGCTAGATTTGAATTTACTGATCTACTTCTATTCTTTGGACAAAAGAGTTTTACATGATTTTTAAGTGTCTCGGTGCTAGTAAAAATTGTAGAACACAAAGGACAATTAATTCTAGCCGTTCCTTTACTAATTTCGTGAAAACTTATTAAATGATTCCAATATGTATTGAATTCTTGGAAATTTGATTTGCAAATGCTACAATTAAACAGTCGTTTATTTTGAAGGGTACTTACGGCGGCGACTTCCCTGATTGCATTAATAATTTTTAGCCTCCGTCCAATTGATGGAACGATATCAGCTAAAATACGCTCTTCAAGCGATCCGACTTGGCAATCTGGCAGTTTGCGAAGCACATTTTCGTCCACGTCTTGATCTGCAAGATTGAAAAAAAATATTATTAAATTAATTAATACTGATTTACAATTAAGTTTTACCTTTGAATGTTGCGATGAGTTCCACCAGCCCTGCAATCTCGAGAACTTTTTCAACAAAATCACCCATTTTGGCGTAAATTTAATTTTGCAACTCAAAATGGCAAAATTAATTCTTTTTGACTGGTTCTGTTGGTCTCGTGCTTCCAACTGACAAAGACCGCCGCACGGGCTGAACCACCACAACATTTGACTGAATTTTGCTCAATGTGTGGTATGATTTTGCTCTCTTAATGAGTAAATTCTCCCCAGATTGAATGAGCGTTAAACAGCCAACTGAGTTGGTCAATACTTCCCCAATGTTGTACAACAATTACTCAGGAATTTATGCAAAGTTTTTACAACATTGAGTAAAATCATGATAACTAAACTTTTGAATAAAATTTGTCCAAGACTGTGTAAAATAAATTTTGTACAAGCTAATTGACTATTTTTTATACTTCATTATAGTAATATATCATCAAGGTTGAGCAAATTTTCCACAATTTCGTTTTCCTCAAGTGGTTGTATACATCATTATTTAGCGTGTATGTATTATGAGCTTTTCATAATTATTGCCGCAGCGCATGTGCCAAAACGGTGAAGTCTTGCACACGCCACGTTAGGTGCAATTGTTAGCATTAACATAGTACCTTGTCAGGAGTACCTTGTCAGGATTAGAATGACAATATGCTTAAGGCTTATTGTGTAGGATTAGTGCGAATTATGTATAGCTGCGGAAATTGCCACTGGGTATGTTATAGGCATAGCTTGAAATTAAGTGGATTAGTTTTGTGTAGATTTCAACCGAAATTAAAGTGGATTATTTAAGTTTTACCCCAAATTATTGAGGTGGATTAGCATGATTTTCCGCACGTCATTGGTTTCCCCGTATATAAAAAGGAATCTGGTCAGAGCAAATATTCAATTTACAAGCAGAAGTTGTAACGACTACTTCAATTAGCTGTTCAGTTGACGGAATTGTCTTAATCGAACGGAAAGATACTTGGTTGAGTTTCTAGAAAAGTTTCGCAGGTTTTTTTGTCCGGAAAGGGATATAAACTTTCTTTGCAAATAATGATGACAAAATTAATTGTATTAGTTGTCTGGGCTATTCTTGCAGTAGGTGCGGAACCTGGTAACGATCGCCGCTGCAAATGCAGCCATCGCACGGGGAATTAAGACATACGCAGTTGGGATTGGGAACTTCAGACAAGAAGAACTTGACGCAATTGGGGGTGGGAACAGAAACAATGTGTTCACGGTGCATAGCTTTAACGAACTTTTGGCGCTGTTAAGACCAGTGAGCCTCCGGATGTGCAGGCCGTAAAGTTGAAGTACATCTTCACAAAGTAGTAAATATTTATGAAATATTTCCTAAATAGCAATTGGGTAATTAAAAACATTGTGGTTTATTTGACCCTAAAGATTAATAAATTTTAACCACGAAATCTATGTGACTGTTCGGCTTGGGTATTTCTGATAAATTTTAAGCTAAAATTGCTCACTCATATCGGGAATAGTTTTATTTTCACTTATAAAGATGCAAATCCTACACTGCAATTCCGATATTTGCAAATAAAGTACTTTACTTCCGCATGATGACATTAACAGCCGACATTTTCGTAATGTAAGCTAAATTTTTATTTAATCGAACGGTTAAAATTATTTTTTGGATCAAGTTAAATAACTCAGTTTCTTGGAGAAATGGTTACCTCAATGTGAGGAATGGTCTCGAGCAGAATGCTATACACAATTTTTAAATCCTTCCGCTTTTGTGTAGTGGAAACGTGGAACTTGCTCAAAATGTGGGCCAAACATGTTTTCATTTGAATCATGGCATATTTCATTCCTGTTTAAATGGATCAAAATAAATATATAGCTCTAATTACATACATTATAAATGTAATACAAAAAGTACCAGGACTGCCAATGAATTTATGAGTTCGAGGTTAACTCAACTCAATAACAAAAGTTGTCTACTCGAATTCGAATCAACTCAAACTCAAATGTCAACAACCAAAATTCAACTCATATCATATGAGACGACTCACCTATTTTTAGAGTACCGTATTTATTTAAGTAAATACGTTAAAAACAGGTCCAATAATCCCTTCTGAAATTTTGATTTTTAAATAAAATATTCCGAGATTGCAATCAAGGTAAAACTCTCGAAATCCTTAATGATTTGACTCATGAGTCAACTATAACTCATTTTCCGGAACTCAACCCAAACTTAGTATAGCTCAACTCAATCATTTTGCAATGCGTCAAGTTATACTCTCGACTCAAACTCAACTCAACTCATTGGCAGTCGTTAAACATATGTACTGCCGAATTTTTATACCCGGTCACCTCATTTGCATATTTTAACGCATTCGCGAGAGACATAGAGTTTATTCAACATGGAAAACCCGTATCGCCTAAAATAGGCATAGTTAGATTTATGCAAATGAGGTGACACGCCTAAACACGAGGATAGTACACACCGATACAGTTTCTCGGCCCGGCGGAGAATGGAATGTAAGCGTATGGATGTCTGTTAACACATGTGTCCGGTAGGAACCGATTCGGATCGAATTCATCCGGATTTGGGAAATATTGCGGGTCTCGGTTTATTTCTCGGATGATGAATACCATCTCAAACCCTTTAGGAATTATTTGGCCGTTATCTTAAAATTAGAAAACATGCAAAATTCCGTATTAATTTTTGCTTATTATTTTGTCATAGTTTTGCTATGGTTCTCTTTTGTTCACCATGTTTTACCTATATAAACTTATAAAAAAAATGTCATACCCTGAAAAATAAATGCGGTCCAAAATCATTATTACATAATATGTTACATAATAGTTAACATACATATTATGTATGTTAACTATACCGAACCCAGGGTAACGAAATCTTGACAAAGAATAATGATGCCTAGGATTAAGTTAATATACGTAATGTATTTACAATTGAACCTTTTTTTAAGCTACGCCAGGATTTTCTGGCGAGTTATATCAAAAATTTAAGCCAGCAATTAGGAATCAATATAAGACCTATCTTTCCGTTGAATGTCTCCTTTGAAGAGAAATATTCGCCGCAAAGTTCAATTTTCAACTTAATTTTGTCTCGCTTTTCCTGCGCGGAGCGTAAACCAACGCTTTGACCTAAATATTTATGTTTCTCCAAAAGGGCCATTAACGGAAAGTGTCATGTGATTCCTAATTTTTGGCTTAATTTTTTTATATAACTAGCCGGAACATATATATAGGTGTAGGTTGAAAGAAGGATTCCATTGGGTTAAAGGGTTAACCCTTTAAGCTGTAAGGAAGACAATAGTCGTTTTATAAGAAATTGTTTAATTCGGGAGTAAGACAAAAGTCGTCCTAAAAAATCGTGGCCATGACGCGGAAGGAAGACAATTGTCGTTTCTAGGAGGTCATTGATTTTCTGCATTTTCTCTCCACGACCAAAAACTTGTTGCAATTTTGAGGGATTTCTCCTATGCCAACACAATGCTAAATTTGAAGATTTTCTTCCCGAAAATTTGGATATTTCCCTATGCAACGCAATATTAAATTTATGATTTTTCAGTTTTTCGAGTTTTATTAAAACTCCTGAATTTCTCCTCCCGCGCCATGAGCACAGCATACTTATAGTGTCCCCGATTTAATGCATTTTCTTGTTGTTAATCATACACGTAAAAGGTTAATACCGAATTTCGGGTGCATTTACTTTTCAAAAAGAAAGCATTTTTCCATGAATTTTCCTCACCTAGCGGAATATCTTCGACAGAATGTCGTATGATAAGGGAACCCGGAGGGAATATTCGAAGCGATTCTTTAATACACATTTCCAAATACTTTAGCTCTGCCAAATCAGCGAAAGTAATGTCTCCATCCGTTTTAAGGACCGAGTCCAATTCTTCATGAACTTTTCTTTGACATTCCTCATTTTCTGCGAGGAGAAAAAGCGTAAAATTCATAGGGCTCGCGGTTGTTTCGAAACCCTAAAAAAGATGTTACGGATTTATAAATATTTTCAGAAACGCGTAATAATTTGAACTTATGTATATGTATTACTCTCGGCATAAGATCACCTAGGTGCCAACAAAAATACGGTAGCGCCATTTGTGCTACATAAATAACTCAATATTTGAAAACATTAACGAATGATTTTCAGGAAATTTTTTTGATCAAAATGGCAAATTAATTAGCTTTTTTTAAACGACGGTATTGTATGTACATACTACAGAAAATGAGCTTTACTTCAAAATATGACAAGTCACACATACTTATTTCATTGTAAAAAAATTCTGGTTCTAACAGCTGCAAAAATCGTCATAATGTGGGCAGTAATGTCCTTGTTAGATTTTGTCTTAATGAGTGAATCTATAAAAGGCCGCGTTTTTCCACTAGCCTCAATTTCTTCTTCGGACTGAGCTAAAATCGCTTTCCTTTTACTGATTATCTGGAAATGAGAAAAATATGTCTAAAGTTTTACAACTACTCTCGTTGAAACTCCCCCAACATATTTTCGCAGTTTTAGACCAAACTGGTGTCAATCGATGGCAAATTTAATTAGTACGACATTTGAAATATTAAACCTGGTATGCACATGCAGCCATACCTTACAATTAGCTATATCATAATAAAACTTGGTGTCCCAGGAATCATTTATTTTATAAAAAATAGGAGTATTTTCTAAAAGCATCTCTTCCTTTTGAGACATACACTCTTAGAAACTGGGTATTGATCTCTGAAAAATTTTAATACCGTCGTGCTGGTATCATCACGCAGTCACGATTCGGTATTAAAATATTGGGAAAAATCAATACCACGAGCTTGTACGTGCAGAGTATTAACTTGTAATACCGAACTGGTAAAACATCAATACTGCCCGGTACCGATTTGATACCACGTTTACGCAGTCTCAAATCTGTCCGGTATAGACTTGGGCGCGGGATGTGCAAACTACTCACTTGCAGTTGCAAATCGTTCTCTTTTAAGAATAAGTTCTTCTAAATTAGTTCGGCTGGGGAATTATTTGAGGGGAAGAAATTGAGTACTTCCGATGGAAACTTTGACAAGTTATTATTCAAGGGTAAGCTTAAATTTATTTGTCTTTTCGTTCTTTCTTTTGCTACATATTATATTAATTAATTGGGAAGTATTTTAAGCCACTAATTTCGTTATATTTCCTGCTTTATTAATTATTTTGAATTTAATTCTTTTATATTTAGCAAGTTCATCGACTTAGCCAATTCCTTGTTCCGGTCCTGAATATAGGATTCAGGATGATTTTAGGTTGGTGAACACATTTACAAATATGTAAGAACAACAATCAAACTAAAATAGACGTGTTTAGAAATTCAAATTTCAGCTAATTAACAACTTGCTTTTCACTTGTTTCAGTGGCAGATTTCCTATCGAATCAGGAGGTGAGATAAGTTTAAATCGAAAAATAGATGTAAAATAAATACCGTAAAATGTGACTTGTTTACACAATTGTTTTTTTAATTACTTGTGTTTGTAGATCCAGTCTATGTTGTATCTGGTTGATTTCCATTTTTTGTAAATATTTATGTATGTATGTATGTCATTTATAATTTTCTGACTTGTAAATTACAGGTTGTAATTGTATAAAATAAATAACATTTGAATTAATACCAAGCAGTACTAAACTTAGCTAAACAGTACTTATTTTTCTTAATGTATGGTATAACTCGTTAATACCGCATAGTATTAGATTCATACCCCACGGTATTAACAAGCAATACCATCATGCACAAAAAAATCAATACCGCAAGTCACATTTTTATACCAAGACGGTATAAACACAAAATAATACCGCTTGGTATTAAATCAATACCAAAACGGTAGAGTCACATATGAATACCGCCTGGTATTGATCTGGTATTGATTTTTCTAAGAGTGTACATAAGCATAAGATAAAGTTCCAAATTTCAAACCTATGCATACATACTTGTGAGTAGAAGTCGTCAAAGATTTCTATGCAAATCTTGTCTTGTTTGCCAAATCCAAATATGTCCCAAATTATCTGAAAATTCAACCACGGTTTGTAATGGCGCGTCCGACAGGAAAAAAGGGCCCTGGTAGTCAATAAAAAACTTAATTATAATCTTTACATGTGCAGACCGTACTCCCGTCAACCTTCGCATCCATCGCAACATAATAATAACATGTGTAAGCACACAACTTGCGAAATTTCGCAAAATATTTGTTGAAAAACAATGGCCTTTTTGTTAAAAAATTTACCCAACAAATGAGCATGTTTTTACATTTGTCGCAAAATTATTTTGCCAATCGTCCTCATCAACCAGTGTAAGAACAGAAATCAAGATTAAAGTCCATGTTTTTACAAGTAGGCATCTTAGCTTTGCGAGATTTCCGAACCACACTCGACATAATTTTTTGAGCTTATCATATTTTCTATCCACTCAAGTTTCTTAAAACATATTAGAAAATTTACATTTTTATGGCGTGGAATAACTTTCCATCAGTGTCCCTTTGATAATTTGAGCTTTGTCCGAGCGCCGATTCTGTGATGGAATCCATCGTGGCGCTGGACAGGTATGGGAGAAGGTCTAATCCTTTTCCGGGGGTGGCTTCGTTTTTCAGAATATCTGTCAGAATTCTGCTGTGTTTATTAAAATGGGTCAGGAATCCGTCGAAACTTTGATATTTGAAGGAGGGATTTAACAGTTTTCTGTCTTCTTTCCAGATATATCCTAGAAACGTAAAATCATTGTCATGATATTTACCAAAGCTAACTTTCTGGGTGTTTTCTATAAGTTGAATCATAACAAGAATTGCCCAGAGTTGTGTGTGTGTTACAAGTGGAACTTGGCGCTGGGGTCTCACATTACCCTAAATTTGCTCAACTTACCACAAACCCGTCAACACGGGCCACTAAATTTGTACATACATAAACTCGTTAGAAAATGAGAGAGTAGCGTTTGTTTAAAAAATACGGGTCAGGTAATTTCTCAGATTTTTTTGTTCTAATTGTGTTGAATTAGTTTTCATAGTAGCTTTTTTTAAAAATGGGGGCCTACTCTCCTTTCGCGCACAGTTGAACTTTTGCAGAAATTGAGAAACTAGGCCACGTCCAGTCTCAAATTGCCTCAAGCTATTCGGGCGGCAGACTTTGAAACTGGCCATGACGTAGTTTCTAAGAACTCTTAATTTCTGCGAAAGTTCAATTATGCACGAACGGAGAGTGCTTCTCTCGTTTTTCTAGTATTACTAGTCTCTTAAGCCCGCAATGCGGGCTCTAAGCAAAACGATTTTATTTAGTCAGCGATACAAATGTCTGCTGAATAATTGCTACACATTTACATTCACACAGACCAAAGGAGCGTGGACTTGATTGTCACGTTGTATATGTAGTACGACGTTTAATAATAGAGTTCGTCACGTCACGCTTCTAACTTGTGTAACCGCGAAAAACGTTCAGTCACGACTCTAAAGGATGTGACCACGAAAAACGTTCAGTCACGACTCCAAGGGGCGAGAGCACGAAAAACGTTCAGTCACGACTCTAAAGGGTGTGACCAAGGAAAACGTTCAGTCACGACTCTAAAGGGTGTGACCATGAAAAACGTTCAGTCACGACTCTATGGGTGTGACCCCGAAAAGAAAAACGTTCAGTTACGATTCTATGGGTTGACCATGAAAAACGTTCGGTCACGACTCTACGGTGTGCCATTGTTCTAACGTATAAAAATAGTTTAGGCACTAAAAGCAAATGCCCGCCCTCTAGCGCTGAAAGCTAACAGCCGATAGGTGGCGCTGGTAGGTAATTAAAATTAGTCAGGCACAGGTCAGTGTCAACTATACCGTGGGGCAAAGAGGTCACAGGTCAAGTATACTGGGTGTACCCAGGTCACAGGTCAAGTGTCAAGTATAGTGGGTGTGCCCAGGTCAGAGGCCAAGTGTCAAGTATAGTGGGTGTGCCCAGATCACAGGTCAAATGTCAAGTATAGTGGGTGTGCCCAGGTCACAGGTCAAATGTCAAGTATAGTGGGTGTGCCCAGATCACAGGTCAAATGTCAAGTATAGTGGGTGTGCCCAGGTCACAGGTCAAATGTCAAGTATAGTGGGTGTGCCCAGGTCACAGGTCAAATGTCAAGTATAGTGGGTGTGCCCAGGTCACAGGTCAAATGTCAAGTATAGTGGGTGTACGCATGTCACAGGTCAGATGTCAACTCTAGGGGGTGAGCCCGTTCATTTTATCAAGTCTCGGCAGATCCAAAGGGTGCGTCTCGTTGTTCTCATGTTCGTCAATTTGGAAACGTTTTGACACTTTAGCGAAAAACGCCCTCTAGAAACGAAAAATGCAACATATTGCCCAAACTGCCGCTAGGTGACATAAGCTTGGACAATGTGAGACACGTGTGCCAAGTTCAACTGGTAACACACAGACACACACACACACACCACTGCACAATTCTTGGTTTTGATATTTAATAATAGAGTTCACGACTCTATGGGTGTGACCAAGCAATTCGTTCAGTTACGCCTCTAAAGGGGGTGACCACGAAAAACGTTAGGTCAAGACTCTAAAGGGGGGGCACGAAAAACCTTAGGTCACGACTCTAAAGCGGGTGACCACGAAAAAAGTTAGGTCACGACTCTAAAGGGGGTGACCACGAAAAACGTTAGGTTACGACTCTAAAGGGGGTGACCACGAAAAACGTTAGGTTACGACTCTAAAGCGGGTGACCACGAAAAACGTTTGGTCACGACTCTAAAGGGGGTAACCACGAAAAACGTTAGGTCACGACTCTAAAGGGGGTGACCACGAAAAACGTTAGGTCACGACTCTAAAGGTAGTGACCACGAAAAACGTCCAGTCACAGCTCTAAAGTATGGCATTGTTCTAACGTTTTAAGAACGTTTAGGCACTTAAAGCAAAAGCCCGCCCTCTAGCGCTGAAAAACAGCCAACATCCGATAGATGGCGCTAGTAGGTAATTAAAATTAGTAAGGCACAGATCAAGTGTCAACTATGCACAGAGGTCACAGGTCAAGTATAGTGGATGTGCCCAGGTCACAGGTCAAATGTCAAGTCTGGTGGTTGTGCCAAGGTCACAGGTCAAGTGTAGTGCGTGTGCCCAGGTCACCGACCAAGTGTAGTGGGAGTTCCCAGGTCACAGGTCAAGTGTAGCGGGTGTGCCCAGGTCACAGGTGAAATGTCAAGTCTAGTGGGTGTTCCCAGGTCACAGGTCAAATGTCAAGTCTGGTGGGTGTGCCCAGGTCACAGGTCAAATGTCAAATATAGTGGGTGTGCCCAGGTCACAGGTCAAATGTCAAGTCTGGTGGGTGTGCCCAGGTAACAGGTCAAATGTCAAATCTAGTGAGAGTGCCCAGGTCACAGGTCAAATGTCAATTCTAGTGAGAGTGCCCAGGTCACAGGTCAAATGTCAAATCTAGTGGGTGTGCCCAGGTCACAGGTCAAATGTCAAGTCTGGTGGGTGTGCCCAGGTAACAGGTCAAATGTCAAATCTAGTGGGTGTGCCCAGGTCACAGGTCAAATGTCAAGTCTAGTGGGTGCGCCCAGGTCACAGGTCAAATGTCAAATCTGGTGGGTGCCCAGGTCACAGGTGACATGTCAAGTCTAGTGGGAGTGCCCAGGTCACAGGTCAAATGTCAAATCTAGTGGGTGTGCCCAGGTCACAGGTCAAATGTCAAGTCTGGTGGGTGTGCCCAGGTCACAGGTCAAATGTCAAGTCTGGTGGGTGTGCCTAGGTCACAGGTCAAATGTCAAGTCTGGTGGTTGTGCCAAGGTCACAGGTCAAGTGTAGTGGGTGTGCCCAGGTCACAGGTCAAGTGTAGTGCGTGGGCCAAGGTCACCGACCAAGTGTAGTGGGTGTACCCAGGTCACAGGTCAAGTATAGCGGGTGTGCCCAGGTCACAGGTCAAATGTCAAGTATAGCGGGTGTGCCCAGGTCACAGGTCAAATGTCAAATCTAGTGGGTGTTCCCAGGTCACAGGTAAAGTTTCAAGGGTGAAGGGTGTGCCCATTCATTTGATCAAGGCTCTGCAGATCCAAAGGGTGTGTTTCGTTGTTCTCGTCTTCGTCAATTTGGAAACGTTTTGACACTTTAGCGAAAAACGCCCTCTAGAAACGAAAAATGCAACATCGTGCCCAAACTGCCGCTAGGTGACGTTGCCTTGGACAATGTGAGACACGTGTGTAATCAAGCGCCAGGTTCAACTGGTAACACACACACACACCACTGCACAATTCTTGGTTCTGATGTATCTAATGATCTTATGCGAAATCATGGAATCAATTTTGTTTACCATCTGAATTTAGCAATCCGTCGCCTAGCATCCATTTAGTGTTTTTGTAATCCAACCCTTTCTCAACATATTTCGGGGACGATAGAACTTTCTGAAAATATATTTCAAAAATATTTTAGAACGTATTTAAGGGAATAGAACTGCCGTCAAAATCTAATATGTACATATGTTGTACCTGTGCCCCTTCTGCATCCATAATGACGACATACGGCGTCCCCCCACCCCACAGGACGAAACGTCTCCCATACTTTTCTATTCCTCGGATGAGCGTGTATGGGAAACCTGGTTGAATTACATAGTCGATAGAAAATTGGGAATCGTTTATTTAAGAAGATAGCCATTCAGAGTATCCTTAATCATCTTTGTATCGTTTACGAATATGTAAACACAAGAACGGTAGTGTATGTATGCATAGGCTATCACTCTCATGGAGACTGAATTTTTACAGATGAAGAGAATTAATTCCCAAAAATATTTAGGGGTGTCGAAGCGAAATCACTTCATGGAAATATCTGTCTGTCTGTTCGTCTGTACGCCGGTCTGTCTCCATACTCCATGATAACTTTAGAAGGGTTTCTAATTTCGAGAGGTGGTTTTCACCAACGCGTTTCCCATTTTTGAATTTTTTAGATGTAGTTTTGGCTGGGGATTTTCAAAACGCACATGATTTTGACGTTCCATAACCTCGTGACCGTGTCGCTTCAACCCTTTGCTATGTACATTTCGGTTTCAACGGTTTATTCACTGAAGAACCAAACGCACATCTTTATGGAGTATCTGCGTTTGGCACTGCTTATTTTAGGAGCCCTTCATAAATTATGTAATACAAAAATCGCGATTTTCCGGACCCCCCACCCCCTCCCTCCTTTAACATGTTTCATATAAGCACGATATCATTGGACGGTTACACCCACCTTCCCCCTATCCCTTGTTTAACAAGTTATGAACGACCCCTTACGATTCGAAGAGTGCTAATAATACGGAAAAATCACGAATATTATTCTACCCATATTTGTTTAATTTTACCTTCAGGTCCAAGCAGCAAAAACGGTACCGATCCAATCAGTGGAAATTTCCACGGCATTGGAAATTTTTGCAGCATAATTCCTTTCCGCGAGAACGTCATTGAAGCGTATGACCAAATGGATATAATTACAAATCCGACTGCAAATAAAATTTTAATTCATTATTTTTACAATTTTTTTTAAATACTTATGTAGCATACATAAAAACTTAAATTAATTACTTGAAAATTTCCAATTCCACAAATCTTCCCAAACACTTGAATGGTCAACAGTAACGGCAGAAACATAACCGTTTTTCCTCTCAGATTTCGCAAATGATGATGCCACGAATTCCGCAAGGAAAACGGTGGACCATTTTGTGCGAAGCATGTTCGCTTTAAATTTTAAGTTAAACTAGAAGAAAACAATATTTTGGAAAAATGTTACTTGAAAATCCAAGAATAATTGCGAATTAAAACAAGTCACCTTCCAATTACCACAAAATCACCAAAAAGTTAATTATCCTCCTAACCTTTGTTCTAGTTCTGTTAACTTTTCAACAAGCTAAGCGGAATGATGTAGAAAAATTTGGAGTCCGGTCAATTTGGTCAGGTCAATTTGGTCGGGTTAGTTTGGTCTTGGGAAATTTGGTCTAGAGTCAGTTTGGTCTTGAACAAATTCGGTCTGGCCAATTTGGTCTAGCCGATTTGGTCAAGCCAATTTGGTCTGGTTAATTTGGTCTGGAGTCCAATATTATTCACATATTACCTGGATTCCTATATGTTTTACTTACATCATGCTTAGCTTATGTTAATAAATCTTGACTCGGGTTGACCTTTACTTAACTAGACTCCGAGAACCACACCCCCTGTAAGTGCGGTTTCAAAATTGTCAATACTCTGTCTGACGTGATGTCAAGTGGCCAGGTTTTAGCCTAATTTAGGTGCTAAGAACCACATTCCTGGAGGGTGTTTTTTACACTTGTAATGTTCTATTAGGAGTAACTAAAATAGTTAGGTTACAGTAAAATTTTGCATAAATATTTCGAATATAAGTATTTCGAATTTTCGAATTTTAGAATTGCAATCAGGTCTTTTTAAACTTAAAAAGAAACTGAACTTAGATCTGTTTAGAATTTGTACATCAATATGTAAAAATGCTTCCAATAGTTTGAAAGATGTCTTGGTTCTACTTTCAACCTATCTAACGCAAATGCATCTGGTATATATTAAATTTCTTTGAATACAATTTTATTTTTAAACCTACGTATTAATGCTTAAATATTTAAATGACGTCATTAATTCAGTAAATTTCATTATTTTATTTAATAAATGAGACCAAATTGTCCAGACCAAATTTGCCATACCAATTTGACCACACCGAATTATACCAGACCAAAAAAACCCAGACCAAATTGACCTCTCTTGGGACCAAACTGACCCGACCAAACTGACCCGACCAAACTGACCTAGCATCGAAAAATTTGGTTGATGAAATCTGTCAGGTTATTTGCCACATTTATTTATTTGCCGGAGAACAACGGCCAATTAAATATTAAACTTGTTATCTGCACATTCAACGATCAATTCTATGAAAATATAAGGATCACACCATACAAGCATTGTTTATACATACATACATAACTCTGAAGTATGTAAGTACGGATAATATGTAGTAATGAAAACCCGAGTCAGTTCACAAACAGAAACATTTGATTTGGAGAACATTCTCACGATTTATATGTATGGCACTGTTAAAAATAATGTTTCCCCTTATGATCCGACCCGATAACGAATTGTTTCTATTTACGATTATCAATAATCTGTAAGTATGTAATCATGAATTTGCAAAGACTATTGACTATGATGCTATAAATCCACTAGCATTAAAAATGAAACAAGGTGATATGTGCATTACTTCATGTATTTATGTATATATGTATAAGCCTATTTTATAATGAACGAAGCTTACCGGATAATAGTTTTTGCCTTGAAAAATACCCCATGCAAAAAAATTGTAGGGAAAATTGCCTACTTCCAATGCCCGCCATGCGGGCTATTAGCATAAGAGACGATTAACCATTGAGATTAAGATTTGTGACTACTTATTCCTTAATCTCAATCGTTGATGCGAAGCTTACGAATTTAAGAATTTTACCTAATCCATAATACAGTCAAGAGCAAAACTTTACGACATATGGAAGAGACTTTTGGGACATGTTATTCAAATGGGGAATTAAAGGCCGTAAAGTTTTGCACCGCGTACCTTTCCGAATAATTTTTTTAACGCTGTGATATAATTTTTATTGAATAAAGCGTGCAAAAGTAGGGGGTGACGTGGTAAATTATTTTTGTCGCCGAATTTTTTTCAAGGAACTACAAGGAATTGAAAGAATTAATTTTGGAAGAGACTTTTGGGACAGCCATAAGCACAATGTGTTGTCCCAAAAGTCTCTTCCAAAATTAATTCTTTCAATTCCTTGTAGTTCCTTGAAAAAAATTCGGCGACAAAAATAATTTACCACGTCACCCCCTACTTTTGCACGCTTTATTCAATAAAAATTATATCACAGCGTTAAAAAAATTATTAGGAAAGGTACGCGGTGCAAAACTTTACGGCCTTTAATTCCCCATTTGAATAACATGTCCCAAAGGTCTCTTCCATATGTCGTAAAGTTTTGCTCTTGACTGTACAACTCCCGAATTTTAATCCAACAGTGGGATTAAAATTGACTAAAAACTAAAAAAAATCTAAAAGTTGAGATCTCTCCCGTGTTCCAAATTGATTTTTTTGTTCTTTTTTTATCAGACATTTAAATACTGGATTTTTTTGCGGAACTACTCGTAACGTGATATCCTCGATGCTAAATTTTAAACATTAGTGTGACCTTAACAGAAATGTCTCCCCGCATACATGCATATGGTCAAAGCTTTTGATTAAAAATAGTATAAAGAGTAAAATTATGTTGCTCGTATTTCAGTGTTAGAAATGTGGGAACTTATATTTTTTTTTTCTTTATCGAAAAATTTTCTTAGTTATGGAATTGATGACGGCGCTACCAAAAAAAGTGGGGCTGATCGCGTTGTCGGCCGCTTCCTGGTAATTATCACGGTTTTGCTGTGGTCGTTTCCACTGTGCATGATCCTTGGGCTGTTTTTCTTCCCGCTGGATCCAATTACACACTTGTATCGGATTTTTTTACAAATCGACGACAGTATGGACGAGGACAGGATATCTGATTTACAACATTCTTGGATTGATGACGCTCCCACTGATCCACGAGGCATGTCGAATTTATACGATAGGCGTCATTGTGCCGGTGCTACTCATAACGAGGTGGGTGCTGATGTAAAATAATGCTAGAAAATCAAGCAATATAAATGCTTCGTAAAGACGAAATGATGGACGCAAACATGTAGTAGAAAATTAGGTCAAACCGGTTAAAAATCCAGTTACGATTTATCCGTAAACCGTTTTTTGTACGAATTGTGAAACACCGGTTTTCGACTGCTAATTACAGAAGCTGTTTCGGAGCAAATAAATACTTATTTATTCTTCTCATTAGGATAAGAATTAGTTGCTTTGATGAACTACCTTATTCTCGAGTTTCGATCTAATTTCAATTTCGTTTAAAATTTTAGCCGACTTTTTATGTATACTTATCTTTATTTTTGTACGTATTTTTTTTAATTCGGACGACCAAAACCGGTTGTGTACAGAATCAAAAAGTGGGTTTTTAACAAAATTTGAAAAAGTATGTACAATAATTGAAACTAACATTTTTTCATTACTTTTACAGGGTGAACCAGTCCCTTGATAACCTGTCCAAGATAACTCTAAGCTACGCAATGCAGCCCTGTTCTCCCAGAAGACGACGAGACATCGAATCCACGACATGATTCATAACTACAACCGACTTTCGATCCTCATGGCGAGGTCGAACCTGTTCATGGCACCGGGCGCAGTGATCATGCTGTCCAACTTGTTCTTGGGCCAAGTGTACTTTAATTTTGCTACGCTAAAATTTTACTCATTTTTGCCCATAATTTATTTTTATACAGACATCGGAATTTCAACAGTGTTGATTTTAGTGTCGTACATGGGTTTTCACTTGATCTCTCCGCAGAACGCGATGGCCACTTAGTTTATTAGAGAATGGTGGAGACCCGTGGTAAATATTGATATGAAATATTACACACAAATTGTGAGGTCGTTACAACCGGTGAAAATATATTGCGGGCTGGGGGGAGTAAAATTCTTTTATTTTACAAAGTCGACTAGAACCACGTTTTTTAGCACGATGATTTCCTACACGATGAATGCTTTGTTATCCGTACCATCAAAATATGAAAGGTTGGATTATCACGGTTAAGGGTTAAATCGGTCGGTATGATCTTTTAGTCATGCATGAGTGACAATAATGAAAAACGGAATCAATTCACACATCCAAAATTTTTATTTGGACAAGATTTTCAGGGTTTGTAGAGTTCATTTTTCTGAGTTCAACGGTCGAAGTCCGGTGCTCCTACCCCTCCCCCTTGCAGAGTGGGAGGAGCTTAAAGTCGCGAAAATAGCCTCCGTCTGCGATTTTTAGCTCAACGGCGGGTCAATATTTTTTAAAACGGTTTTCGCCAAAAGTTTCCTAATTTTGTTCTCTACAACCGTTTTCGAGCGTTTTTCGAAATTCACAAAAGTAATTTCACGATTTCAAGCATCCATTACCTAACGCAGCGGTAGATTGGGAGCTAACATAGCAATAGATTGGAAAGAACTCATAAATATTCTTCTGTGTCTGGAGCAGCAAGGAGTTGTTATACACCAGACAAAGTATATATATTCTGAACCCTCCCGCCGAGATCTTTCCAACGATACCCCACTTATGGGGTAATGTGAGATTTGACCTTTCTATAGGTTTATTTTGAAATCGTGAAATTCTTTTTGTGAATTTCGAAAAACGCTCGAAAACGGTTGTAGAGAACAAAATTAGGAAACTTTTGGCGAAAACCGTTTTAAAAAATATTGACCCGCCGTTGAGCTAAAAATCGCAGACGGAGGCTATTTTCGCAACTTTAAGCTCCTCCCACTCTGCAAGGGGAGGGGTAGGAGCACCGGACTTTCACCATTGAACTCAGAAAAATGAGCTCTACAAACCTTAAAAATCTTGTCCAAATAAAAATTTTGGATGTGTGAATTGATTCCGTTTTTCATTATTGTCACTCGCATACATTGGTAGACAAAAATTAGTATTGTCTACCCTATAAATACAGGATGTCCGTAGATTATATGAACACCACATTTACATGGGTAACATGCGAACGGATGATCCAATTGGCGCCAAACTTGGCACACATGAACTTGAAGGTCATGACAACAGCTGTGCAAAGTTTCAAATTTCTAGCTTCAAAGGTAGCCCCAAAAAGTGACCCCAAAGTGGGGGAACCGTAAAAGCGGTTTCCGAAGCTAATTTGTCCGCTGAAAGTACCCAAACGATTATCCAAAAATCTGAAACGCATATTATCGTGTCCCCCATATATCCCTTCATCAATTTTGCAAGAAAACGATGGTAATTAGTTAAATCCGGCCAATATATACCTCAAAATGCATACCCCTCAAAACTACAAATTCTCCCACCCTCAAGAAAAATGACCACCTCTCTCCCAAATGAGAATCCTCCGATCAAACAAAGGTCACAACACAATCCCAGATGCCTCCTGAACAAATTAATCATATTATAAATCACAACTTTGAAAAAGCAGTCCAGAGGAAGGCGAAAGTCGGAACACTAAAATTATCCAATATTTTAAACAAAAAAACTAACAGTCGGAGGCTGTTTGAAGGTCATGTTGGGAGTAAAAATTCCGAATTTGTCGTCACGTTGGGGGGGCACTCTGCTGCATTCAAAACTTCCACCGGACAAAAATAATTTGGTGCATAAAGGACCGGAAGAAGGTTTCGAACTATGGATCTGAGAAGAAGGAAAAGTTGTCTGACTGATTCCTCGTGGTTTGTACAATGACTGCCCGTGGAGTGCTAGCATTGATACCTGTCTGGTATAATGTGCTAACAAAGTCGATGTACTTCATGGACAATGTTTTACATAAGTTGTTGGATTTCTAAATGCCATGGAAGTACCTTTGGGGAGCTCGACAAAGTTTGTAGTCGTCACAACACAACATTTTTATATATTGCGGAGTTTGCCCATTATAACGCCCAAGATTGAAACAAAAAAATCGGAATGACCTCGACATCTTATTCCGAGGTCCATATTCAATAATCTGGCACGGGTCAGATGGATTTTTTCGGGTTTGGATGCCTGAAACAAAGCATTTTCAAGAGGAAGTCATGAACTTTGGTTGGGCTTTGGAAAGTTCTAAATCAAGAATGGGATCTTGTCTCCCCTGAAACGTGTCAAAATGTGTTTGGAAGTTGGAAACCAAGACTCAGACTTGTTGCTAGGAAGAATGGAGAACACATTGAGATCGCTAAAGTAATTCACAGTCATCGTGTTCAGAAGTTATAAGGTAATTCATACTGTTCATATAAACTGCGGACACACTCTGTACTTTGTGCAAAATTTACTCACCACTTGGACAAATTTTGCACAATGGTTGGATAAACTTTATACTTTTCTCGTTTACCTTCACGGTAAGGACAATTAATATTTTTTCTATACGATTTGTCTCATCTTATTGACCAACCAAGATCTTGGAAAGTATAGAATTTGAGCTCTACAAGCCAGGAAATTAAAAAGAATATGTATACTGAGAAGAAAAACAAGGAGGAAATTGAGTAGTGCACTTTTACAAAAACGTGGTCAAACAGGACAAAAACAAGACGTATCACTCCTTCAAAAATGAAAACACCCAAAATTCGATTTTTATCCTGCCACGAATCATGAATTCGACAATGTCTCTCTAATTATTTTTACAAATTTGGGAAGCTTAACTATGTACGTAGATAAATACAAATTAATTTCTAAATTAACGACGAGTACAGAAATACAGAAATCTGTAGTTTTAAGATTATTTTCCAATTATCGATGTGTTTCGGACCAAACTTGGTGAAACTGTTTTTCAAAGCGTGCACTCTTAGCAACTTGGTAACAAAACCAAGAATTTCGTCAACACCAACCGTCGGTGTCAACCTAAATTCAACTAAATTGTGTCAAACCGTTGTGTAACAATGACACTGAGCAAAAAAAACGCATTGACACGCTACTGGTATCAGCGATATTCATGCAATGGTGTCGAATTGACACAGTGGGATGTTACCGCAGTAAGCAAAGCTTGGACTTCACACCAAATTGTGTCAGTCTCTTCCTTGTGCACGGGTCTGATTGGCGGCCATTTTCCTTCCTCCTCCACGAAAAAGTCAACAAAATGGGTAAATTAATTTGTGTGTTCCGTTGATTTCGATGGAAAAATTGTTTTTAAATAAGTTTAGGGACTACTTCCAATTTCTTGACTCAGGTGAGTTAAAATCTGTAACCTATATTAATTTTATCTCATTTAATTAAAATTATTTTACTGTGTGTATTTTTATTTTGAAAACTTATTGTTTCAAGAAAATAAAACTCAAGACTGAACCAAACGAGGGAACCGACGAGTAAGGATTTGTACACCCGACAGCCTATTTAATTATTATTGAATCTTTTTTGCAAAGTTTATTTAACTTAACGATTTACTCATATTTTAGATTATCACCGTGTTAAATACATATAAGATTTTTCTTTAAAAGTGCACAAGGTATGAAAAAAAATATTATTTGATATGTGCGAGTGTTATAATTTGTTAATTGTGAATATGTTTGAAATACTTTATTAATTTTTTAGTGCTTAATATTGTTGAATGTAAAATAAAAGATTTGTTACTAGAAGTTGTAGTTCAGTTGTCACAATCCGGGGATGATTTGTCACCAGATGGTGACATGAATATATTAAAATGCACATATATTGTTACCTAGCCGTGTCGAAGCAACATAACTGAGCACAACCTCTAATCCATTCGCGGTGTTGGTGTTGTCACAACGGTATGTTAGGTTGACACCGCTACGGTGTGCAACATAATTGACACCGCGTCGTGTCAAATTGACACCAAACCGGTAGAGTCATATATAGACACCGGAATGGTGTCAATTCGGTGTCGTTTTTTCTGTGAGTGTGCTCAATGTATGCTAATTTTGTTATTCTTTTAAGAGTACGAGCTGTTCAACGATATGGCATGCATTGTTTTCAGCTTACAATTTTCACAAGAAAAAAATTACATTAAACTATGTATCCATGTGTGAATCCACAGATTTTTGTAATCTAAATATGTAATTAAGATGTATTATCAAAGAAATTAAATCTCTCAAACAAGGCCAACTTCATATAGATAACACGTATGTATTTAATGCAAATTTATGTATTATGCAGATTAAAAATATTTTTGAAATTCTCACAATACGATGTAATAAAAATTATTGCAAAATTGCGAAATCAATTTATGAGCCGGTTTTTACACAAGTGTGTATAGTATTCTATGAAATGATTTTATTAATGAACCAATTTTGTGAATGAAACGGAGCTAGATACTTACTAAATATTCGCTGGGGCATTTTGGTACGATCCTTCACAGCTTGCTAAAATTTGCATGGGGAATTTTAATTCTAATTAACGAGTGGTGTGACTGATTTAATTCAATACATATTAATACAAGATCTCATCCACAGATTCGCTCAAATTGCATATGAATTTTATCTTCAATATAAGCTACATTTTTGAAATTTTATTCACGAAATGTATGCAAAATAAAATCCTCCCTCTTATGAAGACATCTACACGTGCGAAATTAGTTTAAACTAGAGTTGAAATTTGCACATGTATGCATCTGAGCACATGTGCAGATTACAAATTGCGACAAAGTATCCATAGTTTTTGCACACGAATGTCCTTTGCTTAACGCAAATAACTTCCCATGAAAATTAGTTCGATTAGCTAATTTGACAAGAATAGAACGTCTACTATAAAAACATGGCGGACTCGAGGTTTCAAATCACTCCAAGATTGCCCAGTTTCCTCTTCGAATTAAAATCAACTTTTACCCAGCTTTTCCGAAATTGTCAAAATGTTCAATATTTCTTCTTTGATTCTACTTGTGGCATGTCTCGCAATTGGTGGGACAAGTGTAAGTTTCCAAACTATGTACACAATAATTCACTAGTAATAATGCTCTTAAATAGCGGTTAGAATAACTTATACTTATATTAACAATACAAAATTAATT